AGACCACTTTGATTTCTCTCCCTCATTATTACACTTTCAATGAAAATGTATACAGTAGATTAAAAACGAATCTTGATTATTTTGTATCTGTTTGGAAGACAATGTTAAAATTATTCTATTAAACGGGACATGAACCTGTCTTGATCCTATGAAGAAGGCAATCTTTAGTTAAATGTGGAATATGTCAGATTAAATCTACTTTGAACAATGGGCAAGATTTGTATTCAGTTTCAGTCCAACCTGCATATCAACCAATATGACTATTAAGAAGAAAAGAACATGGGAATTCAGACCAGTGACTCACCTATTGTTACCACCTCAGTTTATGAAACCAGATGTTTCAGTTTTACTGGTGTCATTTTATTTTTGATTTTTTTGACTCACTCAGGACATGGTTCTACCTCTGCAATGGTCTACATTAATATTACTTGAGACAACTGTAATCTTCAAGGCCACTTGCACTCACAGTACTTTGATGTACAGGCTCACATGAGCCTTTCCAGTGGCAGATAGATCCTCCATCCAGGAGTGGTGTTTTACAGTCTCCTGCAAGCTTTAAAGAAAGCTGCTTAACTATAGGAACTGGTGATTCGACAGAAAATTATATTTCAGTAGGAATAACCCAAGAATTAGACATACTGAAAGGATTATGCCTAACCTGCGTGGCTGAGGGCCAACCTCCTGGCCAAAGGACGAGGAGGCTGGGACCCCCATACACAGTGAGGTTTGACCCAGGGGCAGCTGCAGAGCTGGAGGTGGAGTTGACTTGGGATTCAGAAAGACGTGTGTGAGGGAGAGAAGGGGATCGCATACAGTATTTATAGTGTTTAGGAGAGGAAATGACATCAATAGTGATTGCAAATTACTGACAGCTGAGTCTGATTGAACTTCGTTATCAGCTCCATATAGAAGTTCTTTCTCTTACAACCACCTAACACACAGTTAATCTTAACAGCTGGCGAACTCACAGGGACACTGCAATGATACTGGACGTGGCCAGTTTGTTTATGCAGATTAATTCACTTAACTCAATTCATGTTGCTGAGACTCCTTGGCTTTTATAATATAGCTTTTATATTTTTTCTTTATAAAGAAAATGGCTTACACTGTCATTGGGCAGTACTTTAATAACTGTAACTAATACAGAGCTTTCTATAGAACAGTCATACCTAAGCTAAAGATGTCTTCCACATTTATACTAGTTGGGGGGTTTACTGTGTTTTTTAGAATACAGCAGTTCACTGTTCTGTGGTTTTGCTGTGGTCATTCAGAGACTTGGAGTTCAGTCAATATGAACCCTAATCTTTGAAGGCCAGTCCATCTGAAATTGCCCATGTTTATGATTTTGAGTGTGGTAAATGAAACGATTCTGTCTGTATGAAAGACTTGGCCATTAAGTTTAAAAATAGGTTAGAAATCTACAGATGTTATAGCTCTGTTACAGCTTGATGGTAAGATAAAGCAAGCTAATAGAGAAAAAGTAAATATGAGATAAACATTGATCATGCTGGTTTGGGGATCACACATCATTTCTAGCATTTCAATTCTAGATTCAAGTCTTTCTAACAATGCTTCCTAATATAAAACAAATTTCCTCTTGGCAGATCACTTCACAGCTAGGAGGCACAAACACTGGTATCTGCTGGACAGGTGTGTGGAGCTCAGCCCTTCTCTGCAGGGAGACCCAGCAGAAAGTTCTGTAAATTAGTGTGGCAGTGACAGGGCTTAAATAGACTCCAACAAGCTATTGTATTCCAGCTGAAGGACATGTGTCCGTGAACTCTGATACTGTGGGGGAACTGTTTTTACATGCAATGAAAACATGATGTAGCAAGGCTATGAAGGACCAGGAGCTATACCCTCTGTCTGACAAGAAATAGTGCTCCTATTGGGACTCTTTTGGAATGTGCCAGGAAAATATTATTCTTACCATTACAGCATCAGGAGCTCCAGCCAAGACTTGTAATGTTTCCTGAATATGCAACAGTGTTGATGGCGGAACAATAATGGAATTTATTCCACCTTCCCTGCCTTGATTACAATGACAGCACTGTTTCTGAAAAACACCATTCATCTGAAAAGTAAGGAATCTGAAGGACGTGCTTCCAAGCGTATGTCACTGTGCAACAGTCTGTCAGACCGACCCAAGACACAGTCACAGAGTGCTGGACAGTCTGCTACAGCGTTTCTCCTCTAATACCGCTTCATGGGAACAGTTTCTTCCTTGTTTTCTCGTCTTAAAATGAAGGCTTTGTTGTTTCCATTGAAACACAAGTTGTACTTTGCATTGCACTACTGACGTCTCCATCATACAGGAGAATACCCAAGCGTGGCAAGCACCTTTCCAGATGAACAGTTGCTGTTCTGGTTTAAATTAGCATGCTGATGCGCATCGACATGTTATACTGAGACGTGCTTCCTCCCAGTGTCGGACAGTTACGTATATGAAAGTAAAGTTGAGCTGCCCGAGATATGTGATGAGATCTAAACGAGAATATGAATAACACAGATGGGCCGAATCGGATCCTCTCGTTTGTAACCTTTCCGATAATCTGCTCTCAGCGCGGGACACGTCCGCTGACTTCGCTTGGGAGATACAATCCGGTATACCTGACACGCAGTTTCCTATACTGCGCTCCGTATTTGGTGAAACGTGAGGGATTTTTAGTTTTCAATCTATATAGAATCTATATATATAAATATCTTAGCAAAACCATTCAGTATGATGCTTCTGAATCTGCACTGTATCATTCCTTCCGTTTACAATTAGCAAATTTGAGTTTACAGACTCAAATAATGCCTGAACAGTTCTTTAGATCACTGTAAATATCAAACTGAACACTGAACTAGCTATCCGTGGCATTTCCCATTAACTTTATATTCGCACTTGATACAGATAGCCAAATAGTACCCGCAGCACATCGCCATCTAGTGTGTCGATCGAAGTATACAACGCAGACACATAGCTTTAAAACAGAAAGAGCCCTTAGTCTTTACAAACTGTGTTTTGTTTTTGCTGTTATACATATATTACACACACGTATACATTGTATCAACAGAGGCTGGCAAGAAGCCAGCAAGTGCGTAAAGTTGTGGAGTACAATTACTGTCAAACTGTAATTTGTCACACTAAATGTCCCGCATGCTTATACTGTAATTTAACGTTAAAATAAGCATGTCATAAAACTGCGAAGAATTACACAGGTGTCTTAATAGGTACATTCAAAATGCGATTTAAAACACGCTTAAGAAAAACAACTTACCATTGAAATATTCTCCCTCCTCGACTGCAAAAGCATTCCCTCGCGTCTTTAAATGTACTGGATATACAGTATGTAAAGCTTTTCGTTATTAATCCCCATTATTTGAATGAAACATACGTTTCATGACTTTTATATCCATTGCTGGTGTTCCGAAGATTTATACAAAATGCCTTAATTTATCTAGATAATAATTAGAAAACAATGTACTTGAAAATATTTTACGCATCATATTCCTTCGTTACCCAAAGCAATTCTTTCTAGATCCTCAAAAATAAGCCTTCTCGTCCAAATCCAGTTTGGAACTACTAATAATCTTATAAGAATTTCGAATTTCAATGGAATGTCACTTATTAGAACCCCGTTGAAAAGTAGACTAAACTACTATGCTATTTTTTCTCCCCAAACTAAAATCTTATGTGGAAAATTGGATCACAAATGGTATTTTTTTATTTAAATCGTGATGGACAGATTGCGTGAAAAGTAAATTAACCCAAGGAACGGTAAGGAATTTCCTGTATGGAGAACATATTTAACAACCCTTTAAGCTGTCAGGAATGCTTTGTGGTTGGTTAACTGAAGTAGAAATATGTTAATAATGCAGGCTACTGCCATACCAAATATGGCAATATTGTTACGTCTGGAGTCTGCTTCCCCATCTGGAATTGCTTAGCACAATGGAATAAAGAGGATACAGGGCCAAAAATAGAAGTTGTAAAGTTTACTTTATTTCCAGGCTCTGTAGGAAAGCATTTAAGACGTCTTACGAGCCTCGGTAAGGGTGACCCCCTCCAAAACCGCCAGCTTTGGCAATTTTATATTGGAATCGAAAAAAGCGCCACTTGCAGTAGAGCACCGAAACGGTCTTCCCAGTTTTCTGGCGGTAATAAACGCAGCCCGAAGGGGCGAAGGGAGAGATTGCAATTAAAATTATGGGAGGTATCCTAAACTAGATTTGCTGATTAATGGACAGGTGGTATTCTACCGCAGAGATTGTTGTGTGTCATAAAATAATTAAACCGTTACATAACGCCTCTAAAACTGGCTATATGACAAAACACCACACGCGCTTGCATTCCACTGCCAGCTCGAGTTTTCTTCTGCGTGTGGTCCCAGTTCGGGAACTCATTCTTGCAGGAATGCGAGGAGGGGGATGGGCTTTCTCTGAATAAAAATGTTGGAATTCGTGCTGACGAAATCTGCAAACTGAGCCTGGGCCCACATCAAACACTCAGCTTGTTGGCTACGTGGATTTTGAACTTCTCTTTGAAATTTAAAATGAGCCGGGAAGCTCGCAAGATAAGAATATCGCGCTGTTGCTTTCAAGTTCATCGCTTTTTAACTGTCCACTCGATATCAACATCAATGCCCCTTCTAGGAATAAGGAGAGCTAATGATATCCTTCGTTTGCATAATAATAATAATAATAATAATAATAATAATAATAATAATAATAATAATAATAATAATAATAATAAATAAGAAGTATTAAGAATATAATAATAAGAAGAAGAACATAAAGCCATTAAATCGTTTTAGAAAGGAGGGCAAAAGCATGAGGGAAGAAGGAAAAATGTGCCCTCATTTGCAAGAGGAAAATCCATTTCAGAAAAAAAACTTAGACAGGGTGGTGCTTAGCTTGGATGGAAAACGCGCCAAGAAACATTCCTTGCATAGTTTTCGGAACAGTTCAACATTCAGCCAACACTGCGTCAGCTTCACTACAGTATATAAGCCTGGTGGAGCGGAGTTTCACCACAGTGCAACTGCAACCACAGCTTTAGGCAGCAGCAGCTCCCTGCTACCTGCCAGACTACAAAACAAACGAGATACCGCGTCTTCGCTGCCGTTCGATTCCTCCGAGGAAGACCTTTTTTAATATTGTACAGACAAGGAAGAGCCGACCTTTGTTTTCTTTGAAAGTCTCTAGAACCGAACGAAAGCGCCGAGATGTTAATGTTGCCGCTTGTCGTTATCATCTCGGGAAGTTTCAGCATGGTAAGTTAGTATTTTCGTTTTAAAACTTTTACGTGATAAGGACTGTGTATTAACCTCTCGCTCTCTAACACACACATATATATATAGTACGACCGTGTGTAGCAGTTTCTGTAAAGGAGACAAGTAATAGGTTTCTCAAGTTTTACAGCAGTTGTTGAACAAAAAGTTGAAGAAGTATTGATTAGCGTGACCGACGTTTGGATTTAGAGCTGGTATTCCATTGAGAGAACAATTTGAAACCAAAAATAAACCCCACATAAAAAAAAATTGAAACCCCCCATAATTTAGGAAGAGAGAGGCTTGCTTTAGATACAACTGTTAATCATTTGCTAGGTCACTTGTTTATTCCGGTACACCTGAATTTGCCCACAGGTCCTCTCATCCTGCCCGTCGGAATGCGCCTGTCCCCGGGAGGTGCCCAGGTGCGCTCCGGGCGTCAGTCTTGTTCTGGATGGATGCGGCTGCTGTCGAGTCTGCGCCAGGCAGCTCAACGAGGACTGCAGCAAGACCGAGCCCTGCGATCACACCAAGGGGCTGGAGTGCAACTTCGGAGCTATCCTGGGGGCTCCGAGAGGCATCTGCCGAGGTAGATCTCTCAGACTTTGAAAAAAGGACGTGGGTTGGGGAGATTATTACCAGGAAAGTTCCATAGTCTTTAGACCATGTATGGTTACGCTTTGTTGTTCTTCGCTTTGGCAGAAAGGCATGTGATTTCAGCAGTCTGGAATGTAATTCAGCGTCTGGACTAAACGCAGGGCTTATACGTCCTGCAGAAGGAAAAGTGATTCCTAAGTAGCTCATTGTTCAGCCCTCAGGTCTCTAGGGTATCTGAGGAATTTGTACTGTAAATTGTGGTCAACGAAGCTCAACAGAGGAAAGAAAATAGTTACATTCACTTTTCTTAGTCTGTAACTTAAGCTTTTAAGGTACTTAGATTTTTTTTGTCTGTCTTTACAGCCAAGTCAGAAGGAAGACCCTGTGAATACAACAGCAAGATTTACCAGAATGGAGAGAGTTTCCAGCCGAACTGCAAGCACCAGTGCACCTGTATTGACGGGGCTGTGGGGTGCATCCCACTGTGCCCTCAGGAACTGTCCCTGCCCAACCTGGGCTGTGCCAATCCCAGACTAGTGAAGGTGACTGGTCAGTGCTGTGAGGAATGGGTTTGTGATGAAGGCAAGGTGCCCGATTCCAGGGGACAGCTGAGCAAGACCTTTGACAAAGACATCAAGCCTGAAGACTCAGACAATCACCTCACCAACATCAACGAGCTCATTGCCATAGTCAAGGGAGGTCTCAAGTCTCTGCCTGGTAAGTGTCACATGGATATAACTTTAATGTGTTCATCATCATCATTGGTCTGATGGTTAGATGCTTTGGTGACTGGCTGGCAGTGAGAGCCTCTCCAAGATTAACTTATGTGTCTCATGTTTTTTCCTGCAGCCTACCGCCAGCTTGAGAGCCATACGTTTGACAGCCAGAAGTGCATCATCCAGACCACACCTTGGTCACAGTGCTCGAAGACCTGCGGCACGGGCATCTCCACTAGGGTTACCAACAACAACAGGGACTGCAAGCTGGTGAAGGAGACGCGCATCTGTGAAGTCCGGCCCTGCACCCAGTCACCCTACACCAGCTTAAAGGTATGTATTTGAGTCGAGGCTATTGAAGCCCCATCACTATCGAAGAAAGCCTGCCCTGTATATGCAAGGGAGAAATAAACTGAACCCCTGCCAGTGCAGCCCCCATTTAAGACTTTGTTCCTCCTTTGCTTTTTCAGAGTGGAAAGAAGTGCAGCCGAACGAGGAAGTCCAGCCAGGCCGTGAGGATCTCGTATGCGGGGTGCTCTAGCCTGAAGAAATACCGGCCCAAATACTGTGGTTCCTGTGCGGACGGGAGGTGCTGCAGCCCCCAGCAGACCCGCACGGTCAAGGTCAAGTTCCGCTGTGAGGACGGGGAGGCCTTCAGCAAGCAGGTCATGATGATTCAGTCCTGCAAGTGCACCTACAACTGCCCTCACACCAATGAAGCCTCCTACCCCTTCTACAGACTCTTCAATGACATCCACAAGTTCAGAGATTAGCTCCACTGGGATGGCGAAAGACTCACAGCAGCGTCCATTGAAACAGAGACTAAACAATGCAAATGGACTGAACGCCGCCTTCTTTCGCCACAAAATTCCCAAGGAATTATGGACATGCGCCATGAGGACTGGGTGAAGTGCACTGTGTAGCTGGACAACAGAACAGCACTCTTATCATTTCTGTAAAAAAAACGCTTCATAATACTGGAGCATCAGTGGTAGCTTCGTTCTGGAGCAAACTGTAATTAGGGCTGTAGAATTTGTTTCTTAATACTGACTCTTGTGTATATTTTGTAAGTTTAAGACATGACACAAACTGTAGATAATTGTTCTAGATATATATAAACATAACTTAATTGTGTGTACTATTACCTGTATCCCAAGAGAGACACCACCATGAGCTTGTGCAACAAGCCAGTGGCGACAGTCCTTGCTTATGTGAGCACTAGAGTTCACGGATGTGGCAGCTATCAATTATCTCTTCCAGAAAGACATTGAAAGAGCAAATGGAGATACTTTTTGTCAAAGAATGAATGTTATTTTTAATATTATTTATCAAAATGTAGCTACTTTATTTGGATATAAAATCTCATACTGGAATAAATTGTAAAAAAGGATTTAATTTTATATTGTTCAAAATAAAAAAGGATTTATTTATGAAACTTAGTCTGCTTCTTCAGTCTTGGTGTTTTTATAAGAATTGTACTGATTTGGGTTTGTTCTTGTGTTCAAGTCTTCATATTGGCAAAAATACCTTTCATGTGAATTGACACTTATAAAAGCCCCCTTTTCAGTCTTGTGCCTCAAATCTTTTGGACAAACATTAAACAACACCAGGTCATTTCTACATTTTCAGTGCAAATATCAGCTGGTTCACAGTTAACCTTTTCAAATATTCTGCTCTTATTGAACTCAAAACTATCTCTGCAGTGATTGCCTTTTGACTAATTGTCAAAAATAAACAAAACCATGTGATGTATATTGAATATGCATGTATGTACTCACTACAGAAAACCATGCATGCTCCATTGTTGGAAGGTACAATCTCACTTAAACACATGGTTTTAACTGTGCCCTAATGAAGGCTCATGAAGTGAATTATGACCCTGTTTCATTCTTACATAATGTCAAGCACTTTCAACACTTTCATCTGCTTCCTCAACTGAAAAGGGTTTCAAGAAATTAAGGCATCTGTTGAGTCTGTAGGAGGTAGCTTGTTTCACTTAACCAGTGGAAACTATGGTTCTCACTAAGCTCCATAATAAAGTGATTAAAATTAAACATGGTGACAAGCGAGGAGGAATGCCAGGAATTTTGAGTACTTCTGCACTTGGGACTGGGGCCACACAAAGAAGACTTTTATAATCAAACTACATTTTCTGAATTACTCCGGAAGGTACTTCTTGGGTTTTGAATAATCCTTGTTAACATAGGGTGAGGGGCAAGATGTCCGAAATACCTGCAAATGACCTACTTTACACAGACTGACGAAAATAAACTGTAAAGTGAATCCACAGTTACGTGCTGTCAGATATATTTAGCTACAGGATGTCTTGTTTGAAGTATTCTGACAATGAACTTGCAAAACACTTGCTCAGTAAAAATTGAGCTGTGGTTCTTCCGATGGAGAGTGAGGAGGGAAAGGTGACAAATCAGCTTGTCCTGTTTCTAAACATGGATGCTTCTGAATGCATCAGGAACCTGTCTCTGGAATACTGTTCTGCATACAGTGCACCTATCTCTTGAGATACACTTGAGATAGGTTTTGATCCAGAAATAGTAATAGTGCAGGAAGACTTGATGAACAGCACATATTGGAAACTATTCCGGAGACGGAAGCTCACCTGGCTGATCTCTGTCTAACAATACACACAAGGAAGTATTCTTATTCTCCTTATGATCAGCATATCAAATGCCACTAAGACCATGATGCCTACAAACTGAAGTCACTCTACATAAATGCCAGCGTGCGAATATCTGAAACTGCTTTTCCACAAACACCAGTTACCAGAAACAAGGAGTAACAGGTTCAGGCAGCCTCTCTTCCTGCTCTACCCTAAAAATAGTAAAAATATGGAATTGTTGCTACTACATATAATACATTTATGACAATTATTTCCAATTCTAGTTTAGGATGACCCATCACATCCATGGGTTTGCTGAAGTAGCCAATGAAGTAAACTGGCACAGTCTTGGGGTGAATAGTAGTCTGTCTGTGGGGGACCTCTGGGTCTTCCATATTCAATATCAATGTTTACTTGTTCAGATGTCTCTCACCTGACAAAATCTTAATCTTAAAATGACGATGATGCGCAATCTATACTCTTAGGTTTAAAATCACCAAGGAGAAATAAAAAAGTAGTACAAAAACAAACTCCTCTGCCCTAGAATAAATCAGCAGCTACATCGCCTTCTGTAACAAAGAGTGTTTATATGACAAAGTTATTAACATTTGATTTCGACAGCTTCAGTAATGTTAAGTAATTCAGTACTTGGAAGGTAACAGTTGAAATGACCATTACAGCATGTTGGAAGCAGGAGCACTCTTATGTAAGCCATTTTATTGTCCTCTGGTTTATTACTCTAGGTTGATTCTCAGTGTTATTGGGAACAGAAGTAAACCCGGAGGAATTTTTACAGCTGCTCTGCAGACCCAGACTGAACTGATAATTCAGCCCGAGGGCCACCTTGTGGTCTTTCTTAAAACTGCAGACTTGAGAAACAGAAACGGCAAAAAAGAGATTCATTCTATTAAATTCATTTGGCTGACAGCTTTATCCAGTGGGACTTATTGAGAATGCAATGACCCACTGCTTTATTTTTATTTTTATCGTGCCCAAGGGTACAGCTGTAGTCTTCCACTGCCTTATTTAAATCCACAGCCCTGAAGTCAGGAGTCGAGAGCCCCAACCAGGCCCTCCTACACACTTCTTACAACAGCCAAAAGCTACAACTATTTAAATCACATAACATTTCCAGGTGTAAATGAGATAAAATAAAAAAAATCAGTATTCTGATTATTCTAAGTACACTTAAAGCAGTATTCTAAGGCTTTTACAGGGTGTACTCTTTCCAGATTAAACATGGCAATTAAAAAAATGGAAGAACACATTCAACGATTGCTTTCATAGGTTCCTGCCAATGAATTCTGTCATTTCTGGAACCACTGTCAACTTCTGCTATTACTTACTGCTCATTAGTGTTTTGAAATTGTACGACACTTACAACTAATGGCATCTGAACACAGCATCTTCAGTGTTTGTTTGTCAAGATCTGTGCCGTCACAGAATCCAGGGTCCGTTGATCTTGGAAGCTCAGCTGAAGTCAGGCATGCTTTAGACCAGCTAATGTGTTTAACCATGAACTTGGTGACATGGATCTCTCTCTCAACAGCCAGGGAAAGACTGCTTAGCAATCCACTTTTGAGAACAATTAAGAACTTTAATGTTGTTTCTGTGTATATCTCTAAACACTGTAGCTAGCCATCAATTTTTACTTCTGTCCCCCTGAAAGTTTAGGGTACAGGCTGTCAATTATGAAAATAAAGGACAGATCAATGCAGCAGAAGGAAACCCCAGTATTTGCTCAGTAGAGGTAATGCGCTGTGTCCTGAGAGCTGCCTATTACCATGAAGGAATTCAATGGTGGTTAGATAAGAGACAAAATGGTCATACAGACAGCGGCTACATATATTCAAAAAGCAATGCAACACATTCATTCACTGCTTCTATCTTCTGTGCTCACATAAACATAAACGCACACTCTTCCATCCAGCACAGCCACTGATGTCAGCCCCTTCGCCTGCCAAGTTTCTGTGAGGGTGTGGGGCTCAGCAGTCAGCATGAGGGTAAAAGAAGTCAGTTACCGAGGGCTGAAACACAGACATCACCCACCACGGATTTAACATGTAAGCAATGACGCAATTCCCCACCAAAGCTCTCAGTTCCTCTCACTTCACACAGGAATAATTGATGAGATGGGATTAACGAAAGGAAAATTATACTAAATTGACTTGTTAGCTCTTGGACAATTCCCACTGGGATACAGAAAAGGTTATTGTTTAATCCCTGAAACTAACTGCAGGCTGACGACAGTGTGTTCTTTATGCAATTTAGAAATGACCTCAGATGTTAAAACCATCACACAAAAGACATCTGAATTACTCTGTAATTCAGAACCCGTCTAGCATCCTGAGCCCACAGTCTGATATGAAGTCTTAACCTCATTGTCTGCAGACAGAACATGTACAAAGTCTAGTTGGTTAAATTTCACTCTGCAAAACCAGCACTTCTAGGTACTTTGTGCACTCCTCCTCCTGGCAAGTGGTGGTTCGGATGTGCTACTGCATTAAATAACCTGAAAAGCAGACGCTTGAAACTGTATATAAAGTACATACACTGAACAATTTCATATACAATGAAGAAGCAGTATATCATTTAATTTAACAAAAACGTTGGATACAATCTTCAGTTAACAGCAGTCCTGGTGCAGTATTTTTTGCTGCCTGACTAGTGAGATGTGTAACGGAAAACACATGGGCTTGAATTCAGGACATGCCTCTTCAATTTAGGCTCTTCCTCCATAACGAAGAGGTCTCCAAGAGGTCTACGCAGCACAGAAAATTATTATAAAACGTAAAATCCACGAAGAAAGCTGATCAATGTTATAGTCAGTGTCAGCGTAGTCCGACAGACCAGCTGTCCTTTGAGCCTGTTCAGTACTGAGTCATCTACAGGCCAGAGCGCCTCTGCAGGAGGAGCAGCAGGCCACAGGAGGACCCACTTGCCAATTACAAATAACGGCAAATGATGACTTCAGCCCACACTGTGCCAATTCTGCTGTCTGCTCCACTGTCTTTCACAGAAGTGCTTCAGTCATTGTGACCGTGTCTCCATCACCCTTCGGTGACCTGTGGTCCGTCAGCAAACTCCTTCACTCCTGCCGTCTGCTGTCCCAGGAACCGCTGGCCTCTCCAGCCACAGCTGCACACCAAGGCATCCTGCTTGAAAGGAAACCACCACCACTGCTGGGGGTAAAAGCACTTGTGAAACGCACAGAAACCACAGTCCGATTTCTGGAAGTGCGCCTGGGTTATCGGGAAAGAGGAGCCGAGTCACAGTGTGTGTTTTATACTGCTTGAGTTAATGTTACACTTGGAAATGGTGGCAACAGACTGGAGTAAATAGCAGGGCCCTGGACTCCTGGCTGAAGAGCTGACTGCTACAGCAAACCCGGCTGTGCAAACTGGTACCAAAACTGCCAGGGAAAGAGGGCTGAAACCTGTCATCTCTGTTAAGTCACTTTTGATAAAGGCATTTGCCACACTAGTGTTTGCAAGACAGAGGTTAAGCTACTTGAACAGATAAGAGTTCTGTGATTTAAAGAAGAAACTTGGCTTATTATTTTTTTCCATGAAGGCAACAATAAAAAAAAACAATTTCACAGTCCGAAACCAAATTCAGATTTTTTAGAACTGAAGCTCAATTATAACCTAGAAACAAAACAGAAAGAAATAACCCATTTAGGCAGCCTTGAAAACACACAGGAGAACAGTGAAGTGTAAAAGGAACAGAGCACATTTGTTATCAAACCTGGAAAGATAAGGTTTATCTTCTGTACTCAGTCGAGTTTCATTTTCATTAATTCCCATTGTTGAATCCCAAGTAGGATTTGTCTCATGTAAACTTTTCCATGAATCTGTGATTTTAGACATAAGGTGAAGACTAGCAGTGTTATGTTTCAGGAGGTCTTGCCTGGCACAGATATGGAAGATTCCTGTGCTTAGCAGATGGTGATGTGAACCTGAATGTAAAATAAAACAATAAAAACTGCCATCTTTAAAGCAGTCTGGCAAAAGATTCCAAGGATCTTGTGCAGGGTAATGGTGGCTTGTCAGCATTGTTTATTCACATCAATGAATAAACAGTGAAGGCTTTGTGCACACACAATCAAACAAGCCTACTTGGCTTACCACATTACCTGCTCCTGCTTATCTAGAGTATTTATGCGACAGCAGTAGAACTCATTCCATCTCCAAGTTGGGCTCAGAAAAGAGCAATTACAATTGTAAGAACAATTACAATTATGCACGCAACACTCTTAAAGCTAAGACTCCTACACGTACAGGACCCAGCTACAAACATTTCCAAAGTTTTTCAAACAATTAACTCAAATTGTAAGAATGAAGTCTTTTAAATAGAACCATTATGCTACTGCTATGTGAACAATTATTTGTGCACCAGTGAGAGTGCCAAAAAAGCTCCAATGAAAACAAACATTATCTAGGATCATCTAAAAGAGAAAGAATAAATTAAATGCCATTGTTTTTATTTAAACATCTTTAATGTGCTAGACAAATTGACACCTTTTGAAAAAAATAATTCCTTCTCTCTTATAAAAAGCATACTGTAACAATGTTATGTTGCTTTATCTTTCGTTTGGTTCTTCATCATAATCACTTTAAACTTTTCCAGATATAAGTCATTTGTTTTTTCACAACAAATCAAAACTTAAAAGGAATAAAGTGCATCTTTAAATAATACAGTAAATCACACGTCATCTTTGGCTACTGTAAAGATCGAATAGTGCCCAAAAATCAAGATTAAAATCGCAAAAACAGCTAGTTTCCTCCGGCAGGGGTACAGCCCACATTCTGAATGATTTAGGTGTGCCCCCTCACTTTGTCACAATGAAAAATCAATTTTAGTAAGAAAAAATGCAGGTGAAGCCCCTGCATGACCTGGCGAAGCAGAAACCGCTGCCCGAGACGGGACAGCCAGCGGCAGGAGGGCCAGGGCTCAGAGACGAGGAAAACACCTCCGGGAACCAGGGAGCAGGGGAAAGACTACGAGGGCTGCGAGAGTGTGGAGTTCATGTCCTAAGATCTCTGAAGCACTTATAGCCAGCAAAGAGAGCTGAGCACTAGATTAAATCTGAATTGCACAAGTCAAATCAGCCGTTGATTACCAAGCAACATCTTCAGCCAAAATGAGTTAAAATTTTAAATTGAATTGAAAATGTTCTTCTAATCAGTTGAAAAGGGACCTTGTAAGGTGCTGACCCAAGCCTATAATCATCAGAACCTCTGCTGTGTAAACTTCCGTTACCTGTGGCAGCCAGGTGTTAAATCGCCGCAGTAAGGTAAGAATCACATGAGAAAACGCAACACATGAGGGGATCACGGCCACAGCAGGATGACGTCTGCACCGAGCTGAAGTGCAGAAGACGCCAAGCTGCAAGAGGAGACGACCCTGCTGGACACTCGGGAGAACCAGTGGATTTCCTTGTGAGAGGTCTGGCAGGGATAGTGCAGACTGCTGAAGGCAAGGGCAAAGCCTGCTGGCCGTGGTCTCGGGCCTCAGGCGCCACGGGGTGCTGAAGGCCAGGCCTGCCAGTGGACGCGGGTGATGGCGAGAGTCCAAGGTAAAGGATTTGCGAGCAAGGGAGGAAGTGAGCCCCATTAGGCCAGCAGAAGAGAATCAAGCATTGGTCCAAAGCTGAATCACATAAACCGGTGGGCAATTAGTGTTGCTAATGGATACCGACATCACAAACTGACAGGGTTCAAAGACAGTACTGGAAATCTGCTTACCAATTTTCCAACGTTTCTGAAAAAATAAGTTCAGTAGGTTTAACCAGCAAATGATCAATCCACTCCCTTAAAATGCATAAAATTTTCCTTTTCTACTATTAAATATTGCCAATTTAAAATTAAAAATATTATTTACTGGGATATTCACAGATATCCTTGTAAATAGTTAAAGACATACAAAGTATGTTCCTCCCTGTCGAAATGTTAATTTATTTCCCTACCATTTAAAAGTATAAGCTGTGATCATTCAATCATCATCCTCCCAACAAGATGTCTCAAAAGCTGTGTTGGATTTATTTACTCCAGTTTATTTTCATGGTTTTTACATCTGCAATGGCACTAGACACGTATGCAGATTACAAACAGCATTTGGGTCTTAATAACCATCAGTAGTGCTGGCACAATAACTGTGGATTCCTAGCCTTCTACAGCATCTTGTACCATTTAAAAAGCATTTTGAGCTTCTCTAAATAGAATTCAGCTTCAGCGGGAAGTTTAGCTTAATATCAATAAAGAAGATGAAGCCATATGCCCAGTAAGATCAGCAAAGTCCCAGGAGGATGCCAACGTGACAGCAGGCCAACATATGGATGACTTAAGCACTTCTAGTCTGGACTGTGAGCTGCCATTGGCAGGCCAGAAGATCTTACCTACATAAAATAGTCAAACCCTGAAGAATGTACTTAACCACTTGGTAAATAAAATCTTGAAAAGCATGCTGCTGAGTCTCTATTTCACAGACTCCTTTGTATCGGTGCACATTGCAATGGTGTGATCTTCTCGGACAAAAAACGAATCCTGCTCTGCAGGATGTGCATGTCAGACAGTAAATAACTACCTGTCTGGCACTCCAACACCTCTCTTCTTCACTGGTGGAGTGAAGGACAAAATGGTTTTCTAAACTTCTTGGTAAATGACTCCAAATCAGTATGATATTCACACAAAGAAGCACGTATTGCACATTAACAGATTCAACCCATCTCTGTCATGTCCTGTGGGCCATATTGCTGTATTAATTTTTATAATGTGTGTTAGGCTCAGCCAGACCCATTAGTCGCTTACAGGTCAATCCACAGCGATTCAGCAAACAGAACCAGCATTTATCAATTCAGATACTCCCTCTTGGCCACTCTGTAATTAAGCCCGAGTATACACTAGGATGATGTTTGCAAAACCCATGTCATAGTGGGTACGATTAATGCACATTAAAATGACTTATTCAACTAAATGCCTTTGATAAAAGGAATCATTTCCAAGACAAACAAAGGTGACAGATATCAAGACAGACTTGTAATGCCAGATTTTACTAATAAGACATTGCACTTAATTCTTATAGTGATAAGAAAATCAAGTACTCTCTGATCCACTTAGTATAGCATAATCCACCCATTTTCTTTTTAAGTCCCTGCACCTGCTGTACAACCCCTCTCTGATCAGGGTTGAAGCTACAAACAACAAGCACAGCAGTGGCAGAAGAAAATATATCAATAATATAATTTACTGATTATTATGACTGAACCATGAAAACTTATAGTGTATCACTGAAGAAGAGAAACACAAAGACAGCCAGGACTCCCCCACATCAGACGACTCTTGAGCAGAAAATCGAGAGCTGTAGAAAGTGTGCCAGGACCCAGAATGCTGTGCAGTAAGACTGTTTTTGCTAGGCGTCCGTTCACACATTGGAATTACTCAGTGACAAGTGTCAGATTACAAACTTCAAGCCCATTTGAAATATTGAAGTAGAGACAAAGCTGTGGGAAAAAATGGTTTTGAGATGGAAAAGTTAAAGCTATTTGTTCCAAAGGGATACAGCGTGCCAAGAGCCAGTGGAATGGATTAAAGCTAAGGAAACAGGGAGTGCAAGCCAAAGCTAATTTGTATCAACACTGCAAGACTGAAATTCTAAAATTAGCCCAAAGAGAACAGTCGCACATTAAAGAGTTTAGGAATTACAAGACCTACTAAAATACGTCTACAATTCAGCTCGTGTGAAGCACAAATAAGGACTAGGCTTTGAAGCACTCTGTATTTAGATTTGGTTTCTTCACATAAATTATAAAAGCGAGGCGTAAACACAGAAAGGCGAGGATAAATAGGACACCAGGAGGCTGTGCTGGCTGCAGACACAATATACAGATGTTCAGACATATACAGCAGACAGACAGAGGGAACAGCAGTTTATGTCTGTGCACAGCATTTCTTTTACACCTTAATCTCCTTCAAGAATATGAACCATTAGCAGAGCTGAAATGGTGTCAACTGCGGGGAAAATGACAGAACGCCTGCACATTTCAAATAACAAAAAGCTGAAGTTTCTCTTACAAGCTTTACAATTGTCAGACTATAACAAAGTTCAACTGGACATTTACTGTCCAGTAAATGAAAAAATTTACTGGACCCATAATATGAGTCTTCTTAAGGTTGTCTAAAACAAAAACAGTTCAGATTTGACACATCACACTCCTTCTGATTGTGCTGAATTTCAAACATTCCTAGACTGACACCAAAGGTAAATGAATTTCACTCAACGTTGAAGAAGTGAAGGAGTCCACATCCAGGTACTGAACAGATCTGGAAAATGGACAATCACCTTCAGAGTTTGCTTAACAAGTGCAGATGTCAAACTGGCTTATTTTTACCTTTATTTGTATAGTCTTTGACTTTGCCATTTTCAGTACAGACTAATGTTTTTCAAAAGGCTCCGTATGAACAGTGAAGGCCCTGGGCAAATTAATTAATTTTATGTGATAAGCAACAAAGCATAAAGGGTGTTGCATCCTGGATGGGACAATTGGTTTTTGAACACTTCTTCCTTCTTAGAAATTATCACATCAGGCACTAGAAGTCTGCACACAGGAGCTCAAGTTTCTACTCTCTCTATACCTTTGGTTTAACAAAACTGTCAACAATAAAGAAGCAAACATGTTCAGCTCCTTGTAAGGAGGGTTTTTGCAGTAATAAAAAACATCCCGTGAAATGAAACTGGCCTTTATAAACACACAGTGAGAGAGTGGGAAATTACCATAATTATTACAGCACTAATGTTAGAAAAAGCCACACCGCCCCTACACAATGAAATAAGTAACAGTACATGAAGAATTGTTTAACTTGGCTTTGCAGCCTTTTAAAAAAAAAATTAAAATCCGATAAGGTAGATATCAGATGTTGCACAAGGAAAGGAAATAGTAAGATCTATTAAAACCATTGCTGAAACAGAACATGAAACTCTTCAAAAAACAGCCCTCCAAATGAACTGAAAAAGATTTCAGCACCACTTTAACTCTTGCCTTCTCACAGGATTAACTGTAATAAAGGATGTTTCTCCATGGGATGAGAACAGTCTCCTTACTGGACTGATGAACTGCTTGATGTGAACTGCATAATTTACAAATAAAACAATCCCTTAAAAACAGTTAAACATGGGCAGGGCTGAATAAAATCAAGGTACTAAATGGTGTTTTGGAATGGGACTGGCTGCTGAGCTTCATGTTAAGATTCCACAGCCGGTGAGCAAATTCCCTTCAGGATATGAACCCTGCTGAGATCACAGCCGCCTCCTGTCCCCGTGATCCAACAGCAGGCTCAGCAGCGATGTCCGGGCAGCAGCTTCCTCAGTCATCGTCTACAAGCTCTCCTTCCTCCTGCTCCTCCTCCTCCTCCCTGGTGCCTTCTGCAGGACCTCTGTGTGCTGCCCCGGACTCTGTCAAAACAATCACAACATTTCTTTTAAAAGATGAGAAAGCGGAGAGGTGTGTGGAAAACTTTCCTGTCTTGCTGGAGTGCTTGAATCAACAGAAGAGATATTTCACTCAGGTATCGGCTTGTTGCTTTGCTGTGCAAAGGCCAATAGAAATCAACGCTGTGCAGGGGGCGGGGCGATGAGCTGCTGACACGTGGCCTGCAGTTGGATACTGGAACTGAGTGGACAGAGGGGGGCCTAAGGCACACTTTTTCAACAAAACAGGAAATCTTTGGAAACATTGCTTTGATCTGTGTGCAGATCTCTTCCCCCCCACCCTGTGGAAACAAACTACTGCAAGAGACTTTAAACAGGGGGCCGAGAGAAGAGGATCAAGTGTCCAAGAGTTATGCTGGGAGCGACTTTCAATTCTGTACGTTCCAGTCTTTGGGGTAGTGCCCTATAAAATAAATATATTTTTACAGTTAGCCCCACTGCTGGACTGACTGATACACTGGTGGGTCTGATCCTAACAATTTCACAAATGTTGTACCTTTAAATCAGTGGACTCAGTGTGGCCTCGAAGGGAAAGTATTTTTATATATACTGCTTTTTCTTAAAACTTTCCAGTTCTATGATATCTGAAAACCACATGTGGTCCATTACTGCTAAATAACCTCCTGTTTACTGTAAGAATTCTACACATTCTGCCAGGTTAACACATTCATTCAGAAAAGAAAAAATCCAATTACCCACTTCTCTGCAGTTCTAAATGTTGGACTTTTCTTCTTTCAGGAAGTCAGAACTAATTCATAGATACTGGGCTATCAACATGTACAGTACCAAATACAAGTAACAGAAGGGTATTTAACAATATCCATTCTGTTGTAGTATCACCAGAATCAAAATTATACCCTCCGACACACAAAGCAAGACAATATATAATGACTACAGTCCTGAGTTGCTTTTAAAACTACAGAATGCTTACATTATCTATATATGATGTCCATAGAGCTGAGCTCCAGACTGAACTCTTAACTCCCCTAGGATCTGCTACATCCTAGACTGATTCCATGTTCTAGTGTGAAAAGGAATATCATGTTTAAAAAGGTAAGGGAACCAGTTCCTTCAAAAAAAGTGCCAATATTTAGTCAATGGCTGTACTTCCAAGAGTGGACTGTGAGGGCTGTTTCCATGACAGACAGGTGAAGAAAAGGCCGACAGCACTCTGATCACGCGGCCATATCGGGGAATTTCCATACTGCTTGATTAGTGGGCTCTTAACTGCAAACTATTTTCCATGTACCTATCACTGCTGTCTTAGGAGGGCCTCGTTCTGTGGCATGTGAACGAGCATCACGCAGGATATTCAAGTCAGAAAGATTGACAAATTAGGTAGAGTAGAGGACTTGGCATTTGCAACCCAGTATGGTGCTGTACTGTGTATGCCAATGTGTTCCTGCCTGAAGGTTTTGATCATCATTTTGGCGGCAAAACTGAAGGAAGTTTTCAGCCCAACGCAATCATTTCCTCTAATCTAGCCCGTCGTCTATGTCAAACGGCATGATAAATAGTCCCCTGCTCTTACTTACCCCATTTAGACATGATTTAATGCTTTATAAAGAAGCAGACTTAATACAGAGCCAGAAAACAATTACCTCATAAAGCCTTTTTTCCTTTCCCCTGTAAGGTTCTGTACCTTCCAGGAAGTGTGAAAGGAAGAGTGAGAGCTCAGACAGACCTTTACCTTGTCCTAGAGGAATGTACTGGTCAGCATGGTCCTTCAGCACGACATGAAGAACTGGATACTCGATAACAGTCTTGTGTCTCAGACTTTCCAGGAGTGTCTTCTGAAGAAAGAGCTCATGGTACCTTCCAACAGAAAAGGGCGCACAGCTTTCATTGGCAAAGGGCGACAATGCGACGTGAAACCAAGACCTCAAACTGAAACTGCATCTCTTCCCTACCAGGCTCTGCTTGGGCTAGTCTCTTTGACTACACCTTTCAGGTGTTTGAATTTCTGAATCAACTCTCCTCGGAAAACACCGATCAAGAAAGAAGAAACTGCTCTGTAAACAACCTTCCATAAAGACCTCAAAACCATGCATGTCTACTGTTTAATTTCCTTTTGGGAAGAATAAAGCAGGCCTGGCAGAACAAAATATCATCACTACCATCAAGAGGTTACTGAAACCAAAAGAACCTGAAGCATGTGAACATGGTCTATAAGAAGGGCTGCAAAAGAGAGTAAGACATCCAGCCCATTTGGTAGTTCGCAGTTAACTGATCCCAGGATCTCAGAGATTTTTTTTGAAGGAGGCCCCATCTTCGGTTTCACCAGGTTGGTTGGTTTTTTTTTTCCGGCTTCCCCAACCGCTTTGTAACAAAGACGGTCCTGTTCTGATAAATGCCATTGAATATTAAATAAAATGTTGTTATTCACATTATTATAGTTTATGTTTTTAATTAAAGCTCGTCTTAGCCATTAAACCCTTTTGCAATCATAAAAAGAAAACCGTAAACAAATGCATTGATGATATGAAAAACATCCAAAATTTCAAAATATGACAAAGACATCAAAAATGGCATTCAGTTAGACATCTGGTATGACATTTAAAGTTATTTTCTGGCACTGTCAGAAGGAAATTAAGACTTGAACAGTCCTGTCTCAGATGCAAACAATAATGAATAGGCAATAACATTATGGACTGAAGGTCTGCAGTTACTCGGTGGTCTTCATCACCCCCCATGACAAACATACTTGTCTCTATTCCATTTGTAATCTAATAATACAAGAGATTAAAAAGGAATTTGTAGCCAATGGAAAGAAGATTTTGGATTTATTCCCATTTTAACTATTAACCGAGCGGTGCAGAGGAGTCATGTTGTATATTTTGAAAAAGAAAATGTATTAATGGTCCTACTATTGTTACTGTTTACCTTATCAGCACCAAATTTAGCAGACATAATTAGGCATGCCCTTTTTCCTTGGCTGCTAATTAGGAAAATTTGATATGTCCGCAGTGTTATTAAAATATGATTTTTTTCTATCTTGAAGATCAACCGAGCAGTGGCGTCCTCACTCTGCAATATGTGCAGTTTAAAAAAAAGCCTCATTAGCGGCCCTACGTTTGTTATTCTTTACCCAACGGGCACCAAATTTGGCACATATGTGTCGCACTATCACAAAAAGATTTTGGAAAAAAATACAGATCTGTGCAAGTGCACACGGCATAGCCTGCATATCTATAAGTCTTTTGCAGAAAATTGCTACAGTCGTTATAACATTTTTATGACTTGTGTAATCTCCACACCACATTTGGTGCACAGGTGCAGGCAGGTCTGATTTCCTTTCCTGGGATACAGGTACCACAGCGATGACACACATTAGTGTGAACACATGCACATTACTCTACTACTGCATAGATTTTATCAACATGGGAGGCAATTAAGAACCAGCCCAGCGCCTTCGTGACGAGGTGACTGAACCTGGCAGCAAACCCTCATGGAGAAAGAACAATAAAGTATGCTGGCTCCACCACTGGAGAGTAAGTCCCCAGTCCCCCCCTCAGGGGTATCGCACAGGCAATCAAATATGTACAGGTTTGGTTTGCATTCCCAGAGATGCAAAGACCAGTTTACTCAGACGGTACTCCCAGCTGTCCTGGGATTTCTGATCTAGGGAGCTAACACCTGTCCCTCTGTCCCTCAGATGCTCCACCAACATGCTGGTCTGCTGTAGCGAGCAGCCTGGCTGAAAAGGCCCACTAGGACCTTTGCAGCACAACTGCCCCGTGGGCCTTTAAAATCCAAAGGCAACTGATAGCACAGAGCAGAGCCAGAGAGGCTTTTACCGATACCAACCGTCAGGGGTTTGCAAGAGGGCTTGATCATCGGCCATAAAATTCTCCTCGCTGGCAGTGTTCTACGTGCAAACATCTGTTATGTATATAGTGTTCCAATGAATGGCAAGCTCAACTGATGTGCACTCTTGCGAGGAAATTGCTGTTGTTTTTCAACATATTTATGTGTCTGTTATGAAGCCCCTTTGTTTCCCACTTTAATGCCCGAGCAGTACACATGCACTAAATGCAATTCCATCGAATTTTGGTTGCCAAGTTATGTTATATTCTGGTGCCTAAGACAACATCCTAAATGAACAGGATGAGAACTGAACCATTTTAGTCTTAAACCAAGAAGACTGTGAAATGACCTGATTCACTAATTCAAAATCCTCAAATGTACCAATAAAGCCAATGTGAAAACTGCATGGAAGCGCTTTTAAAACCAAGGACAGGAAGCACTTCTTTACCTTAAGATTTGTGGCAGTCTGAAACAAGTTACCCAGAGATGTCATTGAAGGCAATATCCTGGCTTTCTTCCAAGAAACAGCCATAAGAAATCCTTAATCCAATTAACTGCCAGGGGACTGAGTGGCTTCCTCTCATTTGTAGCCTCTTCTTCTGTTCATGGGGTTCAGGAAGGCAGCCTGAAGCACAGAGTGCTGCTGACTTCCCTGAATGGCCTCAAGACACGTCCACAGACTGCTGCCCAGCACAGCTTGGGGCTGCACACTGAACCCTCGTTAACCCTCAGAGTAGGGGGGCAGCTAAGTTATGTAACTATGTCTTTGATATGAGGTCATACTTCTTTGGCCAGAGACTGCCTTCAGGTCTACTCAGAACATTCATAATGAACATCTTGTTAAAACAAGCAAACCTTTCTTGGCTCCCAAAGTGCTCCTCTAATGAGGACAAGGGGGGCAGTAAAATGTGTGTATTTCACTTATTCTTCAATATCCTAACAGGGCTGGGGGGCAGATTGCAGATTTGGTCACCTTTGATTAGCAATGTTGCACTCCTTACTGTTTTATGATCCTGCCCATATTTATTACGCCATTAAGACTCTGTCTGGCTTTTCTTGTTATTGTCCTTATGTAAAAATTTTAGCTAACTGCCGAGGTCTCCTCTCAAGTAAATACATAAAAATCACTAGCACTGGCAAAGTTTGACGTAATTCCCAGATAGTTCCATTAAAAGCAGGAGGTGTTGATGAGATTAATATCCACTTACACAATTGTAGCAAACACAATTGTCATGACTTCATTCTCATTAAAACATTCACCTAATGTTTCAGGGAGGCTAACACAACTCAACTCAAGAGAGCTAGAATGATCCCTAGACCACCATAGACAGAAAAAGTTACCTTAAAATCATCTACACTTATGAAGGAGACATGAAAAAATAGATTAAAATTGGCTCAATACCTGAGGGAAACCACACTTAATTTTACTGGAAAATCAGGTATGGGTCAGTAAAGTCAGAACTGTCATTTTAGCTTTATAGCAAGAAATCTGTGATCACGAGGTTATTTGAATATAAAAAGTACACTATCTTACTCTTTACTTTGGGATAATTCCATGGACACATCTTAACAGTGTAGTTAATACTAACAACGGCAGAAGCAGAATGGAATCTAAAGGTCTACAGAAACATTTTGTCTGCTTATGCAAGAAGAAAATGCATCCATACTGTAGTTTTTGGGTGGTGCTTCATTAAACAGCACAACAATGGCCCAGAAAATATGGCCAGTGCAATCAAGAAGTTCACTGGGAGAAACAAAGGTGGAAAGTGTTACTCTATACAAGTAAACCTACAGCTGTAACGTTCTGCATAGACTGACGAAAACAATTCAGATTTAGTTGTGTGACAGTGATTCTACATATCAAATGCCACCCAATCCACATTCTAAGCTTGATCTTTAGATGCAAATGTTAGACAGAGGGATAAACATTCTTTGACTATCTCTTCTGTTACATTTGTGTTCTTATTACTATGAAATTAAACAGCAGGACAGCAGAAGCTAGCATGTAATCTTTCTGAAAAAGAAAAACAATGAAAGTTTGACAAGTTGTTCTTATTCGTTACTTGGCTTGTATTTGCAACAGTTAAATGTTTGAAGTCTACATAATTCTGAATTCAGTGTGTACATGATTAGGAAAACAAAACTAAAGGATAAGGACTTATTTCAGGGTTGGGCAAAACCAAAAGCATTTGGGGCACTATACAGGGTAAAACAAACAAACAGAAAGAAAAACAAATCAAAATAATTATCAAACAGATTGAATGAAGTCATCTGAGAACAAATGAGACTATAATCATTATGGCAACTACTTACTCCAAGATCTTTGAAACATAGTGAAAATGACAAATAGGACAATAATAGGACAATGCAAACTGAGAGGTATCTAAATTAGATTAAGCAAAGAAATTTGATCCAGTCTGGAACTAAACCAGAGCCAAGTGAAAGATGCATCATATTTAACGGGGGCAAAAACGGTGAAATTTTGACTTAACTTTTAGTAGATGGGAAATGATCCAAAGAACAAAAAGTGGTCTTTAGCCAAGAAAAAAGTTCAGAGAGCTGAGCTATTGTGGCAGGAGCAAACTGCGATAGGACTGAAACAGTGGAGTTGAGTTTTTTACATTATGAGTGCGCACACGAGCCACAAGGATTAAAGATTTGTGAATAAGCTCTGTAGTTCCTGCAGCATTACTCTCCTACAGTTTCTGTGAGGAAGGCTGTGAGCGAATCTGAGGAGAAAGGTGGTAAGCAAGCCATGTCCTCTTCCCCTGCACTTGAACGGAGGAAACACAGCTCTGAGCAAGTCCTCCGTAGAGGCTGCTCCTATAAGAAAGGATTACAGACACTAGCACAGCCATGAAAAGCGCTCACACTCCCCAAAATGTTTAATTAGCATTAAGTATGCAAAGGCAAGGAAAAAATACAATTTGTCACCCACGGATAAACACTATAGAACTTGGCTCATTTTGATTTTTTTAGGATGGCTCTTGTACAATGTCTTCTGTCTGACTTTGTCACTTTCGGAAGAATGAGTATTGTATTTTTTTTCCCCTCATTTAAGTTAAATTTGCATGCAACAATTTCAAAATCCAGGAAAAAGAAAATCAGGATGCTCACAGGTAGCACTGTGTCAGGATGAGACTGTTAATGACAGCGTAGATTCTGAAGGATCACTAGCCAGTTTGATTTAATTACTGCCTTTGAAGTGCCTAACACAGAAGAGTGGTGAAAAATGAAGAATAACTCTGCGAGTGACTCCTCTGCAAGAAACCGTAAACTGGAGTTCTAAATTATTCCTGCATATGGGAGGGAAAGATCTGTATTCAAACCATAACTAATTCAGAGCAAGTGTCCGGACCAAGATGAGTCGAGCTATTTACAATGCAAACAGTCCTGCCCGGGCAACAAGGGGAGCGTGTCTGAACACAGACACACCTGCTCACAGTGAGGATCCTCTCTGAGGGCTAGCTCGGTTCTTTTCTTCCTTCACTTCTGGTAGCTGCTTTGGAATTGATCAGAACTACAGAAAAAAACAAAATCTTCAAATTTAGAGCAATTACAGTAATTCAGCCATAGAACAGGTTTTAGGAAAAAATATCTGGTGTTTTTCTGAAACATTTTAAGAATGATTTGGTAGAAACAATACTATCATTAAATTTGGATCTGCTCTCAAAAAACATTCCTTCTTGTTTTTGTTTCCAAGTGGAAAAACATACACATTAGCATTGTCCCAATTAAGAAGGTTAGCTTTAATGACTTGTCAAATATAGTTCCAACTTCTCTAAGAATAGTCAGTTTCAAGGTTATGGTTTCAATGAAGCCTAAAGAATTACAGTACTACTCTGAAAAGCATCCTTAGAAACCACAGAGCTTCATAGCCTCTAACAGATATATGGTTCTGGCAGATCACGCTGGGTCAAGATGCTGTTTCAGGTGCACTGGCATGCCTCTGCAGCACAGGCAGTTCAGAACAATAAGCCTTCTGGAGATAAACTATTGTGCATTTTTTATTATGCTACAAGGCTCAATTACCACTGTGAAGACTCAGCTAACAGAAGTTAAACACAGAGAAGTCCGTTTCCTCCTCTTCCAGCTTCACAGGAGTGCTCTGGGTATCGTGTGAGAAGTGTGGTTAATTGATCAATGGCAGTACGGTTTATCCTTACAAGCTTAAGGTACGACAGGTGCTAAAAGTCCTGAGGTGCACACAGGCAGGCAAACAGCATAAGAACACGTACAAACAAGAGGCAGCCATTCAGGTCATCTAACTTGCTTGGTCGTTAGGGTAAAGAAGCGCACCTGTTCCCATGCACTTCCACGTGTAGTTTTGACGTGGTTTTTCTGCATCACAGGAAAGAACGAGACAGACGCACAAAGAAAATAACTCCAACTCACCTGACAGAGTTTGACTGCCTGTTCTCTGCTTTCATGAAGATCCTTACGTGATCCAGAGGAGCATGCTGATACACCTTTAGCCTGGAAGACATTGCAGAACCGTGACGATGTAACCTGATCAGTGTGGTCAGGTCCCTGCAAATGTTTAGGACCTGGCTGAAAATTCTAATGACCAATTACAACAGGATTTCAAACAATATCTGATTGGCTCATGGGGACAAGGGATCAAATGCAAGGGGACAAGTTAGGGCAGCACATCAAATCTCACGTCTCCGAGAACACGGTGGGAGCCGGTGCACCAGGAGGCAGGGAAGCCTAACTGGGATTTTTCAGCTCTGGGTGAAAGACGGCTGTTTTTTATTTTTTACAACAATATATAATGAAATGGCAAATATATGTTGGTAATTATCTTAACCAGGTGCTTCTTCCCTGTTCTACTTTGCTACTTTTCAGAAGAAAGAGGGTACACATTTCATTGTGGTTTTTACATTAGAGCAGAAGAAAAGGTCACAAAGGAGATCCAGTCTCACACGGCTGCCCTACAGCTGAAAGTGTGCTTCAGAGTTTGCTTGTGCTTTCGGCATCCTCCCTGAAACAAAAGCGCTGGATGTCTTGACTGAGGTGATGGTCATGTTAAATTTCATTTTCTGAATGCAATGACTCATTCTTAAAGCAGTCCTGTGATGAACCATGCAGGCACACATGAAAAAAAATGACTTCCGAACACTGACACCTAATACTGAACCCAGACAAAGCAAATCGTCTTGCGCTTAGCAAGAACAGTGAGTCAGAGGATTAAACGACAATCGTGAGAGAAAACAGGCCTGGAGTGCCAGTTAATAACAGCGTTCAGCTGCTGGTTTGGAGCTGTATTACAGGATACTGAACTTGCAATCACTCAACCCAATATTACAGCATCATTTTTAACCCCATAGTTAACCATAACATCAGCTACCAGCTCTGCAGACTGGCATATCAATAATGGGAATTACAGCTTGGATAATTAATGGAGTTAATTGTCCACAATCATTTTGGCATTGTAATATTTACTTCCTTTCAAGACTCGGGTAGTGAACCATGTGACAGTTCACGCTCAGGGGTCATGCAAATCTGACATAATAAAAAATAGAATATATTAAATTTTCAGGTTACATATATTTAAGATAGATATTTATCATATATCAAAATAATATTACTAGTTTAAAAACATTTGTTTTAAAATAATAGTTTTAATTAAAAGCCTGTAGTTTTCCCACTGTTTTGTGTACAAAATACATGCTCAATATACACACATTTGTGGTTTTATTTTAGTTTAGAAAAATAATATGACAACTAAAGCTGCAAACATCAGTGGCGAAGCCAACATATCATGATTTATTGGCAAGGGCATTGTTCAATGGAGCATGTATGTTCTTCTACCCTCCAGTGTAACCATGACCCTGTTTGCACTCTCTCGGGAGCTATAAAACAGTTCTGCATGTTGTCTTCAAGAGATGTCAAAGGTCTCAAGCAAAGATATTTTTGGACACAACATTCCTTTGCTTCCAGAGTAATAGTGACCATATACAGTATACACTTAATAAGCACACTTGTATATTTGATCTATAGCAGAACACAAAGATGCCAAACACGGATATTTCTTAATAAAGCACAAAATGCTTCCTATATGCATTTCACAAAAGCCATTATTCTACGTACAATATGTCAGGGGTGTTGAAGATTCTGCATTTGACATTTAGGACGGGTCAAAGGTCACGGAAAAGGTATTTTTTTGGCCAGCGGATATTAGGGTTTCTGTTTGCATTCCAAAGTTACCATGACACTAACTGCACCCACAAAAGAGTTATAATATGGTTATGTGTTTGATGCTGTGGAGAAGTTAAAGTTGACAGGTAAGGTCATTTTTGCTAGAGCACATAATGGTTTCTATTAGTGTTCCATAGTTACCATGGCCCCACCTGCACTCATTATGGAGTTAGAAGCTCATTTTTACCTGAAAGACAGTTCAAAGGTTGTATTCAGTTGTCAAATCACATGATCAATCAGCCGTATTCAGCTGTGAACTATAATTCCCACAGCCTTCTATTTGTCTGGGATTAATCGCAGGACTGAGACATCCTATTAAATAGGTCACAGCAAATGCATATAACAGCACTTGAAATGTTACAGACTCGGAGTGGCCCTGCTCTGCCATTGGCTTGCAAAGGATGAATTTGCTTGGAGACAGTCTTGAGAGGAAGCCTGCCCTTGTCTTTGCACACCAGACTTTATGCAAGTTTGAAGCCAAAACTGTAAATATGAAGAATAAAAATGGGGAAAAGAGATGACACTGTGGAAGGCTGATTACATGCGGTCATGCACTGTGAACATGTAGAGCAGCTGACAAGATCTACCTTTATCTTGATTACAGTCATCTCACGTTTCCCTACGATTTTCTGTCTCAATAAACTGGAATTTAATCAATGATACTTATTCTACCTCTCCGCTCAAAGGCTCTTAAACCTGTCCAGCCTCATTTAAGCATTTAAGACATTAACCCATTTAATGAAGCAATGCAAACATCCCATTCAAACCATCTGTCTGGAGAACTGTTTAAGACCGCAGACTGCAGGTTCCATCACCGTTCTTTTTGTCTCTACTTGCAAAGAAAGACACACTCAGGTCCTTAACACAATTTAACTCCAAGAACGTAAGATCCTCTGAAAATATAATTCGCAGTTTCATTTCCAGCCCTCAGCAAGGGCAGGAGGACAGTAGGGAAATTGTCTGTCTACAGCAGGCATCTCCAATGCAGGACCTGGACAGCCCCAAGACACCGCGTTTTAGACTGTGCAGTGCCGGAGAGGCCCGTTGTAAAAGGAGGAGCTGTGCAGCCTTGTGATCACAATTTGAATCCAAATGGAGCCACAGGCTGACTCTTCCCTTAAGGCCCTGCTACAAGGGCCAAGACTGTGAGGTCCCTGTCACTGGACCATGGCCCCTATTGGCACTGGCCAGGATCTCCCAGCTTGGCAATATCAGCAGCAGACCCCCCTTCCCGAGCCTCCTTGTACAGTTTCCTTTTGGGGACCATGGCTATTCGTAAACATGTTTCAGAGAAAGCGACTGTGGAAGATGGCACTCAAACATTTTTCCAAATTTGGAATTCAAATTCCAAATTTTAGGTGTGTATACAAAATCGAGCAGAAAAGGCTTACTTCTGTCGCCTCACTGGCTCTGACTCCGTAGCATGGATGAATGGGGCTAAGATTTGCTCCAGCGTTCTGTCTTCTGGCACCCTAAAAGAAAGAAACATGAAAAAACTGTGAATGTACAGCAGCACAAGATGTACACACCCTTGATGAAAGACGAAGGGGCAGCTACAGGAGAACTTTTCCAATCAAGAATTAATCACCACATGAAGAATATAATTACCTCTGCATCCAAGTTAAAAAGAAATCTAAACCACAGTTAAGTTCTTTTGATGGTCTCCAACAGCTCTGCACATGCCTCACCTTCTCTCTACATATTCTGTGTGGCTCTGGGGAAACACGAGCTTCAGATGCCAGAAGAACCGCTGTTCCCTAAAGGATGAAAGAGGAGAGGAAGCAGGTTAAAGTCTTTCTAACTACCTTCTGCTGCCAATGGCAGAATCTGTTCTGATATAATGCAACTGGAGGTAATGACCAGCAAGTCTCACTGGAAGGCCATTCATCTATACCAGTGTTTTCCTGCAGGGTCTTCAGATGCCACAGTGTCTGTGTCTATTCAGTAACTTAGTGTCCAGGCACACTTGTTTTCAAGCCTGTCTCTGTGCAGAACATATCCTAGCATACAAACCTAGTAACTGCACTCTTTAATACCTGTATTTTCTTGATGCATCTTGGCAAGTTTCTCTCAAACTACAATGCAATTTCTGAAGAGGTCCTCAGCCAAGAACAGATTTAGCTTCAAAATCGTTCAGTAAAACCCAAACTGAAAGGAGTTGTCTGTCACTCTGCAGAGTTAAAAGGTAAATGTTACAGATGGAGCACTTTTTAAAAACCCCTGAACACATTTCCAAACTGTTTTTCTGAAGACAGCTCACCAAGCCCAATCTAATTGTATTCCTATGACTGGCAGATCACTGAAAACAGACATGACATTTTTGTGCATGAAGAACGAGTTAATCTAATTTGTCAGGGTGTGGATAACATACTGCGAGTGTCCAGCTGGCTCAGGTTTGACCACTAGGAATAGCTACATACTAGCAGGTAGAAACACGCTGGACAATAATTTGGGTTGCTTGGGGTTCTTAAATGTATCCAAAATCAAATTAGGACATTGCCAGCACAGAACAAAACTGACATGATTGTCTCTCTGATGCTACAAAAGCAAACCTAGCACAACACATCACTCTCATCCAACTGATGAGCGAGGCCCAGTAATTGGAGAACAAAATCTGCTGGAAAAAACTGCAATAAAACTATGAAACAGAACCGAAATCTTAATGGGGACTGACAGTATTTTACTTGGCAACAGACAATTTTTCCTTCCTTTTTGATCCAAACAATGTAATCTTTTCAGCTTCTATTCTGGTGCTGTTCGACTTGCTGGAAGACATTTGCAGCACAAGAAACAAATTTCATGCAGAGTTTGCACTATATAAACACACGCAGGTACAGAAAGCTTACGTCATTCCCAGAACTGACACGGAGACAGAGAGAGGCTTCCTCTGTTTCCACCAGTGGCTGACACTACAGTACTGCTTTCTTTTACTCTGCAACCCTCCACAGGAGCTCCAGGACACCCAGTGACAGGATTTCAAAGCACTTCGCACAAAAACATTTAAGGACATGCAGCCTTCTGGCTGGCAATTGACGTCTACAATGGACACATGGCACTACATCACAACCGCTTCCTTCAGAGCGATGGGAGTGACAGGGGTCCAACATCCCAAACAGCAAACAGAAAACACACTGAAAGACAACAGCCCACGTCGGTCTCTGCTCATCACAGTACCAGCAGCATGTGGCAGCTTATTCTCTCCCAACCGCAGCCAGACAGGAAAGAGCTGAACTCTGCGCCCATCATTTTATTTTTTCATCTTTTTTAAAAAATGTACAGGGGAAGGGGCAGTAACATCCAAACTGCTGGAAAGAATTCTGGAAGAGGTGTGGGCCTGGCTTTGCACTGAGAGAAGGCAGTTATTAGTTTCCACTTGGATGTGGACAGGTTAGGGGTCTAAGGAAAATCCCTCCAGGTGCAGAGGAACTGCCTCAACCTCCTGGCTGGCTGGGGATTTATGAGCGCTTGCTGAGGCTTGGCAGGGACGAGGTGTGGGGAAAGCCATGAGGGCGGAGGTGAAACTCCAGGTGTGAAAGGAGTTTTCTTCCTCTGTTGCTGCCGAGACAGGAGGAAAATATTTTCTTAAAATCTGGGTTCCAAAAGCTGCCAATGACATTAAAGACGGGATCCAGGCTCCTGCCGAAAGATCAGCAGCTAGCAGTCCGCTTTTCCAACAGAGAGAGAAGTCAACAACAAGCAGGGGTGAGAGGAAACCTGTCAGCCAGCAGTCCAGCAGTCCTCCCCTGAAGGAACTCCAGTCTGGAAGAGGTGATGGTTATTTCTACTGCTCAGGCTCACCCACCACATGTTCTGAAGCAGAGCAACCCAGTCTGTTTTCCTACTGTAAATCTATATTACTATCATTATCTTACTCTGTTTTGAGATCTTTTGGCTTTTGATGCACTTTTAAAACTTCAGCCTAATCTCTTCAATCTAATTACCTTCCATTTCTGAGACTAATCAGCGTTGAAAATTGCAGGACTCTGCAGAATGAAACAAATTGGAATCATGAATTTTCTGGTTGTAAAAATTAAATGTTGTTTTTCTTAGATAACGCGTAGCAAAGCTTGCATATCCACTATGTGCTTTTATAAATAATACCTCATACACTGAAAGATAACTTAATAAAATGTTGCATGATGCCATAAAGATGAAAAGACTCTCGCTGTAACACTATTTGTAAGGTTTTCAATCTGAATCTCCCCTGGACCTCAGAGTACTGGTCCTGCTGCTGCTTCATCTGACACCTGGCACCTGGTTGCCCTTCAGCTACTGTTCACTTAACTACCACGGAGCAAACCAAACAGCATTGTTGCTAAGGTATAAGTCACAATTCATACGCCCAATTGCTTTTTGCCCGTTTTGATGATTCATTCGGTAGTCAGTCCCAAAATCATAAATTACATTTAAAAAAAACATTCATGAAAACAGTGTTCCACAGTTATGATTCTAAAGCTGTATGACAGTTTGTGTACTCTAATTTATAGTTTCTGGAAATGACTCCTAGCAGAAGTTCCAGATTAATTTCTTAAGAATTCTGTATTTTTTCTAACTTGAAAATGACATTGCCCCCTTTGCACCAATGAATCTTGGCTTGCTTTGAGTTTTCACAACATTTCAAACCTCCTACAGGCTATCTAAGGCAAAGCAGGAGCTCACTGTCAAATCCTGCCAAAAAAAAAATACTTCTTGATAAACAAAAAGGACAGCTCAGATGCTGCAATTCACTGGGAAACCAAAACTTTCCTGTGCCTCTGGTTCCTGCCTTTTGGTTTTCAACTGATCAGAGTACAAGCCTGGCCAGTGGAGAAAACTAAGAGACATGTACCCGATACAACAGCTGGGAGTGGAAGAAACAACTGTCCAACAATAAACTTTTTCTGAACTGAACCTCTGCATCCTGAGAACCTTTAGGTTTTTCACTTACATTTACCAGTTAAAAGCCTGGAAATCACCAGGCAAGAATTCTAAGATTATGACTGAATATGCAGCACAAACAGAAATGCTCTGCCGTCTCGTCAGGCATTTAACAACAAGCGCAGGCTTCAGCTCTCTTGCTTGGAGACATCTTCTCATGAGGAAAACAAACAGCGCTGGATCGGTGCACAGAGAAAAGAATAAGTCAACAGAGAGATAAGCACCCGAGGCAACGAAAATAAACTAATCAACACCCTTGGCGCTTGTAGGCCTACTGAGGAACAGGGAAAGGCAGACCTGTTTCCTCCAGGCAGCAACTGGAAGACAAAAGAGAACAGCGCCTGCGTACCAATATTGTCCCCGAGCCCCTTGACATGTTACTCACTCGCTTTTGGTTGATCAAAATAAAAGGATGAAGCAGAAAGGACTGCTCCATGACTGACTGCGTTTGTAGCTCATTTCATCAGGAGAAGAGACTGGGAATACGCAGACATGGCCATCTCCCCACGTGTACTGCAAATACATGAGTAGTGATAAGAGCTCCGGAGTACCACAATAAAACAAGACAGATTTTTGTTTTTGTCAGGGAAAAGTAGGCAAGCACCCAGCAAGCAGTGGAGAGTGAATTCCATTCCATGCAATAAACTGTATTTTGTCTTTGTGGCATGTGATACTCATCAAGGGGAAATTCGTGCCAAAGCTGAATTTCAGAATAGGTTGGGTCGGGATTAAAGGCTTTTCTGAATGAAAATTTATGAGGCCATTTAACACAATATGTGTAGCTTTAAAGAAAGGAGCTGGAGAGGGAGGAGCCGAAGATCACAGGCAGATGTTCGCTAAGTAGTTGGCATTCGGCTAGTATCTGACTTCACTGCGAAACTAACATTGTGTTTAAGGCTTAGTTTGAGAGTCATACTCCTCCCAGTATCACAAGAGAGGAGACCAAAGCTGCTCCCAAGACAGGAGCTCTGTGAACTGGGCTGTGTCAAAGGAGTTCACTTCCAGAAGACATAACGATAAAGCGTATGAACAGCACTGACCAACTGCAGCCCAGACAGCACAAGTCGGTGGCCAATCAAAAGCACTTCTACTCAGAAGAAGGAGCAACCACAGACGCCCGGCAGCTGGGAATGGACTAAAGTTTTGTCCACTGCAAATCAAATAATCCTCAGTGCCCCTGCAACAATGTTTAGAATTAGTCCAAACCATTAATTTAAATGCAATAAGAATATCTGGGCCATTTCTTTGCTATTAACACAATGGTAAACACCACTTGGAAAAAATCCCAACATTAATTTCTTATCAGCCAGGCAGGGTCAGAGTCTGAGTGGTACTTCTGGAGCCCAGCCTCAGATGTGTGCTCAAGAGGTATTCTGCTAGTGGGCCAGAAGAAGATATTTGTCAAATAAGACACAAAAGAGAGCACTACTGGAGAAGCCCAGCAATTTATCTGATGATTTTTAAACCTATAAAATGCTCTGCCTTCCTCGGCTGTTGCTCCTCCCACACCGCACTTGACGAAAACAAGTGGCCTGGCTTTAAAAAGAAAAATCCCGTTCACAAGCATGTAGTTGCAAACTCACATTTACATAGGAGCAACAAGCTTAATAAGGGAAAGCCAGAGGTAGAATAAAACCACATTTCTATGCTGTGAAAAGATTGGGTTACTATAGGCATGGGGGGAAAAATACATACTGTATGCCTGTGGAAATGTCTAACAATACCATATGGATATATTCTGTGGTGTATCTATACCCCATGTATATTTCAAAAGGTAATTAATTACTGTAATTACCAAAGCTATTTCCAGTCAAATTCTTTGTTGTGTGCCCTTTTCCCCAACATCAGTAACCAAGCGCAGGGAAAGAATGCTTTAATTCACACACCCATGCCCCAGCCACTCAGCCAAGCATGAAAGCCTCTACATCCAGCCGCCAGTAATTCTCTCTATTTATCTGGCAGCAAGGGTTTGTATCATGAATATGTCGCTAACCATCTGCAGTCACTTGAGTATAAAACATCTGCTTTTTATATAGTGTACTTGGTACACTCTGAAGGCTTTTTACTGCAATTTATTGTATACTGTTTCGGCACAAACTGTTGTCAGATTTAAGCTAACCCATATGATCATGAGACAACACATTCAAACCAAACCAGGGGCTGTCACACAACCTAAGACGGTTCTGACTTGTTCCGGAACAAAAGTGCACAGAGGACAGTGTTCCGAGTGAAACTCTGCTTTCCCGGGATTGGGCAGTACGTTTACATTTAATTAATTTATTCATACTTTTTTTTTTTTAAGTTGCTCAGCCTGGTTATGATTTTAGCTTGATATCTATAGCTGTTTCTGGAGGTTGGGTCAATGTCTGAGGATCACAGTGGGGATCTCTTGTTTTTGCCCCCTTTCAGGACAGAGTTCTGACTGGGTATCTCAGGCAGCTGGACCCTACGGAAGGACAAGCAGAAATGGATGGATGAAAAGACAGTGAAACAGCGTTTCTGCTGCGGAGCCTCTGCAGGTGTGAGCAGGACAGGGGGAGAGCAGAGATAAGAAGGACAGAGGTGAGGATGAGAGATGGAAATCTGACATAAAGGCTTACGACCCGCAATTTTTAAGAGACGGACCATTCACCTGGACCCTCGATCATCTTTAGTCCACCGACCACAATTCTTTGTGACCTTGAAGTATGTAGATCCTTCAGTCCTCCACAGCTGCCGTCCACATCAGGGACTTTTGCCAAATACACATTCAGCAGCCCACAAACACATGATCCCTCCAGCCATTTCAAGGTCATCAACAGGCCACCAAGCATGTTCTGCAACCTCACTTCCTACACTGCAGCAGAGAAACAGGAAGAGCCTGCCTGCTCACATCAGGATCAAAGCCTTTTCCAGTCTCGCATTTTACCCCCTCACCCCCAATCCTGACCACCCTTCCCCCTCCGATTCACAGGGATTCAGCATCTCCTATAAAACACAAAGAGAGGCTCAACCCATCTTCAGACAGGGCTCACACCACCCCCAGTAGCCAGCGACTGAGGAATTGTTCCCACTGCTGTCAGATTACCATCTTGCTCTCCTTTCACCTCCACTTTGCTCCTCTTTCTTTCACATTTCCCCTTCACCGCTGTCCCTCACACCGCTGTCTCCCTGTTCTCGGCACATCACAAATCACCGCTGAACTCCCGAGCATGAAATTAAGTTATCAAGCACTTCTAAGTGAACAGTCGGGGACTTTGAGTAATGAGTCCCTTCCCAGAGGCATATATATTTGTACAAGATAAGGTCAATTTATTGGCCATATACAATTTCTTACATTAGGAATTTGTCTTTTCTCATACCCCAACTTGCTCTCATAGACAGGGAGAGAAGCCATTTATACAGCGCCCCTGGAGCAGCTGGGGTGAAGGGCCTTGCTCAGGAGCCCAAGGGAGTAGGATTCCTCTGCTGGCCACGGGATACGAACTGGCAACCTTCCAGCCACAGGTGCAGATCATTAGCCACAGAGCCACCGCTCCGCCCTGAAGCAAGGATCCAGTTATCTCCCTTTTGACTGATGAACAATATGGTATATCCCATTTTTAAACACTGCTGTAATGCAGAGCAGAAGCAGCGCCTGCCTCCTCTCTGGACTCTCCCTTGATTTCACTCTGACTGCAGGATCCTGGGTTCACACCTCTCATTAACTTCACTTTTATTCATCTACAACCCAACAGCCTTGCGTCATCTAATTTACTAAAACGGACTTCTAATGACACACAGAACGAGAGTTAAGCTATAGTGAACGTGCCAAAACTCAACACTCTCCAATGCATGCATCAGCATCTACTACAAAAGCAAAGGAAAATTTAAAAGGTTGGATTGCTGAAAATCAACAGGCATCATGTCTTGATGCCCCAGGACGAGTTGGCAACGTACAGTCCCCTCATTTTTATTACGGGATCAGAATGATTAAACTGTTTTTAGTTTTGAAAGAGAGAATGTGACTGATGCCATGACAGATGGACCTTGGCCCAGAAGCCCACGCAGGAAGGGGTGTGTTTGTTTTGGAAGGAGCTGCCACGATTCACAGAGCTCTCAACTCCCATCGGATCAGCCTGGGAGGTGAAGAATCTTCTAAAGGCATCAGGTCAAGTCTTGACTCAGTCTCAGAACTGCGGCTCTCTCAATATATTTTACCATTTTACTGTACAGGTAACTAGTGCAGCTCTCACAGGTAACACTCTGAAGCAAGTTAATATTGTATCACCAGGTCCCAATATATTCTCCACAAGACATTTCAAAATGATAAAAAAAACATCAGTAATCAAATAACAACACTAACACAAACGTCAGGGCGTACTAAAAACCAAGAAACAAACTCAAGGACATCTCTAGGATGTAAACACTAGTTAATGTAGCAAGTTACTCCAGGAAGTATATAGAGATTCATTTAAAGAGCTTTATGGGCAGCAGGAGAACTTCAAGAATCACTTTTAGGTGATTCTTCAAATTATTTTTCTTTCTGTGATGCAACCGTACACCAAAATGGTAATGGACACAAACCCACTGAGGCAACACAAACGATTTGCTTTTTAATCTTTTCTTGCACTGTTTCTTCCTGATGTCTATTTACCAAGAGTGACACCTTGTGGCAGGAGCAAGATTACGACACGGCTTTGGAGGAACAGTTAGGATGAGGAATGAGTGTGTGCTGGGGTACGAACTATCAATCAGGTCCAGAGAGCCGCAGGACATCCTCAGAAACCATGAGAAAAGTTCCACTCGCAGTCAAGTAGTGTGTCAACAAATGAGGTCTCTTGCAGGCAATGTGTTCTGGCAGCTCTTGCATTGTCTGAATTCTACAGCTCTTTCAATATTTTATCATTATTGCAGTACTGCCTGTGGTATTACTAGACTATGATGTAAAATCTAAACTTTTAAAAAAAAAATTATCCCTCAGTCAAATAAAGTTAAGAAACACGATTGGGGTGTCATGACTTTTAACGTGTATATTTAAATAAAATAGCAAATATAAAACAAAATAGTTAATAAGAAAATATTAACTATTCAGAAAATATTGTGGTAAAGACAACATAAAAGAACCGGCATTAAAAGCTTCACCTTGTTCTCTTAGCCGTTTGACACAGGATGATGATCGAAGTGAAAAAGCAAGACCTCCAGAAGTCAGATGTAAAGCTGGAGAGGCTACATGCTGGGGCTCAGCAACAGCACTCACACCATTAGAGCTGTTTCTGAAGAAGTCTTACTTCCTCACAGGAAGGGGAGATGTGATACTTATCCGATACTTGAAGCAAAAAAAAATGGAAATCATACTTTTTATGAAAGAACGTGGAGTTTTCCTTCCTCTTCGAGAATCCCACTGGCAGGAATTTCAGGTCCAAGTGGAATCTGCGGGCTTGGTTCCTCATGAAGTTGAGCTGCAGAGGAGGGGGGAGGGGGGAGATGGAAAGAGATCAGACAGCTGCTGAAGCCGAATGCACCAGTTCTATACACACACTTGCCTGCCAGAAACTATGAACCAAATACTTTCTGATTTTCGGGAGTTTTGAAGTCAAGCCCACCTCGATCACACTTTAAAAGTAAGGGCTACGTGACCCAGCAGAATGGCACAATTCAGAAAAAGCCGCGTTCCGTGCCTAGCAATGTTTGTGTAGCGTACACTCCTGACCGCAGTTCGTGAAATGACTATTCCTTCATAAGACCATGACCACAGAATGATTTGTTTTAGCTCCATGTTTATGAACTTGGCTTCTATTTAGAGACATTCAAAATAAACACGGAAAACTGTTTTCCTTCCTGAGCTTTTAACATACTTGAGAACCTCACACTAAAGCAGGTAGGAGGAATGAGCCACACTAAACATCTCAAAAACAGAAGTGAGAAGAAGGGAAGCAAAGAACTTGGTCTCAAAGGCATCAAATGTTTTCTTTTTAGAGAAAAAAAATAAACTAGCCAAAGTTTATCTTTTCAAATGACCCCTTCTCCCATCGTTTCACAGAATATGCTTACTGTGTCCCACCAACCCACACCTGGCCTGCAGGGAGCCCCAGTGGCTCAATACCAACCGTGGTAGTGCCGATGACTTGGCTACAAGACATCTCCAGGCCCAAGAGAAGCCCAGGGGATCTAACTTGTCTGAATTCCATAACAAATCCAGAGCCACCATGGGTTTCGAACCATGGCTCTCCCTGGCAGTGTTGTGTGCGCAAACGCTCCTTCTAAAAGCCCGTGGTACCCTCAGGACAGACTCACAGGCTCTCCAGATCGGTGAAACCGAATTCAATATGAACGTGTGGCACTACAGTGCACATCCCTGGTCACGTGAGTCACTCTAATAATGCAACATTACACTTGATGAGTAATGCAACTCAACTTCAAGCACTGCAAGGCATTCAATATCTTCTTTTATTGTTCTCCACTTTCTTCTTTCCTTTTTTGTACTCTTTGAGGTACTCAGCTGGTCCAGATCAGCTAACTCAGACAAAGCAAACACTGAGAGACAAAATCCGAGAGACCGAGGAAAGAAATTTGAAGACTCTGGGTATGACAGTGTCCTTCATCACCCTAACAAAAGGGATTAAATTAATCCAAACGATGACCAATGATTAAATGGTATGAAAGAATCATTGGCTGCAGGGCATCTATCTACCTTGTACTTCAGATGTAGCAATTCAGATGTGTATGCCACTGAACTGCCACCTTGTAACAAACCGAGAAACTGCAGGAAGTTAACTTACATTTTTGGTTGAGAGTGGCCTGTGAATAAGAGAATCCCTGCCTGCACTGTCCGCCAACCTCCCTGCATCCTCCAGGAACCTGTAATCTGCAAAAACAGACCCCAAGACAATGTCAAGCAACTGTTCTGCACAGCCAAGCAAATACCAAGAAGGGATTTTAAACACAGATTCCCAGGGCTCACCACAGAGAAGATTCATTTCATCAAAGTCGGCAACGGGCACAAAGGCGGTCTTATCCCGCACTCCACTGCATCCTGAATCAGATTTGTGTCTCTTCACACAGGACAAGCTGGAAGAGGTAGAAGAGCAAGAAAAAAAATGCAGTAGGCCAAACTTTACTTACTGCAATTCAGTCTCAAAGCAGGAAGCAAATAAATCACAGGCAGATATCAGAGCCTTCATGCTAAAGCCTTCCGAAAACAGGAGGCCAGACTGTTCTGCTAGCGCTGCTCCTGGAAAAAACAGACCCTGCCTATCTGTGTGCAAACCTTTCCATCTTTTTTTTGTATTTCTTTTGCATACACTGACAAGAGATGCCTTCAGCAAGATGCAGTACTATTGACGGAGCAGAATTACACTGAGCAGAGCCTTAAGATAAAGATCCACACTGACTGCAATGAGGCACAGAAAGTCAAAGAAAGCAGGACAAAGAAAGGGCACTAGTGACTGCTGAAAGAAAAAGAACTTGAAACCCTTTTATTACATCACTAGTCCCTGAGCGCCTTCAAGGTTCTGCAGTGCTGAAAAACTATTCTGATCAACCCTATTTTTGCAAAAAGGGAAATTGAAATAAGAAAAAAACTGCTATCCTGGATCTTTTTAATATTTATTTAATATCATGTGCAAATGTGCTCGAATATGGTTTTAAGAAACATTTTTCAGTTTTCATATTAAAATGTCAAGATAGAGAAGAAAAAAAATATGGATAGATTGAAGTGCGTTCATCGCCCATTGCTGATTACAGAGCATGTCAAGTTCTTTCAGATCTGTCAAGTACAATACATGCAGCACAAAACTGGAACAAAGGGAAAACGCTGCTGTACGAAACAATTTTGTTGTTGCAGTCTGGAACAAGATGAAGTCAATACTGTTGTTTCTTTCAAGAAATTGCTGAAGGAGATCTTGGCATCAATTAACTACTAACTTCCAAATGAGAAACTGAATATTTGGACGTACAGGCCTACTTTCATTTGTAACTATTCTTACGTTCTTGTCTCTTAATTTTACAGGCTTTCAAATAAAAAGGAAACCCTCATATGTGATGCAGAACATTTCAGGTTATTAGTCTAGTGTCTTAAAACCAATCAATTAAAATACCCAAACTGCTGTTTAAACAGAAAGGGATATTTCCTTAAAAAGTATGCAGCTTGGTGGTTTAATTAAGGCAAGTTTTCTGACAGGATGATAGCTATGAATGCACCTTTTTGAGTGCATGTTTACAGTGTGTTGTCACACAGGTAGGAACAAAATGATCCAAGCTGTTTTCTAGGGCTTCTTCCAGATAAATGTCTGTTCTTACTATAAGCAATTAGTGTAATATTTTTCCCAAAGGGGAGGCACATGTGAGTGTTGTTTAAATTTGGGGAAATAAATTTGCCTGTTTCCAAGATGAAAAAAAAAAACAATTTCCTTAGTGTTGCCACTGTGGCCCTGGCACTCAGTAAACAAGAGCTTGTTCCACCTTAAAGAAAACATGCTTATGTCTGCTGTCAGTATTGGGTACATCCAGAAATTAGGAATAATCTACAACTTTGGGAAAACGAAGGAAGGGAAACACGAGTGTTCAAGCGTGCCGTCTGATTTCCAGGAATGTAATGGGGGGTTAAAAAAGCCCCCGGTAGAGACAGGGGCAAGTCCGCGTGACTGAGCAGCCAACGGGGGTCTTACCTGCAGGAGGGCCTCAGGCAGCGCGGGCACCTGTATCTCGCTTCTTCGGATCCGCAGGCTTCACAGCTGTTATTAAAGAAGCAACGCACCCCTGAGCATCCAGCACACAGAGCTTAGCGACCCGAGGAAGCGGTAAGTAAATTACAGCGGGGGGAAATCTGTCTGCAAACAGACCTGAGATTAACTCCATTAACATGTCATACGTCGTGCAGTTAAATTCATTTTATGGAAAATTTTTAATCTAACAGTTTCACGCTTCGATATAGCATCTATAAAATTAATTGGCACGACTACGTTACAGTCACTTTCCTTTAATAAAATAATAGATGAATGGACTCTTACTTCGACAATGATATTTTTCTTTTTATTCCTCTCGTTGTGTCAGTCGTGTTATCGAGGTCATTTTGATTTTCTGGAGTTATTTCTCTCTCCATTATAACTCTTTTCAAGAAACACCGCTAACCAAATAAACGATGCAAAACACTTCTACAGACCCACGTGTAAAACACAGCCGTATTCCAGATTACTAATGACGTTACGACAGTGTTTCCTGGCAATTTGAGTCTCCGCAGCTTGCCGTAGGACTGGGGGAAGGGACCGACCAGATTTATATAAGGGCGCCCCCTTGTGTAAATTCTCCCTCATTACACCATATATTTTATTCCCTGCTCATTAGTGGAAAAAAATGCCAGTATTGGATAACAAAACTTACACAAATGCATTTTTGACTATTGTAGGAATGAATAAACAAATTAATAAATGAAATACTATTTGCAGGCTAAAATCTTAATTTACCCCCTTGAAGAGATGGGATAGTCATTTCTAATTATAATGAAAAATAATTACAGAAAACTGAGTAAGGCTCACAAACAATCCTTAACACATGTAGGACTGCTCTCCAGATTAAGTATTAAGGTTAAAGGTAAATAATTTCTAATACCTTAATAAATTTTGCTTTGAAAAACAAGCACATTAAGTATTTTCCATATGTTTGTCATAATTGCTATTTCTTAAATAAGTAATAGATTAAAGTAGTGCTGGGATATTGAGTTTAATTCCCTACCTGTGCTGCTGTCTGCGTGGAGTCGGTATGTTCTCTCTGTGTTTACATGTGTTTCTGGGTGCTCCAGTTTCCTCCTACAGAATAAAGACATAATGGTAGGTTAATGGACTTCTGGGAAATTGGACCCTGGTGTGAGAGTGTGCGTGTTAGTGTCTCTGTGTGTCCTGCGCTGGACTGGCGTCCTGTCTAGGTTGTATCCTGCTTTGCTCCTGGTGCTTGCTGAGATAGGCTCTGGATCCCACATGACCCTGTTTTGGAAGAAACAGTTAGGAAAAAGGATGGATATACTGTAACATTACTTCTAAGGAATATTTCACTAAAATCTAAATGAAAACATTGGGGGATGTACATTTTTGTGTTTCTGCAGACTTGGCTTGAGCCTGTGAAATATCTGTGTCTTGTGTGTCGCTGCTGGGGTGCTGGGGTGCATGTCCAAAGAGAGAATGTCCACTCAGCGCTGTGGTGAAGTGGTCCAAGAATGCAGAAACACTTTCTCCTTTGGCAGGGAGCATCGCGCGGCTTAAAAACTGACAAAAGGGGGTTTTGTCCTCCTTGGGGGTGAAAAACAAGCTCCGGGCTTTTCAAGAATAAGGCTGGATGAATAGTTTTGTGGGGAGCTGCAGGATATATGAACTGGCCGAGCTGATTGTTGAACATGCCCCCCTCAAAGGCTAATGTCCTTCGTGAGGGTTCATCTCCTGCTGAAAGTGAGATGAATGTTTATTAGTCTGTATTTAGAGTTGTCATGGCACTGAGAAAAATGTTCCCTTGCGAGACACAAAGGCTAAGAACAAGAAAACGTCTCCAGCGAATTATCCTCAATAGCTGGAGTGCGGCTAAATCACTGAGATTTTATATTGCTTTTTTTTACAAAGTCTATTTTGTTTATTTTTTCACTTGAGCCATTTGCTGATGTAATGTCTAGTTTTTGCTCACTTACATTACTTCACATTGTTTCTCGGCCAATCTTAAAAATATTGTGGTGGGTCTACGTATAATTAAGATAGAAATGAGAAGCACAGGGTCGTACTGTAATAGCAGTGAGGTTATTAGTAAGGCACTATTTCTGACAGCTATTATGTTTTAGGAAAATTGAAGAAGCTACTTAAGTAATGTTCATAATTCAGTATTGTTTTACATGTGTTTAACATATGCCTAATTAGATTAATGCACAACTTTTATGTTTTTATGTCTGATGAGGAGATCAGAGAATTAAGTAGCACTTTAATCAAGTTTGTGTGGCATTTACTATTTTCAGGCTACATTTTATAAGCAGGGACACTGTGGCACCTATGAACTGCCTGCAATAACAGTAGCTAGAAATTGTGATACTAATGATTCAATCCATTGGTTTGTTAAACTTTTCTCTCCCAGTGTGTGTCTACAGAATATTTGTGAGGTTAAGATGACCTGAAAACTCCTATAAGTCCCGAAGACCTGTGACTCTCCAGAGCTCTGGGAAGGGATCCTGGTTCTGCAGTGTGTATAAACTCTGTATCCTGCCTTACCTGCTGGTTCAAAGGAGAAATGTAGCTTCTAAACTAGCAGACATGGTTGCTTTACACTGCACCTCGTCAGACTGCGTGTTTGTGTTTGGGATATGCTGGTTTATGCTGAATTAGAAAGCAGATCTCCATGCCGAGACGCAGGTTTTCTCAAGTCACCATCTTAAACATGCTTTCATTCAGAAGACTAAAATGACCTCCTCTTGTTTGTAACATTTCTGTCCATGCTGAGAAGACAAAGATCTCTATGAAACACAATGCCAACCAGAAACTCTGGAGAGTGACTGTGGAGACACAGGAGAGAGAGATGGAGGGCAGTAGATAAAAAAACATAATAAATGAAGAGAAGAAGTGTTACACTCGAGAGGAAGCTATTTGGCCCATCAAGCCCGGTTTGATTGCTGGTATTGATCCAAGGATCTCAAGGCTGTTGCATCTTAATGCTTAGTTAAGCATGAACGTGTCCAACTAAAACCAACAATCTCGGAGGCAGATTAATGAACAGGCTAGTATAGGTTGTAGCCTTGGGGCCCCGGATTGATCAAGGGACCCGATTGGCCAGAGTATTTTTTAAACAGACCAGTGGGTCTGATTAGGGACTCCTGATTGGCCGGGGTATTTTTTAAACGGACCTGTGGATCCCCATTGGTCCCTAAAAACGTGGAATAATGTGTGAACTAATGATTGGTTAGATGCAATGTGTTCGCAGTTTTAAATTAAATTTATTTCGGCAGATTCATCGGGTGATTTTTTTGTGCAAGTTTACGGTACCCAGCCTCGAAATGTGCGCGAAAACGAAAAGCAGGGTGGTTAAAAAAGCGGTTTGAGCAGGGTCTGGTTAAAAAGATCCACAGATTGACTGGTTATTTCACGTTTGCTGAGCCGGGCCCCGGTCCTGAGTTTACAGCTAGCGTTGCAGCCAGTGCTACAACACCCGCGGTTGAAAAGTTAGCTGCTGCCGGCTCTCGCCTGGGCGCATGTGGACGAGCAGCTCCCCCAACGGGGTCGGAGGCAGAGCCGTCTGAAACGCCAACACCCGCTGCCGTCTCCGCGGGACCGACGAGCCGCCGCCATGTCTGTTGCACCTGCTGCCGTGGAGCCAATAGAGGCCGCAACAGCAGCTCCCGCTTCCTATAGCTCGGACCCAGCGTGCTGGGGTGAAATAGATGCGGCCATACTGGGTTAAACTGGGCCCGGAATCGTGTCAAAACCAAGACGCAGAGGTTGCAGCATCAGAAAGACAACATAAACGCTAAAAGAGGTATTTCTCTAAAACCCTCTTCAAAAGACAACTCGGAAATGGCGAGTGTGCGTCAAGCGAATGGCTGCTTTATTCCCTTTTCGAAAGGTGCAGTGTTTTGTTTCGCATGTTAATTATTTGGGGACAGTGGTGATCAGTCTAGACTGACTGCAGAAATGCAGCCGTACGCTTGGCTGAACACGAAGTGTCGGAGAGCCGTGGAAAGCCTATGGTTGCATACGTTATGCGCTGTGCTGATAATGGTCTAATCGGTTGAGAACTAAAAACATGTCCCCAACAGTGTCCCAACATTACAAGGTGGATACACAGTGGCAGAGAAAACGGGAAAAAACAAGCAGACGAAGCCACAGAGCCCGAGAGTGAGCAATCAGGCCGAGATCAGTTCAGTACTGTTGTTTTCGTTGCGGTCATAGACCGACTTGTTGCCGAAGTGGATAGGAGGTACCGCTCCTACAGGGACATTCGGGTTTTTGACCAACATTTCCTGCATCTCCCAACATGATATGGCCACTAATCTCCAAAAGAAATATGCGGATGATTTGGAGGTGGGCTTTGTGGATGAAATAGGTCAATTCAGATAACTTATTAAAGGAAACGAGGACGCATCAGCAAGGACTCTATTACAGCTAATAAGGAGGAAACTCCAGTCAGTATTTCCAAATGTTGATACTTCTCTTAAGACAGTTCATGACTTTACCGGTAACCAGTGCAAGCGGGGGGCGCTCTTTTTTAAAAATGGCGTTGGTCAAAATGGATCAAAACGGACTGAATCACCAGGCCCTGATGTCCATTTTGCGCAGGACATCACTTTCTATGGATTTTGGCAGCCTTATAAATTACTTTTCTGCAAGGAAAACGGAAAAACTTGCAAAGGTAAGAACATGGTTATTTTTGTGCGTTTGGTTTGTCGCCGGTATGTTTCGTATCTACGTATCATTCGTCGATGCAGTGTATTGACTGATTTGAGTCAGCTTGCTGCTGTTCTTGAACTAGTGCGCTCAGACAGGGTGCTCGCTGGTCTCTGCTGTGCTGATCTTGTTGCTGTTGTGTATCGTCGGTTTCAAAGCAAGCGTGCGCATGACTTCCGTTATCAGCTCGCAGATTGGCTCTGAATCTGATTTATTGGTTGTGTTGCTGTACTTGCATTATAAGCTATTGTAGTGTGTGTGTGTGTTCCCTGCGTTACATTCCGTTTGAATCGGCGGTAGCAGCTCCTACTCCGAATACGTCACTGAATTACAGTATTTTCTCTCGCTTTTTTCTGGTAATGGGGGGGCTACACGACGTGTAGCCTAGAGGCCTCTGATCACCTTAATCCGCCACTGGTCAAGGTACAGCCAAAACATGAAGTTAATAAAGGAAAATATCATAGTTTTGGATTTTTTAATTATTGCAATTTTTGTAAGTCTGATATTTCACCTTGTGATTAAAAGCAGGAACAAGCTGTGGTTATTCTGTCTCGTACTCACTGAACAGTTCCCATTAATTCCAGCTGTGAGCCAGTCATTTATGAATTAAAGAAGGCATGCAGGTTTTGAGCAACGAAATGTGCCATAAAAAGTTTCCACAATTTATTCTTTAGGGGTTAGGACCATTTTTATTTTATTACTTTTTATATTTACAAAATGCACTTGTTGTTCCAGAGCATCTGTATTTTTATTTTATAATTCAATGTTACAGATATTTATACTATAATAATAAGGAAGAGTTTTGTTCTGGCTTTTGCTAGCTGCCAGTTTGTTTAATACAAACAAACATTGAAAATGCATATGTATACACAGTATATACACATACACACATGTACTGCCTCTTGCATGTATTAATAATCTTTCATCTGTGGGACTAGTACAGACTCTGAAAAGGTGGGATAAATTATTGGGTAACAGTAAGTGGGGAAAAATATGATATAAATAATTAACTATGTATTATCAAAATATACACAAGAAAAGAATGTCTTGATGCTATCAAGGATTCCTTTAATGTTCAGAAAAATATCAAGCTAAAATCCAAAATGCTTTTAAAAAATGAAGTTGCTCTACAACATTACTTCCAAGGGCTAGAACGTTTACCTGGCTACAGGCCACATGAAGGCGTGCCACTTTGAATGGCACTTCCATAAACAAAACTACATAAAAAAAAAAAAACTTGACATACACAATTTGTCATAAGTTCATATAAATAAAAAACTGTAATGAAATAAATGGCCAAAAATTATTTCGAATAAGTACTTTTACAACTGGAAAGATCGCGATGTAACCAGTACATACAACTTGAAATAAAAACTTTAAAACAATTTCAAAACCACAAGCACCATTTTTTTTTAATATTTGAAGCACGTGTGTAATTATTTTTTTTTTTTGAAGTCCACACATCCAGGAGGTAGAGCACCATCTGTTAAAACGCACGTGTCCACAGCGGACAGCAGATCCAGATTAAAAATTAGAAACGTGAAACCTGTCGACTTTTAAAAAGCAGTAATCCATCCGCAGGCTACTGCACGTCTGGAGTGTTGGTGTCCGCAGTGCCCTGCGGCTCCACTCAGCGCCGTCGGGGGTGGCAGTGTGGTGGGCCCGTGCCCTTGAAGGTTCGGCACACTGAGCTGTGCTCCGGGAGCCACAGCCAGAAGCCCTGTTCTGCATATAACATGTCTGTGATGGATACTGGTGTGGACTGCGCTCACAGGCTTCCTTGAGTCAGTAGCTTCCCATTCTCCACACCATCCATCTCCCACAAGTCCAGGACTTTCCTGATGGCATCTTTGGGGTTTTTTCCTGCTAGGGACAAATTGACGACGATGTCTTGCTGGAAACCGGCGACCTCTCGAGGCGCTGCTGTGTTTAACTTGGCTGCACGCTGTAGTGTTCTGTGACCGCCTCATGTAAAGCAGACGGGCCCCACCTCGATCTCGTACCGCCGGCCTGGCTGGGGGCGAGGGAGTCCGAGGATCTCGGTGATGGGAAGCTGGGTGCTGTCCTGAGATTGAAAGAAGAAGCGTGACTGGTGCCAGCTGCCGTCTTGAATCTGACAAAAACAAAAGCACTTGCTGAGCACCTGTCTCCCAGTGGGATCCCGGTTCAGCACCGAAGGGAAAGAGGAGGGCTGATTTCTGACCGCACGCATTGCACCTCATCAGCTCTTGTCAGTCAGTGCGCTGTATGATGAATAATAACACAAACAGATCTTCATAGCTCACTAAAGAGCAGTGGACTAAAAGCAGCTCACAGTAACCTCAGCTGATCCGATATTTGGAATGTTACCACACTTTATCAAGAAGAAAAATTGGCCCCTTCTGGACCTGAAATTGCACAGACTTAGCCCCCCTTCCATGGAGGCCTGCAGAAAAGGGCAGGGTGGTAGTGTCTCTCCCCTCTATTCCCCAACCCCAGGGTTCATCACACGGATCATGACTCCACTATGGTTTGTCATCGTTTCAAATTCTAATGTGAGATTTGAGGAGGATGTATATCCCCCCACAAGTCTTAATACATGGTGTGTCTTCAAGGAATGCTCGATATAGCAAATGCAATGAAAATTCACAGAGGTAGATATGATTCTAAGCTGCCATTCCCGCTAAGACTCGCTTATTACCTTGCACTCGTCGAGTAGCACGTGTGGCTCAAATAATGAGTTTGCCTTGAAGGTCTGGCCATTCCAGCCCTTAAAGCGAACAGACTCCCTGTGCTGCCCAGACCCCGTGTGGTTCCACACCGGCGTGTTCAGACAGTGCACCGTAATTGTGTGCGTGGCTTCCGTGTTCAGCAAGTGAAGAAACCTCAGCTGCACTTTTCCAATGCCAAATTCCATCTGCAGAAGGAACAATGGGTTAGTGTCCCATCCCGTTAGATAACGGACGCTTGCCTTGCATGATTGTGTGGCCTCTTAGATTTGAAACTGGACAAATGTCCCGTTCATGGTATTTTAACAGAATCTTAATAGTCTCCTAGGTCTTTGCATATCTTTATTTTTTAAAAGTCTTTTAAGGTTTCCCAGCAGTTACAGCTAAGCCCCTTTGAAAATGAAAAAGTTTTAAAAAGTATGCAACATTAAAATGAAGCTGCCACTTGTACAGCTGTTTTATTTTTTTAATAGCCCTCAGCATCCTTTATCTAACCAGCTAGGAGAGTTGAGATCATCCACAATCTCTAATGACGAGCTGCCCAAGAGGCAACACTACTGTGTGGAACTGCTCTTGGGAAGATCAGTAGGACAAAATTACAACATCTTTCATTGCAGGAACTTGCAGGGAACTGAACTGAGGATAGGAAATTGTTTTTATTCATATTAAGTATGTGTAACTAAATTTAAAACCCATTCAAACTCATTCAGTATACACCAATCACAGAGCACCGATCTCAATAATGAGTGTAACACAGGGCAAGAGTGATAAGCCTGATAAATGGATGGTATCAGCCATGTTTCCAAGGAACAGGCTCAAAGGCCATTTCCTAAACATCGCTATCATCCAAGCCAGGAAATACAAACATCCAAGCAGACATGTAAAACAAGATGAGTTGGGATACTTGGAAACCAAGTTTATATTTGACTTGGATTATTCAATAATATGACTTTTGTTTTGAAAGTTAAAACAATATGCAACCAGATGCGTAGACATTTATCAACCTTGACTTGGATTAACATTATCTTACTTTGAAATCTTTCTCTGGAAATTTATTTCAAAATTAAGGTAGGGCACATTGGTTGGTTTTGCAAGGCATAACGCAGTTTGAAAGAAATGCATGAGGTGGGAACAGTCAGTCCTCTCACAACAGCAGCAGGCCACTGATTATAATGACAGGTTGTGTTTGTATGGTTCAGTGGATTGAAAGAATCTATGTGAGAAACCTCTGTATCTCTGGGATTGAGTGACTTTTGTACAGGCAAGGATGTAAAACAGGAGAAGATGGTGAAATATTTAGTCCTTCAAAAAATCTGAAAAATTTGCTGCAGCATTTCAATCAATCCTGACCTTTCCAGGTGGAAAACAAGATGTTTTCTCAGCACTGTGAGGTTCACAGCCACAAGTGTTTCTATCTTGAGAACAAAGCCACTCAGAATGGTGAAGCCTTATGCAAGTGGAAAATGTCTTAAAATACAACAGACAGCTAATCAACCCATTTTAAGTATTAACTATACCGGAAATATATCTTAAATGTGATGGTTTCCCCCTTTTCCTGAGTCCTATGCCTGCTCCATTCTGTACTGAACCCCGCTGTTGCAATATGTATTTCTAGAGTAAAAACTAAGAAATTCCCATTAACTACTGCATGTCCTTAAACACTCACAAAGGACAGCCCCAAATTACCACCTGAATGTACTATAGAGATCAGACATGTGACACAGATCTTTGTTTTTCAAGACCTAAGCAAGATGAACCCAGAAAATACCTCATTTTACAATTACCCAAAGCTCTTCCAACATGCAGCCTGTAATGAAACATTTTTAAGTCCAAAGTAACTTAATGTATCAGGTCATTATCAGGTATGCAATTACATAATGATTCCATTATGTATGTTTAAATGGAAAAAATAGTTAACATGCCTGGTTTCAATGAATGTAAGAAATTAATTATTTGTTACATTTAAAAGCTATACAAACAAAATCAAATGTGGGGTGCTCTTTTAGAGAGAGGGCACCTTGGACGCTGACACGGGGTGGACACATGTCTGGCCCCCAGCTGTAAAGTTGCAGAAAACCTCGAAGGCATCAGAAGGACATCCAAGATTGGGATCTATCCAGAATTTTCCTGCAACACCCAAGAAAAGACAACACGATAAGAACATTTTAAGTCAACAATGTTAAGTGCATGTAATTTAAATAGCACAAAACCCAAAACTACAACAGAGAGAAGAAGTGTCATAGGCTTACCGTCTGTCAGCTTTTGTTCACAGCTCAGCAAGTCTTTGCAGATTCTGGCTGGATTGTCTCGGGTGCCCAGAGGGTTCTTAATACTTTGCATTAGACTGTTCAGGTAGTGCAGAGTTTTGAAGATCTCTGTACTTTGGTCAAGCAAGGCCATTTCAGTGTTCTGATAGCTCTGTGCCATGTAATGTTAGAAGCACAAGCAGCCCAGCAACATGCATTCAAGTGGAACAAACAAGCAAGAATGAAACAGAACAACCAAAGCCCACCACCAAGACACCAAGCCCCCAGCATGCCCCAGGGAGACCCCATGCCGACATGAACAGAAAAACGTGTGCATCCAGGTTTCCCGTTTCAAGCAAGTTAACCAGGGGAAACAAATGTTTAACCATGTGGATTAGTGCACATTTTGGGATGGAAATTAAAAGAAACAGCCAACAGCAGTCATTAGAATTTGTGTTGATGCAAAGATTATGAAGATCGTATTTTACCCATTTATTTATGAGACGGGCACAAATAACAAATGCAACAAATGGAAAAAGAAAAAAAAATCGAATTAATCTTACAATAATCTTTTCACAAACTGCATTACAAACAGCAAGCAATTTCTTCATGAATTACAGTGGAAATCTTTTTACTGTTGTACTGCTTTTATAACTTAGCCACAGATGCTACAGCCACATGTTCTCAGCTTTAATACCCTATGGTTCAATACTGAGCAGATCCATCTCTACAAAATGTACATTTCATGAAGTCTCTTCTCATAACTTTTAAACAAACCCTAGTAGGAAGATGCATGAGAGAAAATCTGTTTTGGAGCCTCATCAGTTCAGTTACGGTCATGATCCAGTGTCCACTGGAACAGAGGAGACAAGCCAGTTACCTGCGCCTCCAGGGCTGCACTCGATTCAATCAAGGCTCGAATGGCCACATTAATATCCAACAGTTTCTGCAAGAGAGGAAGCACCAAAGAAGACATTCTGAATACAATATAAAAAAAACAAAATAGGGCATGTTCTATTTCACGCCTGTAAGGATTGAAAGGCTTTCTTAAACCAGTGACAAACAGGAGGTCAGTGTCTTCTGGTCACTGTGGGCAACACAGTCTACATCATCAACACAAAACAGCACATTGAGTTAAATGGATTTCGTCTCTGAATCTTACCGTGGGACCAGGAGGCCCTGGAGGACCCTGAAAAATAAAGACATTAATTCAGATGCGAGAGAAACTGAATAAGTTTATTAAGACTCAGGCCTGCTTGTCAGGAACAAGAGTCTGGGTGGACACTTTCCTCCCCAGGACTCTCACTATTCGTCTTTGCGGAGCAGAAGAGGAACAGAGGAGAATGACTTACAGGCGGACCTGGACGCCCTCTTGGCCCCTGAGGACCCTGTGTCAGACAGAAGAAAAGAAACGTGGAATAAAACGACCTTGTACAAAACAACACCAGCATTTTCCCCAGATTTCTAAGGAAAAGTTTCAAATCTATATGAAATATGGGGCAATAAGGCTTCTTGCAATTGTTTTTCTTTTGCTTTTTCTTGCTGTTGGCATTTCTTCAATTTTAATTTCTTTCATATTTGTTTTTCATGTATCATTGAAGTTTAGTTTACTTCCTTTCAAGGAGTTGTAGAAAATAAAGCTGATTATAAATATCATCATTAAAATAACACAAAAGAAAAAGATGGAATTGTTACAGTATGTCTTCTGTTTTATTCTACAGGGCAAAGCTCTGCGCTAAGACCCTCAAAGTCGGCTTTGAAAAGCCCGAGACTAAAAACCACAAGAGCCAGGCTATTGTTTGCAAACTTTCTACACACAGTGTTCACATGTAGCTCGGACTCATGGTTAACGGTGCACAGGGCAAAGAGATCTGGGCACCAATCCCCCTTCCTCACAGGACACGGGGCAACTGTGTATCAAAACACCATCAGGAGCACTGTCTGTACAGGACTGTTCAGGAAGGACTCACTGGCACTGAGCACATGGTTCTTTTTTTGTCTTTTTTTTTTAGCTCCTCAATTTTTCTCATGTCTGTATATCCATAAACTGAATAGTAAACCTTAAATAGGTATTAAATCTGTTGATATTGATCTAATAAATCTATTATTTTGATAACTTGTAAAAATATTCAGTTGAAGAGAAATTTTTGGCCACAAGAAAAGAGACCGGTATATTGACCCACAAAGGATTGGCTGAAACTATACATTATACTTTTTGAATAAAAGATTTTTCAAAACAACACTGCATTTCATTTTGCTGTGCTTCTTTGATGTAATCGAGTTACATTTCAAGAGTTTTGTTCCATGACACAGACGTTGAAGAATTTTCCTGAATTTTGTTTAAATGTTTTGCAACTTCCAATAACTGGGATCAGAATATCCTGGACCATGAATGAAGGACAACCAGTCTGTAATTTAGTTCCGATGTATTTATGAAAGCAGCCACAATTGATTACAACAGCAGTGCAAGCTAAACTCAAGTGGTGAGTTCACATCCCACTTGCTTCCTGCCAGAACTACAGTCCGAGATTTAATTACTCTGGCCCTTTTACTCTCATGTCAGTAGTGTTTACTACATCTCTTAATGACGTCACCTGAATCTTTGCGGAACAAAACCGAAACAGTTCAACTGTCAGGGAATTATATCCAAGCAAGAAAAAACATCCTTAAAAAAACAGGTTCTTACCATTTCTCCACGACTTCCTTTAGTGCCTCTAGGTCCCTGAGAAGGAAAACAAATCTCATTAGTGAGCTCCTGATGCAAGCTGCCTCCTGATTTCAACAAGTCCTTAATCAGGACTACAGTACTGGTAGGAGGCAACACTGTCCCCTTGTCATGAGAAGCATTCCCCTCTCTTCAGGACAGTGATGTCCTCTAAAAATACCCTTCTCCCCAGACTCCTTCTTGGAATGACAAAGCAATGGAGACATTGCTCTCTGGATTTCTACTATAAACGACCCAGTCTCCCAGGTCCCACAGAGACCAGCAGTCACTGCGTTGGGACAGCACCTCTCGCTGACTGCCCTGAGGACAGCTGGCACCGTTTCCTTCACTGTTATTTTACTGCTCCACTTCTGCTATTAGTGATAGCTTCCCCACGCTGAAGAGAACAGAAGGGTTGTGCCTTTACCTGCCTGATGCAGGATTAAAAGCAAATTATGTTGACAGACCTTTTTGTACGCCAAATGTTGATGTCAGATGGTTACAGTTAAATTTTAAATTTTTTCTTGCTGTGGATACAATTTCTTCCATGTTATTCATTACAACAGCAGCTCTTTGAAAGGACAGCATTTTGTTAATGAAATTCTAGATAAAATCTGTCTCCAATATGCATTTCCACCTTTAAAAATAAAGAATACAGGTAAAATGCAGTAGATACATACTGTAATTTAACCATGTACACCAGAAAGCCATTAAACATGCTGCTTTCAGTTTAAGCAATTTATATCTAGTTTTGTTAGTACAGCTTATTACGGATGAATGAACTTACAGGTCTCCCAACGGGACCAATCAGCCCAACAGGACCAACCGGCCCACTGAACCCCTGCAACAAAACAGAATAAGGTTTCACTCAGGCAGGATTGCAAAACAAACCAGAAAAGTGCAGCAGGATAATAAAAAATCCTCACCGCTATACCGACAGGACCCTTTGGCCCAGGAATGCCAGTCAAGCCTAGATCCCCATTCGGTCCCTGCAAGAAACAGAGCAGTGTCTGGTAAACAGGCCTGGAATAGAGAGTGCACTCATACCACAGGAGCAAGAGTAAACCAACATGACACAATGTTCAGAAGCACTAGACACTTTATGGCACTGCTGAAAGCCTTATGGTGCTCCAAGGTATGAAAGCTTAAATAATGCAGATTTCTGTAACCTTATTTAAGTGACAGAAAACAATTTGCTTAAATCAGGTTTTGTTCCTCCTCACCACAGCTGGTCGCGTACGGCACCTAGCAGGGCTCTGTTCTGGGTCTCATTCTTTTTAGTGCCTGTATTGAATGTTCACATTGGGACTGCTTCCTGAGAGGGCATCAGCTTTCATTTCTATACTGATGACACTCACATTGATGTTTCCTCGAAATCTGACATTAACCAAGTACTATTTGCCTTATGTTGCTTAAATGTTATAAAAAGGGATTAACAAAATCTTTTAGTATTGCTATTAGTAGTAGCAATAGTATTTGTAGTAAGCTCCTGCAGTAGCAGTACTCAGTACCTGGGTCATGATCTTTTGGTGTCCCTGATCTATGAAAAGGCCATATCCGTTCACATCTCTCCCTATCTCATGCTGAAAAAATAATACCTCTTGGCTTTTCCTGGCTTTATAGCAGGCAACATGCGTTTTCTGACTTTCTTTTAACTTCTCAACAAGGAATTAGTCTTCTTTCAGATCGTAAGCTGAAGCAGCTCCCCACTCTAAACACTAAAGTTTCCAAACATATTTATGAATGTTTCTTGAAATTCAATGATTAGAACTAAAAGCTTGAGAATGTATTTAGGGTCCTTGCACTGTCTACCTGTGGGTTTTAGAATAAAAATTCACAATACTCCTGTTTTACTTTTTACAGAGTAGAATGGTTTGGCTTTAAATCCAGTAAATTGACTTCTGAGTCTGGGTCAGACTAATCTTTCCTGGTGTTTACCAAGTCTGTTTCTTCACTTCACAGTAAAAAAATCCACTGCTAGTATAATATATCCTAAACAATTAATAATCTGCACCATTATGCAGAGATTAGTGGGAAAGTCAGCGCTGAACCAATTCTGCCCACAAGGAAAACGGCAACCAGCTCACCAACCTTTGGGCCAGGGAACCCTGGAAAGCCAAGTAACCCCTGATCACCGGGATCGCCCTGCAGGAAAGCAAACAATGCAATTAATGTAATTAAATAATTAATCAAACTAATATAAGTGAGAGAAAAGGGCTGTGAACAGCTTATCCATACAAGCAGTTCTTCCACCATCTAGGTTTCTGTCTCTGCCTGTCAAAGTCCAGCCGCAGGGACAGCCAGCAAAGGCCAAGGACTTAACGTGTCTCCTGCGTGGTGCAGAGCAGTTCTCTGAGGCTGCTTTCTGTCCTGCACTGGGGGATGAAGCCCACCACTACAAACCTGGATTTGCTTAAGGGATTTGAGGAAAAAGGACTTCAAAAGAAAAGACAACGATCACAAAAATAATAATCATCACCACCATAGCCCTGCTCCTCCATGGTTCAAAATCTGGTTTACTTGCAATCAGTCGGCTTCATTATTTTTAGAATGACTTAACAGAACCTATCAGTTTCAAAGCGGATGCTTTAGTGTTTACTTTCATTCCCAAATCGTGCTTCATTACACGCTTAACGTTGCCAAAGGGACTGGTTCCATCAATCCCTTCCTCAGATCAATTTGAACTTCAGACCGAATGGAAAATTACCTGGAACAACATTCGTGAGAGACTGCCCTGCACCACAGCTTGGCTGCTTAGCAAATGCTATGGCTATATTTAGCTGTATCCTCCAGATAGTTGATTTGTCTCGCAACAGCCTGAAGCTTCAAAACAGATGAACATTTTCAGGAGAGCTTTTTGTCAAAGGATCTGACAACATGTAGTTCTCCTCTGCTGTCCCACCATGCCGAGACAATGCAGATGATGTAACACTGCTGGACCAGGTACTGCTTCAGTACTGTCAGGTTCCCAGCTGGCCTGGGTGTAAAGTCCAGGAACCTAGACCATACGCCACGGTCACAAGCTATTGCCATACTGGGCCACTTCAAGAAAAGTGTAATAACTGACCTGTATGTTCCATACAGTCACAGCTCATTTCCATATCTGGAAAATGCTTCCACAGACATTTTTAAATATCATTATAGAGTAGGAATGATTTCCCAGTACTCACTGGCTGTCCTTTGTTGCCCGATTCTCCTTTCACGCCCTGGTCTCCTGACGCCCCTGCCATTCCCTTGAGTCCTGCAGCCCCCCTCTCCCCTGCCAGACCATGCTCCCCCTGAGGATAACAACAGACCAGACTGAGACACAGCACTCCCAGCACTGCCCACCTCACAGTGAGCATCAGGAACAAATCACCGTTAAACACATGAATGAAACACTGGCCATACTTGCCTTATGACTTTTCTGCAAGTTTAACACACTGCACTGCCTGGGCATTGCACTCTGTCTTAACCTGACAGATGCATGCAGTCCACTGACGGACAGATAATACATCCAATTGAAATGCTTCATGCAACTGGTGTGCAGTCACTGACAAAAAAAAAAGTGCATGGCTCATTTTGGACAGCATGGAAGTGCTGCACGTTAAGTGTCAGTTACTGGTGAATGTGCAGGTAAGCTTTATAAACCAGTTTTTGCGCGCCCCGTCTTGCGATGAGCAGAGCGGCGAACGATGCCATCCCAGCGGGGTGCAAGAGCGGTGAGTGCAGGTGTGCGCAGCCTGAGCTGGTACCTTGGGCCCTGGAGGACCTCTCTCCCCCGGGTTTCCTGGCAGTCCCACTGCCCCTCGCAGCCCGGGAAGACTGGCCTGGCCCACCGGCCCTGGAGCGCCGCGCTGACCCTGCAGGTGGGAGAGGACAGTGAACAGCCTGAAGGTCTTGCTAACAGGAGGCGGAACTTGGACTGAAAGAATTACAGCGCCACCCACAGGCCCGGGAGCGAGCTGCCACAGATGTGTGGTGCGTAGTCGCTCCACTCATTTTATCCCCTTGCTGGTCCCTGCATGAAAACATTGCGGGAGTATGGAACAAATTTCTCATGCATATTTTCAAAACTGATACCCTGGCTTATTCTGAGACAGCTGGATAAGATTCTTGAATCAACGACCTACTACCAAAAGGGCCGGATAAGGAGAGTAACTTCCTCTCATTTGTAACTTCTTACAGTACATTACAGTCTTGCTTGACTGTTTTTCTCTGTCATTTTCTGTGTGGTATAAACAGCTTTTGATGAGTTATTTTTATTTTGCATGTTTTAGTTGTTGCCCACCTCACAGCTACTGCATCAGGAACCAACCCACATTAAACACATGAACAAAACACTGCAGCTCTTTCCACAAGGGCAACCTGGCCAATCTGTTAAACCGAATTAAAACTTTTTTTGCAATCTTCATGAACACACCATTAGTGCGATTAGTACTGTCATAGTGTGGTGCATTTAGATTAGTCTGTTTTCCACTGCAGGATGTCAGGTACACGTTTCCCCAGAGCAATCAGTGACACCCAGAAATCAAGCAAGGCAGCAAAATGTCTGCACTTCTCCATCGAGTCACATTCAATCACACTGACGTGCTTCAGAACATTAAAAAAAACTAGGTACTGGACCAATCTAATTTTTCTGGCACATCTGAGGGCTACCCTGGACATTTTGAGAAGGAAAAATAAAAGGATTTCTGTTTTTGTTACTCAGTCCTGGATTCAATTACAGTTTCTTTAAACCTGTCAATCACAAATGACAAATCCAGTCCAGTACAAATCCTCTACTGTGAGAGAGGCAGCCAGTCACGCAAAACGCTGCCATTAGGATCTGGGCCTGGAATTTGATAACGGTGGTTGTGCTGAAGTTTGGATGGAATCTGGACTCCTGGGTTGGGTTGGTGCTTGATATTAGGGCAAGCAAAGAAAAGACAGAGAACAGATCTGTCATAAAGATGACAAACAAGACAAGCTTCACAGTTATGGGGAGCTGTGTCTGTATGTCACATAAACTCCAGAGTAGGAATGAATTCCATACGGCTGGGACACTGTGCTGGCAGGTCTGTGGAACATGACTGGTGACTGACATTTCAACAGAATCCTCTTTCACAACCGCAATCAACTCCTTCTTTACTCACACAGGAACAAGCCAATGCAAACACCCCTGAGCTCACGCCTGCACTGTCTGCTCTGAACCTACGGTGTGCGTATACGAGGACGTAGCCCAAAAACCAAGCACAACTGGCTCTTCACAGGGAGAACTATCATCACTTTCCAGTTTACATTATAGCTCAAATCGTGTCAGGCAACCCATCTGTGTTTTGGATTTACTCAGTAGTTCTGAACTTTTATACTTGGATCTGCAGTATATAAGAGCTCCTAAAGTGTGATCCAGAAACAAATCAAAACCAGTGGTTGTTGACAGCTCCTTGAGTTTCCTGAATACTGCCCGCCCTCCCCAGCTCTTCTACGGTCTTGTTTTGGGAGGCGTCCAGGCTCCAAGGTGCTCTGTCCCTCATGAGATAAACCACAGAGGCCGAGGCCATTGAAATCGCTGTTAGAGCCCACTTCAGCCGTTAGCTGTAGACACAGGCTGGACAAGGATCATGTCGATTCACCGTTCTAGAGGGAGCTCTTCAAGACGAGCAGCAAGACAAAGGGAGAAGACAAGCCCTTGGCTAAGGGGAACGCTATTGCATCTTGGAGGACAAAAGCTGGTAATTGGGAAGAATCTGGCTCCTATCAACCTCAACTTTCTGGACTAAGCCTGTTTTTTCACGGGTGGTATATTGCTCAGGTTGCCTCTAAGAAGATATAGTGTCTGCAACTTTCCAGGATGGAGAAGCTAATGAAAACACCTGCCAGTACTAAAGTTTGCCTTTCTGTTGAGGACATTTCAACTTGACCTTGATTTAATTCCAAATAAGAAATATTTAATTTTCTTCAAGATTTGGGTACAACATAAATATGCTTTTCAATTCCTTTCCCTAAGTGCTAGTTTCTGTACATCTATGCCATGTCATAAAGGGTTCCTTTATTGTGGTCACAACAGCTGTGTGACTTGAGACAAAAAATGTGGAGCAGTTTAGAAACAGACACTCTACTTTGTGCATAAAACAGCACTGTATAAAACATTCCCTTTTAAATTACTGTCCAGACAAATGCATGATGTGGTTCATACAGAAATAATAGTTTAATGGAATTTTGTTTTCTACACAATAATGGCAGGATAGATTAATACCCAGTTAGCAAGATATGGAGAATTAATAAATAAAAGAGAAATAGACTAGTCTCACTTATATCTACATCTCTCCTTTGATCTATGGATTACAGAATGCTTTAATCTTGAAACCACAGCCAAAGGGCACTGACATTCACTTGTTTTTTCAATCTAAGTCATCTAATAATTATACCATTAGAAACATTCTTAAGATGTTGACCCAGATACCGGGTCTAAGGGCTTGTGATTCTTTTGCTTTCATGTCTGCACATACTTCTTTAATGGAATGCCATTTTCTAAAAGTGATACCGCAGATAAACTAAAAATGTAAATAGTCAAAACAAAATCAGATCAAATGCATAGTACAATTTTAACATTTTATACATGTAACAGAGGTATACAGAGGTGGAAAATGATAGTTATCATAAACAAGTGTGTGTTCCTCAAGTAGTTTCTACATCAATGTCATAAAGGCTCTATATAAAGTTGAATATTTGCCCGATAGATTTATATGTATGCCTAATCGTCAATAGACATTTGTCCCAATATCACAATGGATGCTATAATAGAATATAATTTTTGTATCAAATCAAATGTAATTGTTTGTCTTTACTAACAGCAAATCGATATGCCTTAATTACTCATCTCTGCTTGCAAAGTGGTGCAAAAAAAGCACTGATACTCTCGTGACATAACACAAAGAAAGGTGTAGATTCACAGGTGGCATTCTGATCTAAAACAGAAACGTTTGAAGTACAGGAATCTCAGGATGTTCATCCCACAGCAGTGGTCCTGCTAACAGACTGGAGTCAAGCACTCCTGCCTAGAAGTTACACAGGAAGTAAAAGACAAGAGGTATATCCAGGTGAGAGCAGCACACGTTAGTGGAGTGAACCTAAGATGCTTAAGAAAGCTGAGTTATTTCACTGTTTTATCAAGTGCTAGAGTGCACCTACAGTATGGCACAGATCTTTTTTCTGCATGTTATAGAAAAATCTTAAACACACCTAAACAACCAAATGTTCTCAAAACTATTGCTTAAATCAATATTTCATATTTCTCAGGTGCATTAAAATGTATAATTTTATATGTACAAAGTCATTTTGGAACCCTGCCGCTCAGTTTGGCAGATCTGGAGCTCGTAAACTCACAGTCAAACAGCTCTCTGTGTCATTAAAACTGTAAACGAATAGGAGATACAAGGCAGGAAGTGGCAGAGCTGAATCCTGTCTCAGCTTCTTTCGGTGCAAAGATCACACAGGTTGTGAATCTCAATGAAAAGCCTCCTGCACCTGGTACTGCCTTGCTTACTTACCTCCTGCCCACTGCTGGCTCTCATCCAAAATCTTCTCTGAAATGTTTGTTTTAAAGACGTTTGTCATTGTCATTTAATAATATTTTCAAATGTTTCCTGCAAAATCAATGTCAATGTGAAGTTTCCAGAAAAAAAGATTATCTTTTTAAATGAATGGGACACACTTGTAAAGGCTTGCAAAGTTTTCAGGAAGATCTCTCAAAGAAAAGGGAAGCATCTGTCCCTGAACCATTTCACAGAAAATCATCATTCTGAAAACTCATTGTCTCTTCGACCCTTTTAACAAACCTGTGGCCTTGGTTAGTAAATGCAACAAGTATTTAAATATTCCATTTGTACATGGTGATGTCTTCCAGACAACTGCGTCACTCCTCCTCTCGAACCCGAGAACATCCACAGCACCAGCCTTCACAGCTGGAGCCTCACTGCCTCTCCCATCTGCAGTGTCGCAGCTGTGCTGGACAGAATATTACCTCTATTTTTCTACATCCAAGACTACTGAGACTAGGCCTTGAAAAAGACACTGCTCCTAGCCTGCGATACAGCAGACTCTGTCAAAACCAATAACTGGGGCAACCCTAAATCTAAATGTTTTGAGAACAACAACAGTTGAGCTGAACTGTTGACAGTTGTGGTTTACTGGGTAATGAGCAATATATTGTTTTCTTAAAATCAGGGGTTCTTTTTCAGTTATGCAGTAAACCACATCAAATTAGTTTTTTTTTTTAATACCTTTTGGTATTATTCTTTCCAACCAAAAAATACCCTTATATTTTCTCCCATTTGTGTCATTGTAATAAACTCTAAAAAGGTCCCCACACATACCACATGTCCAACTTTCCCTGGACGTCCTGGCTGTCCAGGGTGTCCTGGAGGACCTTCGAATCCGGGGTAACCTGGAGCTCCTCTGGGACCTGGCAAGCCAGTGCCTCCCTGAAAACACAGACCCCCCATCAGGTCAACAACACTGAGATTACATCACTGTTCCTTTGTGGGAAAACAATGACAAACAGAAAAATATTCAGCATGTGCTGTAATGTGCTGTGAGTAGACTTGGGTTGTGTCAACAATACAGTTCAGTACAGGGGTTTAAATCACTTTTAGTTTAAACAGAAATCACTTTTATAACAGTGAAACAGGTCATTTTCTTTTGGAATTAGTCTAAAAAGATTTCACTTCACACAACACAGATTTTTTTTAAAATTTTGTCTTTTGTTTAAACTCACCATTTATTTAATGACGATGTTTTCAGAATGGTAGCCTGAATCTATGTTGATAAAATACCCTGACATTTAATGTGAGCAGTAATGTGGTCTGTAAAACTGATCTATTTGTGCGCCCTCTTCAGTTAATGTTTTTCACAACACTTGCTATTATTTTGCATGCACTATGTGAAACTGAATTTCAAAGTATACAGGGAGTTTTGATTTCATTTTGCATGACAAATTATAACTCTTGCTGTTCAAGAAGGCTTCTGCCAGAGATTCAGTACTACCAGTTAATTTAGTAGAGCCCCAGGTGGTAATGTGGTGTGGCACAAGACAGATTTGTGAAAAGTTCAACTGATTGGCTTTCAAGAAGACTACTCTGTTTTGTATTTAATATATTTTGTGTTGTATTTGCTTTGCCCAAAGGCAGAATTGTAGATGATGATTATATATAAGCTGTCAAAAACTAATCTTTCTTCAAAGACCTCTCCATCATTGACAGCAATTTCTTTACTCTTTGAATTTGAAGATCAAATTCAGCAAAAGTATTTTTCATAAGCTTGAGCACGGAGATGTGGTCTATTTGAAATGAATCACCTCAAGACAGTGCCAAAAGGAGAGATCCCAGAACAGTGTATGGGCTTATGAATTTAGAACAAGGGTAATCGTTGCTTAAAGGAAACTGAAAACAGGACTTTAACATTTTGCTCCTCTTAGTATGTCTTTAATAACTGTGCACATATAACCAGACAGATTCATAGAACCCACACCCAGGAATCTGCCAGTGAAAAGCCAATACTGTACTGGAGTTCATTTATCAATTAAATAAAGTTTTTCTGTTATAGTACATAAAAAACACAAAATCCCTTCAAGACCTTTTTAGAATATTTTCCACAGCTTTACTTAAAAGCCAGTGAAAAGTGAGAAACGTACATAGGAGGTTCTAATTAGTAAAAAAATACAAATGTGAAAATACTCGAGTTAAAAATAACCTTTTTAAAAACTGCATCCAGGAAGACTTATTTCAGCTTTGTTTCAAAGAAAGTATTCCACAGAAATTAAGCATCTCACATAATTAGAGTCAACCTTCCAAAAAAAATAGAGAGAGACATCAAGAATTCTGAAAGTTGAGTTATATACTGTGTACTCCAACTCCATCGCACTCTGCTGAAGGTATGCTGCATGCCACAGGAATGGAGATACCACTTGCAGAAAATACAGAATGTATTCAGCATTAATTATGCCAACTGCTACCTGTCACAGAGATTATCCTATCAGTACTGGTTATAAATCAAGGTTTCCATTGGAAGCCATTAAATATTTTGATTTAAAAGGCTCCTGCTTTTCATAACTTTAGTTCATAGAGCAACATGAAGGAAAAACATTCTATTTGATTATTTCCCTGTTCCTGATTTACTGTACGTCCATGCCAGGCAGCTCTTGGGTCCACTCACCTCAGTGCCTGGTGTCCCCGGGGGGCCCCTGGCTCCCTTCTTTCCTGGCAGGCCCTGGAAATACAAGCACACCTTTCAGCCTGCACCTTTCACCCACACCTGGCCAGGGCATGATACTTTATGCCAGATGTTGTAAAAAAGATTAGCTGGTAATTGTGCCCTGTGACCCAAGACCTGGTGCCTGGTATCTTTGGTGTGAAAACCTTTTAAGGAAAACGTAACAGGACTTGATTTGAAGAGCCTGACTCTTCGGCCCCTGGGCTCTATGGCTCTGGCAGACCCACTGATGTCACATACTGGACACACTGGATGAGGCTGCTGGAGGAGGAGATTGTCCTCAAATTGTCTCTCTGGGTACTGGGAGAAAGAGTGAAAAGGGTCTCCAGAATGAAGATTTTACTGGCCAAGGTCAAAGGAGTGTGCTGCACAGACCTCACTTTATTAAAAACATATTTCTGTTTGTTTTTTCTGCTGAAGGTGCTCCTGTTAGTTCCGTTGCCAGTTTCTGAATGAAACAGCTTTGTGAAAGACTCCCCAAAGCTCGGGGAACCAGGTGGCCCAGTGTGCCTGTGGTGCATCACCTCCCCAACATTTCTGCAATGGGCTGGAGTCCTGCACATGATGCAGCCGGATAAACAGAGGAACAACTGAGGATCAACATAAATTTATCAGAATATCCTCAATGCTGAGGAGTCTTCTACACAGTATGCACTGTAGACATCACTCAAGCAACTGACAGAAAACCTTCTCAATGAACTCAAATGCTTTTATTTTACACGCATATTGTTACAAGCTAAAAGGCATGCAGAAAAGGTTGAAAATGTAGGTGTGTCTTTTTTCTACTTTGTGAATGAACACCCTTTCCATGGAAATCTGACATTTCTAACAGCTCTCAACATGTGGGTACAATAGGCCAAATTTCAACAAGCTATGAGCCAGTGTACATAAATTCATACACATTTTCTTCTTTATCACGAACATATCTAAGCAGGATATGAAAACACCAAAGACATAATTTAACTCATATCGACAAGCAAATAATATTGCATTCTGTGACAAGTTTTGAGTGTTTCTTATTCTATGCAGTTCGGAGTTAACACCATAGCATGCTGTTTCAAAATTTAATTAATAAAATCACCTTGGAAATGCAAAACATATTTAAGTCTCAATGGTAAATGATTAGCCAATTAACTTGTTTGACTCTTGAAACTATGAGAGGTTGTAATTTGCCTGTACAATGGCATGACTTCAGAATTCACAGCAGATCCAGAGTCTTGAATACACTTTGTCACCTGTATCATGTGACTTTCATTTCCTTTTCAGAAAAGTTAAATGATGAGATGGTGGCTTAGTCAGAGTATACAGAATAAACTAAGCCTTATTCTACGTAATGTTTTTCTTGAATTTGGGTTTGCACTTGTAAAGTGTACTTTGTGTAATAACTAGTGTATTGCTCAGCATCAGCTTCTGTATCGGTATTATTATTATTATTATTATTATTAACTGGATGCCTTCACTTTCTCTTTAAGTACATATTCTACTTCAAAGCATTTTTCATGTGAAAAACAAACTTGATGGCAATGATGAAATGAGGGGATAGGGCTTCTAAGGTCGCTTAGAATGTAGTTTCATTAAGTTAATAGGCATTAATCTTTTATCTTCATACTTTCTAGAATTAAATGCACACTTCATGTTCAATAAGTACTTGAAACAGCTATCTTAGATCATGCTAGTTTCAAAAGTTGAAAAACAACAGGATTATTTTGACTTCATTCCTTTTGCTTGAGACGTATAAAAGAAACTGCTTTATAAAATGCTCACAAAAAGCTTCAAAGTCAAGAATTTTACCCAGCTTTCCAGTAATCTCTGTGTGGGTGGTCGAGTGAGTCTTTATTAGTCACAATTCAGTATCAAAGATTCACTTTTAGGGTTCTTTAGATTATCATTTGAGCACAGCAGCTCCCTACCAGTAAAAGAGGAGATTTTTCTCCTGAATAGGCAAGCCTCAAAAACAACACAATAAAAACTGGAACACAATCATTCATGTGTCAAGTAACTGCATAATAACTGGCAGGCCAAGGTGGTATGATTCCTGTGGTTATCCAATTTGCCGAAGGCCATGTAATATGATGGCCTTAGCAGGGATGATTTGCATAGAGTGAAGACAAACGGGTAACTCTAACCAGCAAAACAGAACAGAACATGAATCTCCTAATCATATAGTGAGCAGTCAAAGAGCAAAGACATTATCAAGAATGGGTAGAGCCTTGGCAGCCTTTGCAGAACTGTCTGCCAGAAACAAATGAGTATTTTCAGAATGAAATAATGTAAACACAAAGGTATAATTTGTAGCATCTGCAATCTGTCTCAGAGTGTCAGTCTCACCTGAGCTCCTTTCTCTCCCTTGGGCCCCTGCTCTCCCAGTTCCCCTGGCTTCCCCTTTAGAGAAGACAAGAGCAGTCAAGGCACTCAGCGGCACTGCACAGCCGGCATACATACTACAGTACACATGCAGGAGAACCAAACAGGTGCTTTCGATTGAATGAGGCAAAAAACACACTATATCACAGCACAAGTTGACACAGGTGTACTGTGCTGTATGATCAACTACATCACCATCTAGGACACTTTTTTTTTTTATACCTGACCAGTTTTCAGAGCTACAGCTTTTTTTGGATGCACCAATAACAAAGGTCATTTGGGGTCTTAACCACAAAGTGTTCATGGATTTGACTGCGCTCATGCAGAACAAAGTAATGTAGAAGCTGTCACACTCACAGGTGGGCCTTGCTGTCCAACGGCACCTCTTGGTCCAGTAATGCCCATGTGACCCTGGAGAGAAGGAATACAAAGGGCACTTTTGTCACAAGTACAATAGGTACAGCAGCCTGAGTAAGAAATGCTTTTAAGTACAAGATGTGAATCTATGAAATGCAATCCTTAGCAAGCTTCCTTCTTTGAAACAGTCATTTTTTATTTTATAGTGGGCTTCCTGACTTTTGCTCTAGGTGTAGATTTGTTTTCTATTAACATCTCAACATGCTCTTCTTTTGTAACAGCAGGGGCTACAGCAGGTGCAGAGACTTTTCTTGCAAGTTGTCATTCTGAATATAAATGGCTTAGTTAAAGAGCGACTGTAATTTTAGTTTACACAAAAGTGTAACACTTCCTCCTTTGAAAAGGTTACTTTTAATATGTAACACATCTCAGCGGCAAGTTACCTTGGGTTAACTATTTTAAAAACAGCAAACAAGCTAGGGGAAAATAATTTATCATATTATTAATATTATTATCGTATCATATTATCTTTTTTAAAGCAATTTCCATTATCAATTATTAGTATCAGCAAACCACCTGTTCTGTCAAAAGTTATTGTAAGCAGGACTATCCCTGCAGCACAGAGTTTAAGATGGACTGAGCATACAGGACTCCTCTTGCCCTGGCTGAGGCTGGAATCTCAAACCACTGCAGGGCCGTAAAAGATTGAATTAAATGCAGCCAATCAAGCCAATCATTCAAGCAATCGTGCCTAACCAGCAGGTGAAAGGGTGCACCTGGAGAAAACCCACTCGAACACAGAGAGAACATGCAAACTTGTTCTCCAACATGATGCAATGAATTTTAAAAAAGCAGCCCTTTACAGAAGTAACTTCTAACTGCAAAAAGTAACCTCCGTGGGAAGGGGCCACAAATATTCAGTTTATTTAGTATGAATTATTTATTATCTTTGCTAACTTTCCCACAGAAACAGAACATACAGGATGCAAGAAACAGCAATAGTAGGGTATATGGGCCAGTGCAGCCCCTTCCTTCTCATCAGCTATGTTTCAGGTGGACAAGCAAGACACTGAAAGTCAGGACAACACGTCACAGGAAAAGGAGCAAAGCTAACATATCACAGCTGTGGAGGGGCACCAATTCCATCTTATTCTGTAAGATCATTGATTACTTTTTAAATAAAGGGTTGTTGTGTTACTTTGGACTCCTTCCAAGCTCTTCGGTGGAAAGCACATCAATTCTAGCGAAATCATTTATGAATAATTCTTTTTTATTACTAAAGCTAATAATGCTGCTGAATTTCTTCTTCTCAAATGCTTTCATTTTCTGCTCTCAGCGTCTCACATGACCCTGTCATAATCATGGTGTTTGCGTGTTTCTATTGGTAGGGGAAGCAAATCATGCAGAGCCGATAAGCAAAGATTTCCGACAGGTCTTTCATGGAACTGGAATAATCTTCAAAGTAATTCCTCCACTCCCCCTTTGTCCAAGAGCCTTGTGAATTTTTTTGTGTGGTCTCCTTTCAACTAGGCTTCAACGTGACACTTCCTGTGTAGTGTCCCTGCAAATCCAGCTCCATAAGGAAACATACTCCTGATAAACATGATCATTACCTTATAACCTTCATCTCCAGGCTCTCCTCGATCACCGCGCTCTCCAGCAGGCCCCTACAGGAACAGAAATGTAAACCATACGGGGTGGAATTCGTCTGTCAGCATGGGCCAGACAGACAGGTACAGAGCTCTGTCCTCTGGGAATCCAGAGGGGTGTCTTCCTTTTGACTCTGAGGTAGCCTGCAGAAAACTACTAGCCTTTCGTTTGAAACTGAATGAAACTGGAGCGAAAAAGAAAGTCCTGCTGTATTTTGCCTGGTATAGCTGAAGCCATTGTATTATTTTCAGTGTACTAAGCCAACACAAAAAGCAGTGTTCTGTAACACTCTGTAAGCTGCTGCCACCATCAGGACTCATGGTACCAGAGCCGTTCCTCAGTGGCCTGTGCCAGTACCCACTTCCTCAAAGGATTTTCAACAGATCAAATGGGCTGATGCCTTCTGTGGCACGAAATACCATCTCTTTGTCTGACAGTGAGTAGACACAGAAACACACAATAACGTGTGATCACATGAACAGCTCTTATTACAAAAGAGCACAATTGCGGCAGCCAGTTTTCCAAAAGTATTAAAACCCTAAAAGCACATATCATCTTAGTCTTGTGCAAAGAAACTCAAATCATTCTCCTTGAAAACTCCTTTACATGTTTTAAAAAGTATTTAAATCACGTCATAAAACACTCTCAGTTCTAGTGCTTTACATAAAGGTTTGGTGTGAATACTTTGTGTGTTGAACTGTATGCTTTTACACTCCATGCTAACAAAATATAACAACACAGAAAGCAGATAATGGGAGGTTTGTACTTAAAATCCTACAAATGTAAGTTTTTGTAAACTTGTAAAAGTTTTTGATACTTCACATTCTTGCAGTTACCTACAACACAGGCACTGAATGAGAAAAGCACATGGAGTACTCTGAGCACCAAGACGGCTGAAGGGCTATACACACTACAGCATCTGTTTACTCTCAGTGTTTATACTTGAGTTTTCACTTGATCCTGGAGGACTGACTTAAGAGGAACACATTGCCAGAAAATGAAGAATAAAAAAATCGCAGCAACAATATTTTGTTTGGATCCTGTTCGTCCAATATTTCAATCTTTCTCAGGATTGGTATAATAAAATAATAAATTTGGAGTGTTTGGAACCCCAGGCAATTCCTAGGGGCAGCTTTGTCCAGAGCCAGGACCGGGTGGAGCTCCTGAGGCTTCTACAGCAGTTTGAAAGGCCATTTCTAGACCCAATTTCATGGGTCTGATTTTGTTTTCGCTCAAGAGGATGAAGGACTGTTAAACACTGCAGTTTGAATAAGCCCCTCTGCGACTCTGCCACTGGCTAAGCAGGTATCGAATGTGGAAGGAAGGCAAGACCTACTGTTTCACCTAAGGGCCCGGGGGGTCCTGGCGTCCTGTTATCTTCTCCTGGGTAACCCTGCAAGTGTCAGAGCACAAGACTCGTGAGAGAGACAGTTCTTCGTCTGTACAGTAGCAGCATTGTGGCCGACCTGATTAAGGGCAAACTTCCCCAGACACACAGAAAGTGAAGAGGAGAGGACATTTGCTTTCTTTACATGTACAGTACTTCTAAACGCAGTCTAAACCCAATGGGTATCAGCTAGAAAGCTTGGTTACAAACTGTGAGTAGACAAAGGCGAACAATGCAGGAATATTGGAGTTCAGTTGGTGTCTTCTTCAGGGAAAAGATAAAGATGAAAAAAATCCAATTACCTTTTCACCTTTCGGGCCAAGTGGGCCAGGTGGACCCAGCTTTCCAGCATGGCCCTGGGAAGAAGAGAGCTCTAGTTACACACGGCTCTCACTGGCAGATGCTTGGCTCCTCTCCACAGAAACACAGTGACACACGGAACCACGGGTCCTTGCCTTTTCTCAGGACCAAGAATATCTCCCTTTCTGCAGGAGCCTTTGTTTGAATGAAATAGCACAATTTCTTATGAAATCCCAGGGCTGCATTAAATTAAGTAATAAAACCTAAATGCGTTTATGTAGCACTTTTCATCCCAAAGCACTGGACATATTGGAGGGGACCCACTTCATCTACCATTGAAGGGCAGTCCTGAACTGGATGACACAGGGCAGCCCCAGTGCACAGCAGGCCAGGTGAAGGAGTGAGAAACAGCTTCAACAGGTGGATTAAAGGAGAATTTAGGGAGGCCAGATTGTTCAGCTCAGAGAGGTATTTAATGGGGGCCCAGAATTCACACCTGAGTAATGAGTGCTGTTATTTCAATAAGAATAATATAAAATCCAAATAACAGCACTTTTTACAGAGCAGTGTCCTTGGTCACCATACCTGACAGTCTAGTCCATCAATACTGCTTACAGCGGCAATCTGATTTTCCTTACTGGTCTTATTTTTGCACACTACATAGCAAGTAAATGTATAGTTCCTTAAGCAATGGTGTATGTTTTGGCCATTAACAGCTGTAAGTCATTTCATGCCCTATCTGAGGCTTTGACACTAAATAAAAATAAGTTTGTTTAAAGAAAAGACCCAAATACTTTAGCATATCCATGTTTTTCTGTGCTTTTACTCTAGTGTCGCTGTAATTTACTACACTTCAGTATGCTGTTTCCATGGTAAACCTCAGAATTATAAGAATGACATTAGCAAAGTTTTATTCTGCTGTGAAGAGTTTGGATGCGTGTTGATCTAGCACAGAGGAATGAAAAGTAAACCGTGTTTTTGTATTATACTGTAACAACATAAACAGCGCTCAGTGAAGGTATTTTATTGACCTCCTGAAATAATCACAACATGCCCCAAAAAATGAATAACCATTTCTCTTATGAATAACTGGACTTTGAGGTTCCAAAATGTATGAGTCAGAACAACATGCCCATTAATAGATTTATTCATCATTATTTATCATCAACATAAGAAGATTAAGGCACTCTTTAGATATGAACTAGACGTGTTTTATCTCCAGGGTATTTTGTAGAATAATTACATTGCAAAGTGGCTTTGCATGACTATTAACCTACTTTCCACAGCTCATTTAGAAATTGCAAACAAGAATGTCTTTCTCATTAAGGTTCTATATAAATTATTGGGGGGAAATGATATATAATAATTTATTTGTTAAAGGATTATTAAAATAAACATTATTATTTTAATGATTCAATATATTTAAATTTTACAGAGGCTGCACACAGCCTCATGAGCACAAACTCTTTGCTGTATTGATGCTGTGGAGGGATGTGCTGGCTGTTTCTGGGGAACAGTGTGCAGATTAGCAGAGCAACTTACTGTATATCCTGCGATGCCAGGTTCCCCCTCAGGGCCCATCAGTCCTGCTCGGCCCTGGGGACGAGACATAGAACACACGTTCATGAAAGACGACACAAATCTTAAATACACACCTCGCACACAACAGGCCGTAAGAGCGTTGCTGTGCGTGGTTGCTGCGACTTCTCAGAAAAGCAGCATGTTTACTCCTGAGGTATCCGTGTTTCGAGATTCCTGGAAATGCCACCCGCATCATGGGCGAAGGATAGATGTGTGTACAAACCCACTTTTCATCTGGACAGGAGACGCTGTTTTATTTATTTAGTGTCACCAGAGACGCTGGTTTAAAATGGCTTAAAATACTTTTAATTACACAACAACAAAGGGTGTTTAGCTTTTTATGCTGTAAATTTCAATGAAATGATATGTCAAGAAAACTCTGAATCTAATACTGTATCTTCTTATTAGGCCAGTACAGTACAGTGAGGGTTTAACAGCTAAACGGTCAGTAGGCCCCTTGGCTCAGAGAATTGTTTAGTGTCAAAGAAAGATGGAAAATGAATTAATGCTTACTTGTGGAATATCACATGGCTGCTAACGTGAAGAAAGAAAAATACTGAGCTAAGAGTTCAAGTGCAATAAAAGCAGTCTGAGCTCCACCACCTTCAGACAAGCTGTCTTAGTTCACCCCAAAGCTATGTTGGATGTGGTGGCCCAGCGGTCTTACAGAACAAAAGCTGTTGAGCTCAAACTCAGCTGTGACACTATCCCACAATGTGACTGCTCTTTAGTTATTTTCGAAGGGATTAAATAAATGCAATAGCTCTTGTACTCTAATTGACAATATTGATAATAACACTGAGGGCAATCTGCAAATCGATTACTGTTGATTATCTTATTATTGGTCGCTCTTACATCCATGTGTCTGTATTACTCTTGCATCTTAACATTATCCATCTGGTCAGTCATACCACAGTGCTGAGGTTCTGCGGACTCAAGGCCCTGTCCAGTTTCTGGGTGAAACAACACGTGCAGACAGTGGGCCCTGTGTGCCATCTGCAAGAGCAGCTCGAAACGCCTCTGAATTCCCTTGGGAGGCTCGGAGGAAGTTACAGAGCCCCGTGGGGCAGAGCAGGATGAGCAGCACCATCCAGGTGGCTTGGGCTGCTCCTACAGGAAACGGGAAGGGTGGGAACACTCACCAGCAGGCCTCTGGTTCCTCTTGCACCCTTGGGTCCTGTGGCTCCAGGCGGCCCAGGACTGCCGTGCGGCCCGACCTCGCCAGCAGCTCCCGTCTGCCCTCTCTCCCCCTGCAGGAGCAACGGGCAGCGGTGAGAGGTGCACGTACTGTGTGCGCTCACACAGCCGCGCCACTCCTTTCACAGCAGCACGTGGGAGGGCTGTGTTTCAAGAACCGAATAACAGTTTTTACAGGAGCATATTCCTTTCCCGAACAAAGAAGGCCATAGACACTGATGGCAGGTATACAGTATATTTCAACTGTTAAACATTTATTTAATAAATCTTTAATGTGTTAAAATTCGTTCTGGTATAATGATGGTGCTGTTCACAAAGTCCACTGCTGCACCAAGATCTTCTCTGTTTCAGCCACACTGAACAACACCTGAGAACAGGATGGATTGGGTAACTGCAGCAGGATAAATACATATTTCTGCTACACTGGCCAGTAACTACTGTACTTCGCATGCCTCGTTGACCACTGAGCCCCCAACACCGACAAAGACTTGTGTGGACGGAGATCTGGAAACAGGGAAACTACCTTCTTCCCTGGGCGACCGCGGTGGCCTGGAACGCCAAGTTTTCCTTCAGGGCCCTGAAGGACAAAACGAAGGAAGGTGAGAATCTAGACGACAGTACAGAATATACGGCACGTTCTGGCCGAGTTCAGAGGGATGTAAAAGAAGGCTCCACAGCTGAAGCGTTGTCTTTCTTTTCTTCTCTTTTTAGCACGGAATAAACCTTTACTTGTTCCTTTGCAGCCTACGCATGCTGACGCAGCTCCCTACTTGAACTACTTCATAGGGAGATATCTCATCAACTTGGTCTGTTAGCTCACGTGTGTGAAAGGCTGGTCTACCACAGAGTAATGAGGGAGACTGTCTCAAGGTTTCATGTCCTCTGTGAATGCTAATGCATTTCTTCTATGGTCTATTATACTCACTGGGCCTCCACGTCTTCCAGGTTCACCAGCAGGACCAGTGGGACCAGGGTCTCCCTCTTCGCCTTTGTCCCCAGTCTCTCCCTGAGGACCAGGGTCTCCCGGCTCCCCCTGGAGGAGATCAGGAGAAAGACACCCAGGTGCTAAATCGCCTCACCGGCAGCTCCACAAGGAGACTCGGCAGCAATAATGTGCAGGAAGGTACCAGGTTTATGAAAACGCAGTTTATCTGTGTAGATCTACAGGATAATAGGAACGGGTGGCCAATTCATCGCAGCTTGGTTGCAGAAGGGAAGAATGATTACTGCAATGCAGGATACGATTTGCACACTCAGTAATGAAGTGCAGTGTCATTATGCGGATTTAATATCCTCAGGATAAAAAAGTAAGTGGCCACAAAGAATTTTGTGTGAAGACCAACAGCAAAACCTAATGCTAAAATATTTCCCATAGTATACTGACTTGGTGTCATTAAACATAAATGATTCTTAATCTTAGGCAAATGCGTGATTGTTCAAAAGGTTATTTTCAGGTGTATTTAGTACCTTGTGACCATCCTTTCCCTGAGCGCCCTCCTCTCCCACTGGACCAGGGGGACCCTAATGTTGGAGAATAAAACAGGGAGGACAGTTATTGACAATGTAATCCTGAATTAAATGCCCGTGCCAAGTTCATTTGCATTCTTCAGAAGGTCTCCCATGAAGACAAGCATGTAAATAGTGACAAATGTTTTTTATTATATTAACTATAAGCAGATATGAGTCATGTTATGACATTAGTGAAGCTCCACTGTCCTGAAAAATAGATGTTTTTCATTGGACAAAAGTTCTAAGATGCCTTTCTTTGATTCTTCAGTGATTTTCTGAATTTAAAGATTAAGAACATAAAACTGAATTAAAATAGATGAGAGCAAAAATGCACTAAAATCAGAATTATTGGTAGGGCATGGAATCAAAACAGAGGTCGAAATGATTGAGACACCCACTGAAGAAAAACAGAGAAGTAAATTAAAGTGCAGACAGCCAAAACTATTTTTACACATTGAAGGGCAAGTACAGCTCTGGGAGTTAATACAGGAACAAAAAGTGGCTTTGTTACCTTGTTGACGGAGGAAATAAATCTACATTTCTTAGGAGTCCAGTAAAGGTTATTGGTAGTGCTCTACAAATATAATTCAATCACTGCTGTTTAATAACCCCTGTGATATATCCTGTACAAGGTCACAGTAGAACAATATACACCCGTGGATTCTGTCCACCGCTTCAGCACTGAGACAGTCTCACCCTCATGCCCAGCAGCCCCTGGTCTCCTTCATTCCCGTCAGCTCCGCCGTCTCCCTGCAGAAGACGAGACGGGATCACCAGGGTTCAGCACTCAAACCCTGGAGATCACTTTCAGCCCAGAGTTTGTACAGGAATTTTCAAGGTTTGCCTGAAGGTCAGACCGCACGAACAGAAATCAAGCTGTGCGGTTTGAGACCATGTCAAATAAACAGCTTTTCAACAGCACTCTGTAGGCAGTCGAAATCTAAGACACCAAAGCGCTGACTGCACCACAGTCAAAGCTTGAAGAACCTGCCCTTCAAGAAAGACACTACTGAGACCACAGCTGACCTCGCAGAGCCCTGCTTCCTAAAGACAGAGACACCCTTCTCGAGAGAGAGAGAGAGACCAGGACATTCTCACCTTCAGTCCTGGCTCCCCTGGAGGCCCAGAATCCCCCTCAGGGCCTGGAGCTCCCTGTTGGAAGGAGGGAAGATGTGGGGAGTGAGAGACGGGCTCTGCGAAGAGGCCCTCAGAGAAACAGCGTGGAAGAGAAAGAATACTCACCTCTGGGCCCATCTCCCCGGCCAGTCCAGGCTCTCCCTGCGCTCCCCTAGGGCCCTGAGAACACAGGACACAGAGCTCTGCTCTTCACAAAGCACACGCCAGAGACTATGGATGGCACATGTGGAAGACTGTGTTGAAGAACTGAGTCCTTCATTTATATTTTCTCCTTCTCTTGACGAATTTAGGGCCTTTTCTTCAACTGTGCAACAAAAGCAGCTCAGGTGAAACTTTTTTTTAAGTGTTCCCTGTTTTATGAGAAGCAGAACATCTCAACGTGTAATCCCAGATTAAGGGGAAGGTTATCCACACTGAAACGTTTATCAGAGTGCACTGGTTGGGCACTGGGCACCCGGGGTGCAGTCCCCATGTCATCTCCAGATGAGCTCGTTTACCCTGCAGGGTGGGAACATCCAAACACTAATCAAACAGTGAATGATTATCACTTGCAGTGCACAGGAGTACGAAGGGGGTAAAATGTTGGAAATTTAATGGCATTTCAATCCTGTACTGCCTATTGGAAAAGATAAATAATTTGTATGAACTATTTTTTACACTGAAGGTGTGCTTATTTCCAATTTAATTTTTGAGGAAATTCAGTTTTTGACATTCTGTAATATTCAGTAGAATTCCAGTTGTGCCAGAAGATTCCATTTCCTTTGAGTTTATAAAAAGGTTACCAGAGACTTGACCAACAGTGGAATAAAATCTCGCCCCCCAAGAAAACCTGATAAACAATATATTTATGATAGCATTTAGAAGGAACCCTGAGCCTGACATATTACATTTCAGGCTGAGCCAGATTTATTACTGATGAAATTCATACAAGGCAAAATGACGTCTGAGTCAGCTAGTTATGCTAAAATAACTAGCTTCTCAGGAGATAAGCAATTAAGGCTATGTCAAGGCTAATGTAAACTGTTTTTTTAATACTTAATAATTTATGAGGACAGATGTGTTTTTATAAAGATACATCTCCAGTAGTGTGATGTTAACTAAGGCCATATGTAGTGTGGTAAAACTAAATTTTAAAATATGCTAACACTGCAGTGGAGGTTACTCATAGAAACAAGCAACATGTCCAAATTATTGACCACTTTTTTTAACCTAATTCATGAAACCACTATTAGAATAAATAGGATCCTGCCAAAAAAGTTAGCTTGTTTGTTGATCAAAAGCCTTTGTCTTCTGTCATGATCAGAAACAGAAAAAAATATTTTTTGCAGACTAAAGATTCTCAAAACAAAGTCAAAATGAAAAACGGACAACAATAACAATATCTGCTACCAAGCTAACCCAAACAGTTTTATGACAGTTCTGTGAATTCTATATCACAATCTCTATTTTGTGAGTGTGCAGGAAAATCAAAGATCAGAATAGTTTTTGCATTAGAAACAAAAAGACTTATTCAAAGTCTGCAAAAAGTGTTTGTCAGAGGTAATGAGACAGCTTGTATTTATATAACTCTTTTCATAAAAGCATCCCAGAGCACTTTGCCTTTAGGAGGAAACCACTTAATCTCCACTGAAGGGTAGCTCTACCAGGGAGACACACAGTAGCCATTCTGCACCAGTAGCCTCACCTGGGAGACACACAGCAGCCATTCTGCACCAGCATCTCCACTGCACAACAGGTCAGGGGGAGGAGTAAGAAATAAACCCACCAGGTGAATTAAAGGGGGAGTTTAGGGAGACCAAACTATATAGCCCAGTTTACAGCTCTACCCTTATGAACAACATTTTGTGATCTTTGACGACCTCTGGTCAGGAACCTGTTTTAACTGATCTTCCTCCAGCCAGTGTCCCTGCTCGCTACATTATGGTGCTGGTTTGGAAGTTCTAGTCCAGATGGAAGAAGTGCACCTACAGTACTGCTCAACCAGCACCTCAAACTGCAACCTGGTCTCTCCTGGGGTTCTCAGTCCCCAGTCCTGACCATGCCCAGTCTGGGAGAGCTTCGGAGAAGGAGGTAATGCTGCTGCTAAGACAATGTGCCAGGCTTCTACAAGGGCAGGTGCTGTCAAGATGCTGAGACAAAAGTAGAACAAAAGTTAAATACCCAAGCCTGCTCATCCCTGCAGCACTCTGGAAGACATGATGTTTTACTAACAGTGTCATCCTTACAAACCTCAGCAGGCTCAGTGCCATGATTTGAAAAGGCTGCTGTGCTGTGAATGTAAAGGGGTTGAAAAGAAAGAAAAGGACAGCAAAGAAACTGACTTACTGGTTCACCATGGGCTCCTCTCTCACCCGCATTCCCTGGAATCCCAGGTACACCCTGAGGAAACAACACAAGGACATCAGGCAAAAAATATGCTGGATTCTTTGGAAATGTATTTCTCTGTGTACCTTTGTATGTGCTCCTAAAGTCAGGAGCATTACCTCTGCCCCATTACTCACCGTACTATGTGTACTATGATGGAGGCAGAATCGTTTGAATACAAACTTTAAGAAATATACCACTGAGATATTATGTCTAGCTCAAACAGAAGCTACTGAAAGGATCCAACATCTGACAACTCACTAGTACATAAAAGGTCTGTTACTCAGCAGATATTCCAGTGTAGTTGCACCTGTGTTTGAAAGTTGGTGGCCACTTGGGCATTACATGCTCCAGTTTTGTTTGCCATACTAATGCAAATCAGAGTTCCTGTGACAGCAATGGAAATCTCAGTGGAATCCATCCTCCTCACCTGTTATTGCAAAAGTTTTTAACTAAACCTTGGCATATTTCACTCTCGTCTGACAGAAAGTTAAAGGGTTTAGTGATGCTTGCCTTTAAGCTATTACATTTTTAATTAGATTATACAATTGTAATGTTCTTCAGGACAGGTTAATATTGCCTTCGCCTCTGTTGTGAGCTGACACTCATGAGACCTCTGTATGTTTGATCTAACCTTATACTTACCACTTCAGAGATGTGTTTTTCATGTTTCAGATAGATCAGAATAATTTATAAATTAGCAGGTACAGAGGAAAGTTCTGTTCATACATAGTAGTTTCCTATTAGTTGGAAACTACATATTACTGGACTAATGTCTTTAAGTCAGTGTCCCAGGGATTCTCAACTGTTATTCATCTTTAGATCATGGTTCAGTGTGTTGAATATACTGAATACCATGGTATTCAAAGGCAGTGTTAAAAAGGATAATCATTATATAAGTAGAAGTAAGTTTTGAGAACCCCTACCTGAAACTAATTTTTTGAAATAACATAGCAGACAATAACATGTCATGTCTGTCATTCAGAAATGAATCAAGTAGGATGTTTTAGAAGCTGATGTGCTTCAGAAATGAAACTGAATGACATTGTTTGTTCATGAAGGAATGTAACAGACAGCGGACAACCCACACTGAATATCCAAATCCAGTTATGTTTCGATCAGGAACTAAATAAAGCACTGTTAATGAGCTGTAAAACTGCCTTCATACTCCAGACAGCAACTCCTGGAAACGGGAGCTCAGACCTGGGAGCTGTGGGAGGTTCTCCTTTGCCAAGGGCTCTCCTGCTTCGTCCCCATTGTCCAGCCTCTGCAAGTTCATACTGTGTTCCCTCGTTCCCTTACATTCCCAAAGACACTGGATGTGTTGTGTGTATTAACCTGATTGTAAAAATTGTCATTGACCAGAAGGTCGAGTGAGTGAATTACTCTTTCTGCTGTAGTCATTTGGAAAATCCTGAAAGCACTCCCAAATGGCCTCAGAAAAGCAGGTTTTATTCTACTATATGTCACAATGGGAAAAAACTCTCTCAGGTCAATGTCCTATGATACTGTGGAATGCATTTAGTAGCTCAGCAAAAATAAATAAAATGTTATTTCCATTTCCACAATAAAATGAGAACCTTTGTGCTCATGGGTGAAATTGCAGCCTTGCCATGTGAAGGTTTGTGTCAGGCCCTTACTATTTCACTTTGCTAGATTTGTGTTGACTTTGCTCACAGTGTTTTATGGAGCACATGCTAAATCAAAGCCAGAGACTACACCTCTAATATGGCATCTCTGATGATCTCTAACAACTTCTGAAGAGCTGCTCAACAGGCTGTGATAAATATCTGCGAGTACTGTCATCAAGCACTTTCTGCAGGTTCTAGCTGAACTGCCTTTTTCTTAAGGCACAGCAATCAAAAACAAATCATTATTACCTAAACCGGGTTATTATTTTTAGGAATTTGTTTAATTTAGAGGTAGAATTGAATTGGTTCAGAACGGGTGTGATTGCAAAACCTATTTCTGTTTTCTACAAATTAACAGAAGTTACTTAGAAAATAATTTTGTTAAAATAGAACTATATTATGATCTGCAATTCACTAGCAATCCTTCATGCAAAATTAATAGAAATGCTAACATTTTTTTTATATCCAAATGAAATTAAGTTGGTCTAAGGCAGTAGATTTAAAACTACGAACAGGACTTCTAGAAATACCCACTAGATGTCACACTTGGTGCAAGAGAAGTTGTGCTCTGTGCTGTTCACATTCGCAGAGACCCAGGACAGTCCTGCACTCTATGTGCACTGCATTAACAACAGGGCTCAGCCTTTTCTTTTAGGGTCTCAGTGTGCTGACAGACATTCCCTATTCCACCATCAAAGCCAGGCTCCGTGCTTTGCGGCAACTCTGTGAGCACACTACACATGCTGCGCCATCTGGACGTGGAGAGCAAGAAACCAGGAGCCAGTTGCCGTGTGGCTCTTTGAACGGAAGATAACAGCAGTTTATCGAAACTCCCACTTGTTCAAACTCCCGATTTGTCTGTCTCTGCCCTGAATGTTGATTTACTTTTCCCTTCTACCCTCACACCATGTCCACAGCTTTAATCCCCACTTCTCTAGGAGCACGACTGCATCGGGAAGAAACAAAACGAGAATGGAATGCAATGTTTTTTTCTTCTTGGAAAGAAGAAAAAAACAACAATCATGCTTTCTGAAATCACAAATGTTGCATCTGATTTGCTGTGAAAGCCACCGGTGAAATTATATTGCTCCTCTTAGTTTACCCAGATTTCTCTCTATTAAATTTGTAGTTCCTACATTACAAAAATGCCAGCATAGCACAGCACCATCACCCGTGCTTTTCATGACTACCTGACATTCAAATCAAAGCTGTCTGAAGGCCTATGAAGGATATGGAGATTCAGCTGGGATTCTCATTAAGGTCAATATAGCTCTTAAATGGGCTATCCTGGGGACAGATCTAACATCACACCCTCCCAAAAAAGAACAATAAAAGCAAAATGAAAGTTAAGATCCTGAAGGATAACAGGCTCTATTAATGTTGCACTATTAATGTTGTACAAAATGACTTCTTTACAATAAGACCAGATGAAACTGTGTTTTCTCCAAATGTCAAGTGAGTTTCCTTGTCTCCTTTTTACTACAACAACTCAGGGCCTTTCAGCTGGAATTTTCCTATTGAAAAATTGAAATAGCAAGCAAGCAGCTCGGATTATACTACTGATGACACCTTTCTTGAGAAGACTGAGTGTTTCAGTGTGCCCAAGGCATAGCATGCTCACATTCACAGCTGCAAACTTGAACAAACAAAATGTAAAAGGTGTCTGAGACCTTTTTTACAAGAACTGGAATATTTTACTTTACCGGAATCCCAGGAAGGCCTCTTTCCCCTGGATTTCCAGCTTTTCCCTAAGGAAACAAAAAACAAGTTCCAGTTTAAAAATGCAAAATGAGAACTAAAAGAATACCTTTTAAAAAAGAACTTAGTTAACACAGGCTACAGCAGTAGATTTTGTGTGTGAGAAGCAAAAACTTTGTTAAAGACCCTGGAATCCTGCCGATATCCTGGTCGTAAAGCACGTACCTGACTCAGCGTTTCCCACATTACAAGTTAGAAAATGGACCAGATCCCAGCATATTGCTCACACATGACCAACAAGAATGCAAGAGTGCCAGCAGACTGTTTTTGTGAGAGCTTGTGATTTATTGAGGCTAAATAAAGATGGGAACTGGGAAACGATCGATCCATTACAAAGAGACACACCCTGTTGCAAAACCTTTTTGAAAACGCTGAAAAATGGGTTATATTTTTAGAGAAAGATCTTGAAAAATTCAAACAAATGTTCACAATTTATTTTAATTCCTTTTTTTTATGATGCCCAGTCTGGAAAATACTTTTCTATTACAACATCCTGCAATTGCTTCAGGTTTTTCAGTAAAATATGTATAATGTTTCTCACTTTCCATGCACAGCTCCTCCCAATGCAAATGAGAAACACCATAGAAAAAGAGGGTCAAATTTTCATGCTGTCAGAACCTGACACTTTGCTTCTCCAAGCAGACATTTCCTCAACACTGAGTACATGTCCTGCTTTACACAAGCTCCCTGACACATCACAGTCCTCTACTGTCTCCGAGAAAGCATTTCACTGTGTGTAACTTGTCTTTTTAATGTTGCGAATGACATTGTGTACCACTGGGCGCATGATGCTTGGAGTCCTTCAAAACAATCAGAGGTCTCTTCCGCTCTTGTATTGAATAAAACCAGTCTGATCTAACCACAATGCAGAAAACAGGCTAAATGATACTCATGGACCCCTTTCATTGTTCTATTTCCCTCTGAGATAAAAACCCATGAGTAAAAGTCTCAAGTTGTATCATTGAAAATTGTTAAGCCAAGACTAGGGGATTTTTCAAATAATTTTTGTCATAAAGCAAATAGCAGGACTCCAATAAGGATGTGAAGAGGTCAGTTTCTACCACAAAAAACACTCTCGGGGCTCATGTTCCTGTGGGGGTTGAACTCTTAAGAAACAAAGACATGATCTAAAGGAAATTCACATAACTAACAGAACAAATCTAATGTCATAGTCTTTATCTAGTGTCCACATCACTGTCTTCTCACAAGTCATATGTAACTTGTTGCTTGATATTACTTTTGAGTCATCAAGCGATGTTGTATATAAAGTTATATGGATTGAGTTAGTTCTTAAAGCCTGGCAAATGTGAAAGAGAACTCTTCTGGTCCAGCCTTGTCCCCTCAAGACCTACAATCTACAGCAATCTTTCCCAAATGGTTGAGTTAAAATTAAAGAAAAAAAGCAGACTTTGCTGTGGACTGCGTTTGGCTTGATAACATTTTGTCTTCCTTTGTCATACTGAAATCGGGCCCAGAAAACACAAGAGACACACTGGACTTCTGAGCATCTTGTAAGACTTCAGCACATCCAGCAGTTCACTCACAATCAGGCCTGGCTCTCCCTTCTTCCCAGACTGGCCTTGCTCTCCCTGCCGTGGGAAAAAAAAGTATTCAGTCTTGGGCCCAGCAGACTTATGTTCACTCAAGTCAGACAAGCAGTTCAGAAAAAATCATACTCTCTTTGAAAGTGAGAGGTGAAAAACAGAGTACATACTGTTATATATAAATGAAATGTCATTTTGGTCATTAAAACACATTTGGACAAAAAAGCTCTTCAGACTAAATAATGCCAGATTAATTTAACCATGAGGCACTAAACTGTATTTCTCTGTTGTTGCTGCACAGAAGCACAAAGTACAGAGGACACTGTGGGGAAAGAAAGACACTTTTTCCTATACAGTTTGAAAACGATAAATGAATGAAAACAGTTACCTTAGTACCTTGTGGCCCGCGTTCGCCTGGTGGGCCGTCTGAGCCTCTCGGTCCCTTAAATACAATGAGACAGTGAACTAATTACAACTCCACTCTATACCCTCTGCTGTTCATGTCTACACACGTGAGGCTTCTTCACCGAACCTCCAGCACGTTGTGCAATGTGCTCCTCTGAGACTCTGCGTTTTTATAGCGTAATGCAGATTTTAAAACATCGCTATACTGTACATTTCTACTCACCATTGTGGTTACATACAACATGTGTTTATCCTTAAACAGAGACACCAACATATCTGCTAAACTCCTAAAAGAGGAATAAAATCACTTTGTTGGGACGAAAGTCAAGAATTTTACTTCAATTCATATCTGTTTCGCAGAGTCATATGACAGCAGCTGAAACAACAGCAGTGATCAAATGTACACTAAAAATAAAGAACAGAACCAATCTCTGACATCCACACTGACTTCTGTACAGTGCCCAGGGTACACTACAAGCACAAACAACAGATCCACATCTCCTTGCAGCCTGAGATCCACTGGAGACAGAAATCAGTCAGTTGTCTCCATTTTCTGTTTGCCCTATCTCTGGTCTCTGGCCTGAGTCACTCAGCCACTTAAAATTCTTCTCCCAGCGCTTGTGCTGGAAGCGTTCGAGAACAGCTCATCCAGGCTTTTCCTTTCCATCCTTCCTGCCAAGCCTGCTGCTCGGCCTCGTCCACTTTTACAGCCAAGAACAAGTCCAGGGTGGAGGGAGGCACCAGCCCAACAACCTCAAGCAATGATAGCAGCAGCACTGCTACAGTGGAAAGGAGGGTAGCTGAGGGATGCGTGCCTTGTGAATTCACACTCATTCGTTTTGATCCCAGCCTGTACTCACTACAACTGACCCTGTGAAAACACTGGGGATATTTCCAAGAATTATTTCCTCAAAGCCTGAGTCAAATATTCAATACACTTCACAGATAGTGAAAGGACCTTATTTCCAATAAAGCCACACACTGTGAACTCCAACAAACTGGTTCTGTAGCTTGGGTTCAAGCTAGAGTACACCATTCTTGAGGTTTGTTTTAGGACAGATCTTATAATATTGTTTCAACATCTGCCACCCTTGCGATGATACATATTTTATATGATCTTCTGTCACTCTGTCACTCCTGCGTGAAATATTTAAACTGTTGGAAACTGGCAAATAAGCAGTGAGTACTGCCAATCACAGGAGTTATTCCTGAGGTGAGAAATTAAGATATATTTAAAATCCGTCATGAAAATTGCCTTTTACTGAACACAACTTGATATCTGACCTCCACCGTGATGTTTGCACTTCAGACAGGCAGCCAATGTTATTAAACTCAATATCCCCTTTAGTTCAGAAAAGCACTGAGATCCCACATTTCCAGGGAGAATCATCTACGAGAACACAATCTTGATTTTATCTGCAAGTTAAAAATAACTCCGGGAGCTTGCACATATCTGGGTGTACTGTATTTGCTTGAGAATTCAACCAAAATCCTGGTGAGCCCAGACTCGGGGCTAATTACTGTCTTCACTTCTATACTGATATACAGGTCTTTTAATATTTATTACGGTCTTCATGTAGATAGAACTGTATACATGTCTTCTAATATTTATTACTGTTTGCATGTATACAGGACTGTATACAGGGTTTGAGTGCTTATGGTTACCTGTTGACAGTGAAATGGTGTCTTGCAGTGTCACCGTCCTGTCCTAGAGTAGGCAAGTAAGTGCACTGCAGTGACTTATAGACTTTCAGGTAGTTTAAAATTCTGTCATCACCAATCACTCATGAAATTAAGTGTAATATACATTGCTTGTTAAATTATAATCTGACTACCTTTCATAGGTTTATTGAATTTAGAAGTCATCCAAACTAGAAGATTTATATCTAAAGCTGTACAGAGTTCTTTAAGCTAAACTTTAAATTTGAAGATGATCTGAAAGAATATGAATATGAAGGTTAAATAAAAACATTATACAGATATGACATTTTGGCAACAGATTTTAGGCCTTCCTATTTTCCTTTGCAGGCTAGATCAGCTCTTGCTTTCTGGTATTTTTGCTGCTTTTCTTTTACATCGGTCTGCTTTCTTTTTGTGTTGAATTCACAATCCAGATGTGGATGATGTAGCACCATCAGTATGGTATGTTGAAAAGCCCTGGGGACCAGTGTCTTTTATTATTTTATTGGTGATGTCAGTTATTAAAGGATGCTAAAACCATGTACCAGTACATCACAGACTGTCTTAACAACAAAGTGCAAGTAAGACCTTTTACATGAGTGCCCAACTCTGAATGTTAGTGTTACTCATCCAGTAGATGCCCTGTCCTGTGTCCCTATTGGCATTTATGGAAGTCATTCTGAAGAACATGTCATCATCAATCACGGAAAATGTTGGATGGAAATAATATTCTCCAAGACAATGTCTTACTCTTCGCCCTTTTGGTCCAGGAATACCAGGAGATCCTCTCGATCCGGCTGGCCCCTGTTCACAGAAATTTGGGAAGGCCCGTTTAGTAAAATTGTTTTAAAAACAGTTTAGAAAGACATATACTGCACTACATTTGAGGGACAGTGACTTACTGGAGGGCCCTGTGGGCCGATATCCCCCGGGCTGCCTGGAAGACCTGGGTAACCCTGAAACAAAATGCAAAGCACAGCCTGTGAGACGACAATGACACAATCCCTCAGCAACAACACAATCTCTCAGATAGATTCCCTGGAGATTAGATCCATATACCGTAGATTCCCTGGAGATCAGGTCCATTAGCAAATAATTCTGCCCCTCACTTAACACTATGAGTCTGATTTAGCAAATTAATTTGTCTTAAACATTAAATAAGGAGAGAAAGGTGGGCTAGAAGCCAATAAGGCCAAAAAAAGAAATTATAGTTTACAGTGTGACACTGAACTTGACTTTAGAAACGAATTGGTTTCAGAAGCAACGTAAAAGTGGCCCTGTGTATCTCCGTTCATGCTCAAAACCGGTGAATTGTTTAGCCTTGTTGCATCATTAGCGATGTATTTCACAAGGTACTGCAGGTAGCAAGGGCCCAGGACTGAATACCTCCAGAAATCAAGCAAACTTCTCTTCTGCTGGTCTCAGCAGTGCTCGACTCCCCACATGACTTAGTAAATACATCCCAGAAGCTCTCTTCAGAAAGGTAAGCATGATTTCAGATTTGTTTAATGTGCTTTTCAGCCTTCGCCAAACAAACATTTATCATGCTTGTGTAGTTGACATTTTAAGTCCATCCTCTGATTCAGAAAGTTTAACATAAAGGGATAGAGAGGCTTAGTGCCTTCAGAATGAAAATTGACTTGGGCATCCAAATGTTTTGATAAGCTGAGCACCACCACATAATATGATAAGTGAACTTTCACATTTTAACTGAAGTGTTATCAACACTAATAATTGCTACTTTCTACTATATAATCAATTACATCAATTTGACACATTTTCCATCAACTCAGGGCTATATAGTTACTCTTGAATCTCCTGCAGCATGCACTGTATATGAAGCTAAGTCTTCTTTGCCCTGGATTCTTCTCACCATTCTCTTAAAGCACTGGATAATACATGCTAAAACAAACACTCAGCATGCTCCATTGTCGTAAGTCTTACTGGTTAATTTAACACAACCTCACTTTGGTTTTCCCTTACAAAACAGCTGTGTTGTGGACAGGCTCTGCCAAATGTTCATGATTCTGACAGACAGAAAATTAGCCAGCAAGGGCAGACACCCAAAGCCACGGACTGCTGTTATTCTGAGGATCAGCCAGTTTGTAGTGAAAATGTGCTTCCAACTGATGCTATATTAATTTGGAATTAATATTACCTTAACTAGACGTCTGGGCTTAACTTGATAAACCTACTACAACACAGAAAAAAAATGTTCATTTCTTTCTGTTTTGTTTAAAACTCTCAAATGCCTTGAAGGCTGGAAAGGATACGAAAGCAAAGCTGAAGACAAGCCACTCTTATCTTCTGACAGCCTCACATCAGATGTTCAATCAGAAGCAACTCCTTTATCAGCCAGACTGTCAGCACTTCACACAAATCACAACAGCAGAGAGTGGAAGAACCCAGCCAGGGCCGACAAAGTCCTGCTTTCATTGACTGGCCTCAATCTGCTGAGCGAATCAGTGAAGAACGTGGCCCCTCGCAGCCCCTCGTGTGCCCAGGACTCTAACAGCTAGCTCACAGGCGAGGAAGGGCCCTCTCAGAGGTGTTGCCATTAACAGACAGCATTTACGATGCAGGCTACACGAGCAGACAGTAAGCTGTCTGAGCCACGTGCTGTTGTGCACGATGAAACTCGAAGCCCCATTCTGTGGTGAAGCTGTTCAACCTCGTGTCTTACCCTGGACCCCTTTTCACCTGGAGGACCCAAGGGACCAGCAGGACCTCGGTCACCCTAAAAATTTAAAACAAAAGCCACAATGAGACAAGCTTGAAACATCACAAATCCCGTCTTTAAAGTCAGTAAATTCCTGATCTCGGTTTTTGCAGCCCTTGACGTTATATATAGTAGACTGTTTATGAAGAACAGCTCTTTGCCCAAGCATACAAGTTTTTTTATGGATCATGTAAGAAACCTGGCAATCTGCTCCTTACAATGAAAATCTTTTTTTAGCAGATTTTGTTTGTAAGTATTACCATATGTACACGCTCTAACAGCTGTGGGACCAAAAGGGGAAAGTTTACTTGCAAAATATTATTGTAAATTGTGGTTGGAAAGATAAACTGAAAGGTGCATAAGTGGGTTAAATATGAGCAATTTATAGATCTGAAGCAATTTCATGTCTGAATGGACTGACAGGCTGTGAAGACAGATCCAGGCAGCTGCTTGTGGTGTTGCAAATCTGCATCAGCTATTCTGTTTAAACAGGAATATCCTGGGCACATCTGGGTGTGTGCGAGAGAGACGGTGAGGCTCCCGCTGAAAATGCAGTTTCTGTCATCAACGGGATGACATTCTCCATACCGCATCACTCACACATACAAAACACACAAGCTTCCTTGTCTATCTGACGGCCTCTAAACATCGCTCTCTGGGGGAGTCTATCAACAGCCTGGGGCGGCATGAAGGCTTGTTTTCCATTAAGTCATTGCAGAGACTCATCCACATGGCGAGAAATGTCCGGGGATACACACAAAAACCATGGTTCATGCTAATGCACACTCGTATCAAAAGAAATTTATCACGGATTAGATCTCTGTAATTTCAATTACTAGTAACTTACTGAGGCCTAATTTATCTTCTCATTCCTGGATACTTTACAGCAGTTCTGCATATGATTACAGCATGTGCAGCTAGCACTACAGTATTCATGTCAGACACTGTCCACCTGCAGTTTTTTTTAAATGTTTAAAAAGAAACCTTTTCTAAACATTTTAAATAGTTTAAAAAGATGTTAAAATGTTTTTCTTGCTTTCATTTACTGCAGCTGTTTTCTTCTAATGCACCAAAGAAAAAGAAAAGCAGCTAAATCTCTTGGAATCATTGGAACTTTCCTTATTATGATATTTAGACAGTGGATGGATTAAGGATGTAATTATTTTTGATTTACCATAATTATTCTGCAAAATGGCTTAGAGTGCACTTAATGATTATTAATCTCCATCGTGCTCTGTTCCTTTGAGTATTTTGACAAGTGCTCAGCCTTGAGCCAGTGTGGTTCAGTATCTTCATTTGTTTCTCATTTGTTCTCTCTGGACAAACACGTTGTTCCCTTTGTGAACATGGCCAATGATGAAAGACCCTGGGAGTTGTAGGGCAACCATCAGGAAGAGCAGCATAGACACCAAAAATACCTTTTCGCCATGGACTCCAACCAGCCCAGAAGGTCCAATTAACCCAACAGGCCCCTGGAAGAGAAGTACAAAAGGACTGAAAGACTTTGCTCATGGTGCCCAATGCCTTTAAAACTCTGTGATGCTGCATGATAGAGTGCTGCAATGGGCTGAAGAATATGTTCCTGTTTTTTATTTGAAATGGCACTAACATTTAGGATAAAATTGCAATTCACCACTTCCATTTAGTAAAACAAAAAACCTATTTCAATTTGTTGACCTGCGGGAACTGAAGCTGGCAGGACAGATACTTGTAATTCCTGAGCCCCCAACCCGAAAATTACCCACAACCACCGGCAGCCACATGTCAAGGAAATCCTGGAGCTCTGGGAGCAATCCTATCATCAAATGTTGGTCTTAAGGCTTCAGTGACTCCATTAATTCATTTGGACATTCGCACAGTCACTTGGCAAACAGAAGTCAAATAAAACTTTGCAGTTTCTGCACAGGCACGGGTTCTATCCCACACCTGAGGGAGAGCTGAAACACTTCCTGTTACTGCACATCCTCAAGCCCGAGTCCGAAATTCCTCTTCATACTGACACATGGCCTGTAAACGACTTAACATCTCCACTCCGCTGGCAATCCCATCGACAGTAAGAGTGAAATAACAGCCGCCTGACCTTGCTGGACTTCATAAAGATGGACAAGGAAGGAAACACTGGGGAATGTAAATAAAGGAAGAAATCTAAAGAGTGTAATTGTTTCCAGATAAGAGGTCTGGAAAAAGTTCTATGGCCTGACTAGTTGCCAAACAACATAACTCTGGCATGCCTAAGAAATAGCTCTGATCTGTTTAGCAAAAAATATAATCCAGTACACAACAGCAGACAAAGGTTATTAGCATTCTTGGCTAAAACTGTCAAACTTGTTTGATTTTCAGGAACAAAAAAAACATCTTTACACGGCATGCTCGCTCAAATTCCCAATGACAAAAATGGAAGAACATGGATTCTCCATTTTATGGCTGTGCCCTTATGAACAGTGCTTCAGGTGGGTAAGAAAATCTTCGAAGTAAGAATCAGTGAAATGTACTGCTGTGCATTTTGCTTTAAATTAAAATTTCCCCTAATGTTCAGATTATTTAAAAACATTTTGTTTTGCCTGCAACATGGGAAAGTCAACAGGAATTCACACAGGCAGAAGATTGCATTACTTCTCTTACCTGACAGCTCCTGAGACAATATTTTCAATCACATTGTTACACAGCTTGCATCATTTGCATCCCCTAACAGAATACAGTGTCACCTTGACAAATAATTAAACTTAAAAACAACAGAACCAAGACCATTTGTATAGGATCACAACGAAAAACCGATGTGTGAAGAAAACATCCCTCCGTCACAGAAGTCAGGGGAAACTGAAATATCTCAAGCCCTCTGCACACAACACTCATTGCAGCGGACAGGACTGTGGAAAAGCTGCGATGCATTGGAGAGAAAGGGAGCGATTTGTACTGAGCAATGGCTTCAGAGTGATCCAAGGTAAATGAACCTCTTTCAAAGATGTGCATTAGCTCTCCAGCTTTTCTCCTACATTTGTGTCCTCTTAAACAGCACTGATGAAAGAAGGACACTGCAGTACTGAGCTTTAGTAAGACAGTTTTACCTGCACCCCTGTTTACAGAATACACCAAGTTTCCCAAAATTTCTTCTGCCAGATGTTTTTAAGGTCAAGGCAAAGATGTTAATGTAAGCTTCATTTTCCATTATGAAAAGCAAAGTTGAGATTACTAATTAGCTCTTTTCACTTTATAAGCAGTTTTGCTATATGGAATTATTTGCTGGTCTTTGGTGTAAAGCTGTGAATATGAATATGAGCTACAAGTTGTCAGAACTGATGAGTTCAGTGCCTACAGTGTTTGGCAAAGTCTTATCCAGTGCTGTATAATATTTATGACTCACTTTTCAAGCCAAGTGTCTGTTACCTATAGCAATGAACATGCCAGCTCACAAATACTGCAACACCTCTCACAAAGCGCTCCTCAACACCTGCACAAGATGTAAAAGGAGGCAGACAGCATTAATGAGAGAGCGCGTTTCACATAATTTCAAGAATAAAATGCTTTTGTGCTCCAGAATCATTAACACCAAGTGGGACAACTGACAAGAAGGTATTACTTCAACATCAAAGAGCAACGGATTATGGCAACATTGTCAATACCTAATTAACCATCAATTACAGAGGTGTAACATGTTATACGAGAGGCACCTGCGGTTACATATTGACAGTTTAGCAGTTGTGACTGATGTTTGAGGTGCTCTGGCCTATTCCTCAGATTATCTCAGAATGTTTGGTGCTGCAGAGCACTGATAAGGTCAATGCATACAAGAAGCACAATACAGTACAAGATGTTTTAAATATGTTCTGCAACTGGTGAACATCTATCAAAAAAGCTATTCCCTATTTACACAGCAGCCCCTGTTTCTGATTTCATCTGGCTTTAAGTGTTTGTAAGCAGACGGTGACAAAACAGTCCATATTTGGGTGTTTCGGTATTTGAATTCTTGAATAATTGCCGGGGGGGGAGTGCAAATTTATACAAAATTCCTAAATGAGAATGAGCTGCACATTTGCAATGATCTACCAAGAGAGCTCCCTGAATGCCTGGCTCCACGTGAAGAAAGAAAAGGGGAAAGTGGGTCATTTGTTCTTAATCTGAATACACTTAATAATAATGTCCCTAGAGCTGTTCCCTAAACATTTCAACATTTGGTTTCGTTTACTGGGGGCAAGAATCTGAACATCGGCAATTTTGAGGAAGAAAAAATGAAGCTAGAGAGAGGGAAGTGTGTTCGCTTATATCTGGGCTCCACATGCTTGCTAACTCAGGCTGATTGGTGTAGGTGTTTCTAAGGATTGATAAGAGCATGTGAAAGTAAAATCATATTTATAGCAAAAAGATCAAGCAGAGGTTCATTCCAGAATAACAAGTAAACTTTGCTTTTCAGGAAGAAATGGAGCTCAACTTGCTCCCTTGCAACTCCCATGCCGACCCAGCTGTCTGAAGTGACACATTCAAAGCAATGCCAACAACAGATACGAAGAAAATGTGCTCCAGTGGCAAAATCAAGAGATTAGCTTAACATGTCAAAAACGTGTTAAAGCTGACATTCTTAAAACTCAGATATGTACTATTATGAATTTTAAAAAAATCTCACGTTAGTCATATTAAACACTGATTTCTGATTTAGCTTCAGTCCTTCTGCGGATACTGAAAATTGTCTAGATCTATGATAATAGAGGAAAACACAAAGGAAAATGTTAAAAACAGTGTGTAAATTGGAATTTTTCCATTAGCAAAGCCCTAAAATCTCCACAGGAATAAGCAAAGTGTGTACATAATTAGTAAACGAGTTTAGAATTTTCTGAACAGTGTGCTGGCAATAACCAGTACTTGATTTGATTCAGTTACATTTCCTCAGAGATAGAAGGACATGATCAAATGGATGCAAGCTACTGTAGCAAAATGAGTGTTGCATTACAAAACTATATCCTGTTGAAATCCTTTTTCAATACAAGCCATTTTGAATGGGTCAGCACATTAGCAGATGAAATTGTACATTACTATTACCAGTCTTGAGCTAAAAACAAATTCCCCCTTAGATTATGAAGCAACAAACCATTGCACCCCACCCCAAGCCTAGTTGAGAATCGAACAGTCCAGTATCCTTTGAAAGTGTCCAAGACACTGTACAGACCCTGCCAACATGTCCTGGGGAACACTGCTCTATGTGACAATGATCAGATCATGAGCTTGTTTCACTGGCTATGCAAGGAGCTGATTAGCTGGTGCCATTTTCTCCCTGTTAATGATGGAGTGTGACTGTAGCTCTACAACAGACATCTGTTAGTGTGTTGGGATCATGCAGGAAACCTCCCTTTTCACTCACTTCAAACCCATGTCACTCGCACCTTCGGTTGATATAAAAAACTGACAGAACTGACAAACATTTACTGATGCCAAAGCCACAAAGAAACAAACTGTGTATGTAGAGAAAATATTACTGGAAGACAGCAACACAGAAATTTCTAGTTTCATAAACAGCTGTGACAAATCTATAAGCCAAAAGTGTGAGATATCAAATTAGAACAAACTGGAAAATTCTCAGGAATCCCTGCACTAGTGTGACAGCCTGCAAACAAGGGAGCACAGAATACTTGTCCTGTTCAAATCACTCCTGTAACCATCCCGATAAAGACCTTAGACTGCAGCTGCTTCATGCACTGAAGTCCATGTACAAAACTCACCTGAGGTCCAGTTTTTCCCAAATTTCCCAGGTCCCCTGGCTCCCCCTGTAATCAAAATGGCAACATTTATGCTCAGTTTTGCTTCCAATGTTTTGCTTTTAGTTCTTCAATCATATATACTATGGGAGAAATCCCATTTATTGCCTGACTTTACTACATTTGTGGCTTTATAAACTTTGTTTAATCAAACCTCAGCAATCCAACACTCACAGGAGTGTACAGGAAATGCAGCTAAATGAAAACGGGTTGATATGTACTTCAGATCTTTGAAACATCTCCCCACTGCGTGACTGACGTGCGCCACTGAAGGAGAGGGAGAAGCTTCTAAAGAGAAGCTGCTCTGCAGATTTCTGATGACCACTGAGGATACATGTTACTAGTATCACACACTGAAAACAAGCTGTTTCTACCCAATTCATATAGTGCAGCACAGAAACAGGAGAATTACCAAGGTCTCTGCAGTCTGACTGTGAAACAAAAGCTACAATAGAGAAAAATTAGCAGGACAGAACACACTCCTACCTTCAAGCCTTCTTGTCCAGCCTCCCCAATATACCCTTTCCTTCCTGGTCTTCCCTAGCAGACAGAAGATAGTTACTGAGGATGCAGGAGACAGGCAACACAAGAGGCTGTTTATCTTAGTTAGACAATGCAGAGTAAGATGGGTAAGATGACCTGAGAAGGAGCTCATTGAGCTGGAAAAGGAGTACAATTTATGTAGTGCACATAACTGAAAAGAAAAAACAACCACTTACTAAGACAGATAACACCTTTCATCAATACTAATTAAAATAATTACATTAAGCAAGTGTTCAGAATAAATCTCTCAGACTTTCATTATACTTACAATAGGCCCTGGTCCCCCTGGTGGCCCAAGAGGGCCTTCATCACCCTGGAAACACATAAGAGTATTTTAGAGCCTTAAATCACACAGCCTTTGCTCTGCTGATACTGTGATTAGTCTCGTGGTGCCTCACTGGCCTATAGATAATGGCTTTAGCATCAGTTTTCATTGTGCAAATTAATGCATCTTCTTTAGGGGAATAAATCACAGCATGTGTTCTGCATTCCTTATGAAATACAATGTTTTACTTGTACAAGCCTGGTTCACAGTCCCAGAGAGCTGAGGGTAGGTGTTAATATAACTGCAGGGATGAACGTGGTACCTTGATAGTTACATTAGGAACATATTACACAAGATTGCTACTGACTGACTAAGCTTTCATCAGAGAAAGGGCAGCCTGTATTGAAGAATGAAGACCCACCAACACTATTTTCCTGAGCCTCAGCATATTCTGACACAATGCGTCTCTGTCTGAACTTTTTTCTCTGTGCCTGGGAGGAACATTGAGCTCCAGGCAGTGGGATTTTAGAGCTGAAAGGTGCCAAGACACATTTCTCAACATTAGTATCATGGAAAGGTTTGTGTTTGAACTAGTAAGGTTTTTGCTCTTATTCATGATCAATCAAATTCTGTCACCAAGCCTCTATTTGTATTTGTAACCAGTGGTTATAATAGCAGCCAACAAAATGCCAGACTGAAGTGAACTGCCATATACTGCACTGTATATACAGTATGTTAATGTGAAGAAAATGTTTTTCAGCAATTTCAATTTGTACACTTTTTCACATGATATCCTGAAATCACACACAAGCACTGCAACACTCCCTCCTGGAGGAACGCACAAGGCATGCTAACCTTGGACCACTGGTGACTCTATACCGATCAATTGGTTCTACAGAGCCCTTAGAAAAACTTGGCATAATTATGTCCTCTTTGACGAACATTTTGTTAAGAGTGCAATTTCACATGCCTTCCTGTGAAGTGAGCCCTCACCTCAGTTCCTTTCGGCCCGGGAGGCCCCACTGGTCCTCTGACACCTTGAGTCCCCTGAAGCATCAGAAACAGAGCACCAGTTTCATACGGATCAGCCATTTCTACCAGTAACCGCGCATGGGGAGACATTCAGTACAGACAGCGGGCAGGGACTCAGGCTGCTCTCTTGAGAAAATGAAAACACATTAACCTCCAGAGAGACTGAACATGCCCACTCTGCAGCAATGCTCCAGCAGCGGGAACAGGCTGCACCAGGACTGGAGCATGATGGCTCTTTGATAATTATAAGACAGCAAAATCGATAGGACAGCCAAAAGCTGTCATGATGTAGTGACAGTATTAGACACCCGGTATTAGAGTATAAGAGATATCAGTTTCATCTACTGAAATGTGCTCTTGTGTACCTGAGTACAAAAGGCAGCCAATTACGTAAAAACAAAACATAAAACTAAAAATTAAAGAAATACAGTCTCTTCAGATCTTTAGAAACATTTTATACAGTGAAATTCAATATTGTTAATGTACAGTAAGTCATCTGAAACATATTTGACAGTCATAAAAAGTGGCTATATAACTAGCAGAATCATAAAATTATATGAAGAATATTTACTGACAAAAACATAAATTGTGCTACTTTGTCTACTACAAGCCTATGAGCCAAAACTTCCTCATTCAAACACAGGGAATCGATTACATTGGAAGCTGTTAACATATAAATACAAACTGCTCAGAAAAAGTCGAACAGCTGCATTCCATTAAAGACAGATATTTACAAACTGGACATACAGTATTTCACTATGTGAAGAAATGTCCATTTCCATTTCTTCAGCACTAGTGGACAGACAGTGACATCTATCTACCTTTGGACCAGGTGGGCCATTTGGACCTGGAGCACCAATATCTCCTGGAAAACCCTGAAATAAATAAAAGGAATTTCAGTCCTTGAGAAACTACATTTACACTGTAGTATAAGTTTATGCCTTTCAGGTTTAATTTCGTTTGCTGAATGGAGTGTCTCCGTTTTTCTGATTAATTTCATTGGCACAGGAGACACTGCAGGCTTACAGCCTAAATGGAAGCATAATCCACTCCTTTCAAAACACATTTTGTACTTGACAATTCTGAAAACACGAAACCCAGAACTAAAGCGGAACGAACACAAAACCAGCACAAAACCCAAACCAGCATGAGCCACTGACCATGTCTGCAGGTGTTTCCTGAGCCTCTCAGGTTGGTAAGTCTACTCCCATAGCTGATTTTCAAACACTGGTGTTTGTTTCAGCTCCAGCAGTAGATAATGAGCTATAAAGCAGTGGGGCTGTGGTTTAATATGGTGAATCATCATTTTTTTCTGCGCATGTAACTATTTTACAGGTGCTATAAAAATATATGAAGAGGGTGATCTGCGCCAAAGAAAATCCAGATCGAGTTCTTTTATTTTCCCCAGCAGGAAAAACACAATGTCACCCATGGAGCTGGAGCTGGTGAGTGAACTGCAGAAAGACATGCCTGCTGTACTTACGGAACTGAAACCTATATCCTAATATCCTACTACAGGAAGGAACAGCTGCCAAGAAACCGCTGCAGCATGAAAGTACATTGGCTTTTTTACATTACAGAATGGTCAGATTACAAAAGTATTTTTTCACAGGGTCCTGGGTTCGATCACGGTCTGTGGTCTGCACATTGTGCCTGTGTCTGCATGGGTTTTCTCCAGGTGCTCTGGTTTCCTCTCACAGACCGGAGACATGCTGCCAGCTGATGTGGTGTCTGCAATGTGCGGACTGGATGCCTGTGATGGACTGGGCCCTGTTGTGCCCAGGGCTGGCCAGGTCAGGTTCACTGCAGATTACACAGTTGCATTTTCTAATATTTGAACAAGTAATAGGTTTATTCCATGCTGAAAAGAGAGAAAACACAACGTTTCGGCTATTACTTGTTCCTTTTGCAGACTACGCATGCTGACGCAGCTACCCACCTGAACTACTTTTCTAATATTCATCCATCCGCAATACAGGCCAATTTCCACTAGGTGGCACCTTCTTGAGAAACACTGAGCTTAGAGGTTTAGAACTAGAGTCCTGAGGGACATTTTCCATTAAGCTTTTAAAGCTTCGCTGTTCTTTAAGAATAGGAGAATCCCAAATGCATCTGATTTCAAACAGATGGCAACACATACACATAGTTCACACATTTCAAATCTATAATCTATAAATCACAGAGGAGGAGCGGTGGCACTGTGGATAAGGATCTATGCCTATGGCTGGAAGGTTGCTGGTTCAAATCCTGCGATTGGCGGAGGAATCCTACTCCATTGGGCCCCTGAGCAAGGCCCTTAACCTCTGCTGCTCGAGGGGTGGCGTATAAATGGCTGACCCTGCGCTCTAACCCCAAGCTTCTCTCTGTCTGTGTGTCTCATGGAGAGCAAGCTGGGTATGGGAAAAGACAAATTCCTAATGCAAGAAATTGTATAGGGCTAATAAAGTGATCTTATTGTATAATGTATCCTAATGGATTTCAAATGCCATTTTTAAAAATGGTGTTATGTGAGAAAAGAACAACAGTTATGTTACTCCTTTAGCATAAAAATCAGCTGCAGATATGGTGTCGCATGTATACATTTGCTTTCCACAGACTCAGCTTTTGCAGAGTTATTTTGTTAAAACAACATGAGGAGATCTGAAGTCAGGAGAACTAAAGCAATACAGATGTTAAGAAGGAGAAAATGATTAATGGGGACCAGGAAGATCCTTTAAGGAATTCTGGGACTGAAACCCATTAATGAGAGGAAGTTGTACAGTAAGCCGATTCTAACCTTGGGGGATGTCTGTCCTTTTAAAACTTGGACATTTTACAACATTTCTGAGACTAAAGGCTGCACTCATTAAAACATGTATTGTGTTGGATTTATACTCAGCCTTTACAAATGGGATCACCAGTGTGACTTAACAACTTAAACACCTGGTCAAGCCAAAGTCAGGCCTGTGAAGGAATGTAAGGTACTATTGGAATGGCAGAGGGCTGTGACAGCTCTCTGAATGAGGACAAAAAGAAAGCAATAAAATAAATATAAATAATACAAAATAAACTCCTTAACTTGGACTTTAACCTTTAACCTGAGACAGCACACATTTCAAATATTACCTCTCTTTGAAATACTCTACCACTTATTCACTTTGGAATGACTTTTAAGCATTAAAATGTGCCAGATTATTAGTAGGCTATTTTCTCTGAAGTTGTTTGGCGGAAGAAGGATTGTTATGCATGTTAAGAGGAATGTGATATGTTTATATTTTCCAAATAAAACTCAAAGATCTATTCTGTTCTGATCTATAAAGTTCTCACTGCATGGGTGACTGTACATGGAAGGGAATCAGAAGGTTCTCGCCGGTCTGCAGAAGATCTGCCAGCACGTGGGATACAGATTTACCGGAGCAGGCAGACTGTGCCTGCTGAGGTTTTCAAACACCAAATTTAGAGACATAATAAAAAAAGAACTGCAGGGCTCCCGCGTGATTCGATCTGTTTAAATCTGTGTTAGGAGAGCCCTGCTGCCGCCACACTGTACACAGTGACCAGCGTTTCACTGACAGCCATGTCGTTTTCATCTCTCTAAACAGTTGCTGTTAAAATTCCTTTTTTCTGTGTATCACCACCACCTGCAGCTCCCATTCCATATTGTCTCCCATTTTTTCTTGCAACAGGAGCTTACTGAGGTACCAGTCACCCTATTCGCCTGACCGTGAGACAGCTGTTTCACTTGAGAATGTTTCACATCACCACCTGGTGGACACTTCTAGACTTTTTGCAAGGAGCTGCTCTTGACAAATGAAAAGTTCTTATTGAAATAACAAGAAATATTTATTTTCTTATATGTAAGAAACACATACTTTTCTTAATTATATTTAAGAAATAAACACTTCAGCATAGTTACAAAAGCTGAAGAAAGACTGTACACTCATTGGTGAGATATTACACATTTAAATGCGCTACTATAACTTTTTTAAAGTAACAGTTTATCTCTCCAGTCCGAAATTCCACTTCTCAGATATTAAAGACTCTAAAACATCCAGAACACTGGAAGACATTTCTCCATTTAAGCTAAATGTCCCAGTTCCAAACTGGCTATTTTCTCTGTAATTTTCTACGTATAGAAACAAGGGGTATTGTTACAAATACTAAATGTGATCTAATTAAAGGAACTTTTTCAACCCAGTTAATCAAGCACTGCAACTATTAAACCTACTCATCTGAAATGACTGTGATCACAGTGATGCACAATCACAAGAAAGGTTTCCCAGTCATCCGCTTAGCTCCATTCTCTATACCCCAGTATGAGAATAAGAAGTATGAGAAGAAGGACTGATTAAACTTTCAGGTAACAGTTTCAAACAGTTACATGACCTTTCCCAGAACACAGAGTGAAATCAGGTTCCAAATACTCTGAGAAAGCATCTTCAGAGCGGCTGTAATGCCGATGACAGGAAACAAAGGGTTAAGTCAGCACTAACACCGATTCATAAAGAGTCTGCTCTGTCCTTACCTCTGGGCCTGGAGGACCTGGGGACCCCTGGGGGCCCGGCTCACCCATTTTCCCCTTTTGGTAAAGAAAGGAAACGGAAGAACATGTAAGCGACAAGCGTGGCTCAAAGCATTGACCATTACCGTCTCACGACACGAAGCCCTCCCAACAGACTGGGGCTTTTCCACACACACTGTGAATCGCAGCGCTGCAGGAATGACATTGCGCTCATTCTCAGCCTCAGAAACAAAACCAGTGGCCATGTGGCACGGGGACAGCATAGCAAGGAGAGCGAGCCACTGGGCTCCAGCGACAGCTTGTCTATTTGAGTCCCCTGCACGGCCACTGCTGTTGTACCTTGATTGAGGTCCTTTACCCCAGTTCTCCCAGTTGTACAAGCAGGGCCCAGAATTGCTAGGGGGTCACCCCTGTGATGGATTGGCCTCCCGTCTTGGAGGGGGGGGGGGTAGGGACACACTCTCACTGGCCCACTGAGGCTCTAATTTGGACATTATGTTTTTCATACTTATTCAGGAGCTAACAACCTTATTAGAATGTACATGCAAAGTTCTCAGGATCAGGATGTCATTATCTTCATGCTCCGACATGAAGTACGTGAAGACCCGAGTACAAACGAGGAGGCAGAGAATGTAGGGGTGAAAACTGGAAGAACACATGAAGCTTTGCAGGTGTCGGCCAGCTAAGAGAGCATCTGGCTGTGATCCCAGGATCACAAAAAGCCTGATGAAAACCCTCTCTTGTTTGTAGCCTCTTGTTCTAACATACCTGTACGCTTACAGTTTTTTGAGTGTCATATACATCTGCTACACCTCCTAGACAGCATTATAGAGAAACCCAGAATTTGATACATCACCAGATACCAGATACATCACTGGCATAACAGGGGTGGGTTTAGTGAAAAACAATTCCTACAAGTCCCTCAGAGAGACCCAGCGTGCTGCATTGCAGCCCTGCAGTGTTAAACCCTGCTGCCACTGTGCCAGTGTTGTCTGCAGTCCTAGAACTAACAGGTGGTCTGTCCACCAGAGCGGTATGACGCTGCAGATCTCAACATGTGCCTTCCAGCGTCACAGAGGAGCATGACAGCAAGTCAATGAAAACGTGACCCGTACCGGCGGTCCCGGCTTCCCTCGAGGTCCCGGTGGTCCCGGCAAGCCCGCTGCACCCTGTGGAGATGCAGGACAGTGTCAGCTCTGAGTCTGCAGAGACACAACGTGATCTCTCATCGGGTCGACGCTTGTTGAGTCTGGAGCACTAAGCCAGGCTCTGCTGGACCTGTGGCTTGTCTGAAGCCTCGTCCGCAAGGCAACACCTTTCCTTTCTTCCTGCTGCAAGTCGGCCTCACAGCACAACTCAAGAACCAGAGCATCACATCGCTGAATAAAGACCAGGGGACCGACTGACAACGGACATCAGCTCAGTGTCTTTGTCATAGGCATAAGTGCAATAAAATGCTTACTTGCATGTATGCTCTGATACAAAAGCTTGAAGGAAACACCAAAACAAACACAGAACAGCAGTAACAGCAACAGCTCAGATAAATAACACACAACTTTAATACGTCAGCACAAGAAGTGTGCAAAAAAACCCATCAGTGTGAGTCAGTGGTAGAGGTGACGTCTTGTCCGTCGCATTCTATGACGTTTCTTAAACGAACACTTTTTAATTATGTCTTCACTAAGGAAGGATGTTGTTTCATAATTCATCTGCCTGATCAGGAATGGAGGATTATGAGGAAAAAGATTTAAATATCTTAAATAAATCAGCCACCTTGATAAAATTAATTATTTATATCTTCATTTATAAACTTCAAGACACAAGAGGAACATTTCCATTTCTAGACAGATAGATATTAACATTATGACTTGACACTTGAGCCAAGGCCTATCCAGTCCTCTGCTGGAAGGCCAGTGTGGGTTTTCACTCCAGCTCAGCTCTTAATGAGCTACACCTGCTGGTGACTGGGTGAACTGGTCCCATTTAACAGCTGCTCCCAGCTGTTGATGTCCGGTTACGTTGAAGAGACCTAGAAAACTTGCAGACACACTGTCCCTCCAGGACCAGGACTGGACACCCCTGCACAGTTTTAAGGGAACAATAAGTGACATGAGAAAAAGTCCTACCTTATCTCCAGGGTAACCATACTCTCCCGGTTCACCCATTAATCCAGGTTCCCCCTAGATTACACAGCATTACAGGGAGACATATAATAGAGACAAGACACAGCTTATCATTAACACCCTGCCAACATCAGCATCACCCTTCTCCACACTGTGATGGGACCTCTGCTGGGAGATTAGGATAGCACAAGCCGAATACAAACTCCTCTGGCAGAAGACAACTCATAGCGAATTCTGCAACTTTACTGGAAGTTCCTGGACAGGAAGTTCGCATCAAGAAGAAAGAAATCTAAATCATTACAGCCAAAATCAGGGGACTTTACTTTTAGAAAAGAATGAAAAACCATCCACTAGAGCTGGAACATGTGTAATCAGCCACCCTAACTCCTTCTTCACTTCAACTAAAATTCATATATATTGTATATATGAGGTTCTCTTTTCCTCAAGAGAAACCCGATTCAGAATGCTATCCGGTGATGAACCTCTGACGTAACCGTAAATCACACCTCTGTCTTCACTCCCCTTTGCAGAAGAGGCACTGGTGTCCTGTTAACAGTTTGCTGCACTTTAACGTGCAGACCTGAGAAGAGTGCTCAAAACCTTGTCATCAGGCTCCGGATCAGTGTGGACAAGGACAGACGCACCACACCTTAAAACGGGAATTAAAACGGAGGACTTTTGGATGGTTTTTTATGCAAAATATCAGCCACTGCCTGTGTTCACTGTAGACTTAGTGCCACTGCGTTGAAAAATGTCAAACCCAACCCCTCCAGATTAGACTTCCTGGTACAGGAGGTCAGTCATAGACATTTACAGAACCTGTGAATAAGGGCTTGACTTCATCACCTTTGGAGTGAACAGATTCCTCCCCCAGACCTCCACCCACCCCCACCCTCCAGACTGGCATAGTCACTGGATTAATAGAAATATGTAGATCACCTTATCACCTTTCAATCCAGGCTGCCCCACGCGTCCGGCCAGGCCCTGTCATAGGAAGAACACGCAGTCTTGAGGGCACGGGAGCGCAGGCGGGAAAAGGAGGTAAACGGCGCTGGCCTGTGAGCTCACCCTACCTGAGGTCCCACCACACCCGTCGGCCCGCGAGGCCCTTCCAGTCCCAAGTCACCCTGCAGGGAGCAAGGGGGCAGAGTCAGAGGGAGGGCAGCGTACGGACCGGTAACCAGACGCGAGAGCAGTGCGCCGGTCAGCCACTGCTTCTGCTTCACTCTGCAGGGGGCTGCAGATACAGCTCTCCCCCGAGATCTCCTCTTCAAGGCCTTCGGGGAGCACAAGACAGCTGCTCTCCAGCACCCCTCACAGTCACATCTAGGGCCGGTTTTCTCTCTGGACAGTAAGAGCTGTTCGTTATCAGTGCCTTGCTCCTGCCTGGAATTTGCACCCGACCTCTTGTCTTATTTTGACAGCTCTGCCAAGTGCTAAATTATTTAGAAAGAATATAAAACATACTTTTTAGGTCTGGAAAAAATAGTGGGCTCTACATGGCTAAAATGTGGTGTAAGATGGAGGAAGCATATGATATACAGCTGTCTGCCCTGAAACATCAAGTCCAAGACGACACTAAAAATAAGAACTTTTGGGAAAAAAAAAACTACACGTTCTTTAACATGAGAACACACAAAACCAAAGTTACCCATCTTAAAACTATCAAAGAACCCAGCAGAGGACTTATAAATCTTGATACACATTGTCATATTTGTTTTATTAGTTAATAAATAAACATTTTTGCCTATAAAGCTCAGATGATTTATGAAGTGTGACTAATGGTTAGAAATCTCAAAGCTGACAGCTGAACTGGCTGAACGTGTTCCGCAATAACATTTTCTTCATAAAACCCAATCAGATTATTCTAAAACGTTTTAGCAAGTAGTGTTTAATAGTTTTCCTATTTCATGGGCTAAGATTGTGACAATATAGCTTAATAACAAGCTGAGTCTAAAAAGACTGAGCAGCAGTTAACAAAATATGCGTGATACATTTTAACCTTTAGAAATCGTTTAGGTTTCACAAAATGCCCTCACTTTAATCAAGAAAAATTCCTATAGGTGAACAGGACTTGAAAACAAAAAATAAAAAATAAGAAAATAAGATATAATAAGAAAATAGATAAAAATAAAATAAATAGAAGAAAAAATATAAGAAGAAGAAAATAAATAAATCATGAAAATACATTTTCCACACTATGCAGAGTGGTCCCTTTGTATTACTGATACCAAATTACAACCTCCCTTGATGGTACTGCAAAATACATTTCCTACAGCCTACTATTGGATACTCTCCAGCACATACACTGTATAACAATGTGTACTCCCCAGGAGATATCCTGGATACTACTGTATACTACTGTTTGCTCCCCAGGAGTATTCTACTAGAGAGATATCCCAGGGAGATATACTATAGTACTAGTGGATACTCCCCAGGAGATATACTGCACAGTACTGTATACTCCCTAGGAGATTTAGTGTATAATACTGGATGCTACTGTATACTACTGGATACTCCCCAGGAGGTATACTGTATGCTACTGTATAATACTGGATACTCCCCAGGAGGTATACTGTATACTACTGTATAATCCCCAGGAGGTGTACTATGGTTCAGCATGATGAAATATAAAGCAATCAGCTGTGTCTTTTAGCCAGTATTGCCAGAATCCTTCATACTCTACATTATCCTGAGATCCTACATTATCACTGCTGAGCATGACAACCCTATCATTAACTCATGTAAAGAGTTCTGCTCCGATTCTGAAATGGAGCTTTACCATCTGTAAATACACATTCAGCTTATTTAAAGTGTGTTGAAAGACAGAGGGACAGAGACATAAATTCATGTTCTTAAGCCTCAGATCAATTAGCTACTAGAAACTAGAAGAGCTGGAGGGATAGAATAGCGGCCTCCTGTCTGCTGCCTTTCTCATGTTCTGTCTCTGCAGCTACTTTTGTGTCAATAAGATCGGATTCAGTTACTCCAGTTAGGAAAATCTGAGCAATTTGTCTGGAGGCTATTTGGAAATCACAGAAGGTCCCCATGGAAACAGGACCTGAACTTCACTGTTGTCTGGATAAATCAAAGGTGCAGGTTGCAGTAAACCCTGTGCTGCCATTCACAGTTTACATCACCATCTTGCCAGGCTGCTCCCGGAAAGCAGAGACATGTCAGCCTCTTAACGGCTGACTGTTTTGTTGATGTGGACAGGTAGATGTCATGCTATACTCTGCTCTGAGATCAAAGTAAGTGTCTGTCAAGCACTTCATGTCAAAAGCCATGATCTACTGTATATTGTGACTGACAATGCATTTTACTGCATGACATTGAAGATGTCTTACCTAGAAGATAGGCAACCCCGTGACAAGCTGTGACTCCAAATGATTCTGATACGTTTATGAAAAACAGTGATTTGAAAGCGGGCATATCAAATAGTAATTACAGCCATTGCAGTATACTGTAAGTGCTGCTCAAGAATTCCAATACTGACTTAAACATTTCTCTAGACTGACATGGAGTGTAACATGTGTTTTCCATCGCCTTCCTGGCAGCACCAGCTATTCAGTTTCAACTCCACAGCCACTTAGGAGAACAAATCTGATGTTTGTCTGAAAATCACACGCTCAACACAAACTGGTATTTCACTGCATCTTCCAGGAGAACATACAGTGCCTTGCAAGAGTATTCAGACCCTGAATGGAGTCTCATTCTGTGAAATTACAAAATTATGCAGACAAGTTTTTAAACTGATGTTTTTAAAGATTTGATCAAAACCTCGTGTTCAAACTGAAGACTAAAGGCTAGAATAAGTAACAGTAAATGTGAGCAAAAACGGAAGTATCTTGATCACATAATTATTCAGACCCGTGAACTCAAATATTTGGTGGAAAAACCTTTGGTAGCAATTTCTTTTCAGGTCTCGACCAACGTTTCACACTGGCCTGGTGCAATTTTTACTCCTTCTTCCTTGCAGATTCCCCTTATGCCCTTTTTGTTTTTTCGTTTGAATGTGTAGAGTAGGTTTTGTATAGAACAAATATTGATACTTCAAAGTGTCATGACTGTAAGCATTAAAGCAACAAAACGAGGAAACCTTTCAAAGGTCTGAATATTTTAATAAGGCACTGTTTTAAAGTTTTAAAGAGCTACGATAAACGGATTAATGGTTTGTATATATGGCTGATGCTTTTGCTTTCTTTTATTTAAAATAAGATTATAATCATGTAAGACCATTATAGAGACAGAGAAGAAACAGAAACAACACGATGAATAAGATGAAAGTGAATCATCTCTCCTGCAGAAAAGCTCTTGTCTACTTTGCAGTTCCCTGTGTGGCTGCAGGCAGTGAGCTGATTATAAAGAGAGAACATTTTCCTGCTCTAGAAGCTCATCTCCCACACCTGCAGTCATTGAGGCCCAAGGAAAACCAACCAGCCTGATGCAGCTGTGTGTGAGATCCCCTCATTACTGTACCTCTAGCCTTGTCTGCAGTACATGTTCTCGCATGAGCTGTGCTGAAAGCTGGGCTTTTCTAAGCCAGAGTGACTTACTGGGGAATTCCTAGAAAGCTGAGTGTAGAGACTCCATAAAATGGATCAGATTGGGAACTGCTACGTTTGAATGAACAACTATTAAGCAGTTGTTTTGCTTTTAATGTCTTACTACATGTATTCTTCACAGAGGTTTTTACAATTTCTTTCTTTAATGGTTTTAGCAGAGGGTAAGTCTACCATTAACCAAGCGTCACTTTCCTTGCCTACTGGTTATTTCAGGAATTCCTCTCTTAATAACATTTAGTTTGTAGTTTGTAGCCTTGCACTCCTACCCCTGTTCTTGAATGATGATGCTATACTGAAATAATTTCATTTCAAAATCGAACATTTCAAAATATATTCAATGTTTAATATATTTTGCATATTACCAGATCGCCTCACCCCAACAACTGGAATTAAACACCAGTGAATGGTGAATTAACCTGTGCATTCCTGCTAGAAATTCAAACTTGCATGACTGAATTTCAGTTGTATATGTACTGACACTGCTGTCCCCTTTCCAGGAATCATCACATTATTTAAGTCAATTCCAGCTGCTACTACAATGTTGCTGCTGACAAGGACATCAGCCAAATCACAGAACAAAAACACAGAAATACTGTTACCACAAGTCTGAGAGTAGGAGGAAATAGCTGGTACTGGTACAGTAACAGCTTTTAGCTTATTTTATAAGCCACCCTAAACAGATTCATAGTCTCTCTCAGCTCCAATTGCATAAGGTGTAAAACACACAAGATGACTTTGCAAAGATGATTCAATTATTTCTGCTGAGCTCTTCATCCTGCTGTGTGAGAGCTCTCCTGTCTGCTTACGTCATGTCATGCAAATGTTTCAGCTTCAAATGCTATTTTTCTCACAGCGTGCTATGTTTACAAAAGTGGAAATTTCAAATGAACAAGCTGCATAAACTGTTTAATTTCATATTCATATTCATCATACATGTCAAACCCAAGATCTTCCATCCTCCTGTGGCTAATAAACCGCTGATGCACAAGAACCATCAGGTACATGTACTGTATCTGTGGAGGCTGAGTGGTCCGTCGTTATTCAGGAAGTAAAACCACGTAAACTCGAAGTAAAGCAGCTTCTCGTTAAGCCACAGCAAGGTCTTGGGAAACCATCAGTGCTTCTGTCACCAGGGATCTCTTTATTTTCATGCAGGTTTCACACGGCGACACCAAGTGTACATTAGGTGTAACACTGCTTTTCTGTGTTTATTCTGCAGTAACGGGCTGTGGTTCAGTAGACTCCACATACAGTGAGGAAACAGTTGTTGGGTGTTGAGCAGAGGCCTGAAGCCTTATAACCAGGTTTCAGAGAAGGACAATGTTTTGGGATATTTTTTGTTCTCTTTAATGTCCCTGGCCTTGAGCATCACCTGAACAGTGTCCAAGCCTTAAATGTGTTTGCAAAGTTCTGAAAACCCATGCTAAGGAATGGTTTTCACTAACATTAAAGTACCACAGCTCGCTCAAATAAAATACAGCATGAATTTCCTCTACTGTTAAATACGGAGCAGATTCAGTTTCGAGTAGGAAATGCCTATAGAACTGCAGCCAAATCACTATTGTAGAAGTACAGTAGCTGCTAAATCACAATTCAGCTTTTCAGCAACAATCTATGGGTGTACACAGCTAAATTAATTGAAAATAATCCAATTCTTTGAAAGTCTCTGTAACACCCCAGGTCTTTGGGCCTTTCTCAAAACCTTCACTGCATCATTTGAAAGGCAAAATGAGGGAGTGAGTGTATAGATGGGTTTTTGGAAATTCAGAGATGACAGAAGGCAGGATTCCTCAGAGAAAAACCGTCAGTCCACTTCCAGCTGCAGGACAGAGGTCACGGATCAGCTCCTGTGTTGTTCTGTCTGGCCTAGATACAAGACGAGGCAGAGGGGCAGAAGGACTTCAGAGTACTCACCCTCAGCCCAGGAAAGCCCGCACTTCCAGCTGCACCCGCAGGTCCCTGAGAAACACACACACACACCAGTTACAGAGTGTGCCAGTGTGCCGCGCACACACTGAACGCCACATCTGGGAAAGCTGCACACCACTCACAAGTTCTGTCTGTCGTTCTTACATGCACCCATCTCCTCACAGCTCCTTTGAAAATTGCAATATGGCTTTTAGGCTATAATAAACAAACCCAGCGTGATTGCAATCATGTTTTTGTTTACTCTCTTCTGTTGTTGTTTATTGTTCTATGAGAAAAAAAAAGCTTAAAAAAGAACAAGCAAAACGAGGCAATTATTTCGCTACTAAAATTAGAATTTTAGAATTCAAACTTTCGTCTTAATAGTGCTGATGTTTTCACTATTGGATTATTGCATCCTTCTGATTATGAACATACTGAAAATTTGAATTTTAAAAAATCTAAGCTAAATGCAACTTGCTCCTTTAAAAAAAAAAAAACACCCCGCTACAGGCTAGCACCAGCACAGCACCCATGGGCACACAGAGAGCGTTGGTGAGCTCAGAGTGGTCATCAAGAACAACGCTGCTCACGTTGATGATATTCCTGTCATCCGGTGTTGCATTCCAGTAGCCACAAAATACTAACACATGTTCAAAAAGAGATATAAGAGTGTACGCGATTACTAAATATCTGCACAAAAAGAGTCCTATTAGCATTCAAACAAAAATGCGTGACACTTACTTCACTCCCATCCGGACCTGGGGGGCCTCTCTCGCCGACATCACCAACGACACCCTGAAAAGCAGAACTCTTTCATTAGTCCCACATCCCTCATCTTCTCTCTGTACTGGGCCCGTGATGGAGCCCCACTTCTGGCACATCTGGACAGGTGCTCTGCAGCTGGAGTACATGGGGGCTGTATTTTACCCACTGCACTCCAGAACACCCTGCTGTGCAAATGGGCCTCCTGGTCATTATTGCAAATGAGATAAATGTCTTTAATAGAAAGGAAAGTTGTTTGAATCAATCTGTTCTTCTATTTTTTTTTTCTTTTGGTAGCACATATTCTGTCACAGACAGAAGATAATCAGAATCTTTCAAAGAACAAATCTCTATAAATGTCTGCCCTCCAGTGGCTACTTAAAGTAACTCGGGGTTATTTATGGTAAAATCAAATATCATTCCAGACTCCAACATCCCAGAATGTTTTGCCGTTTACAGTTGTCAGTGTGTGTTAGTGTTCGCTCTGGTGTCACACAGGTAACAACTCACCTGTCTGCCTTTGGGTCCTTTCTTTCCAATTGGGCCAGGAACTCCCTGTGGAAACAAGGATAAAAGTTTCATCTTCAGCTAAAACACATATCACATGTTATCAGGCCAGAACTCTGCAACTGCCACAGCAGAAAGAAATTTAGTCCTGGTTCAAATACCTTCCTTGTTGAATAACATCCACTAATTATGTCACTAGCCAGCAAATGAATCCCACCTGTATTTTTCCATCATTTTATTTTAACCAAATAAGACCTTTTTTGTAGTGAAAGTTCATTTCTTATGTGTTTTCTCCCAAGCTATCTATCCTGTCCTATCATAACAACAACAGTGCTACTGGCATTGTCAGGACAAGGAGAAACTACCTATCAACAGAACTATAGAGACCACGGAGGCACATCTAAAACAATCTCTCTGAGAACAAATACAGTTGTGCGTTTGGAACCATTTCCTGTGTGCTTGATAAACAAGTGTCAGTGTCTCTCCGTGTCAGGTGTGTGTGTGCAGTGTGCAGTGCTGTCTCT